AATATAATATAATACAGACTTACCTTTAACAGCCACCATAGCTAAGACACTTGTAAAAGTCACAGTCCTTAGCTTGCCGTTGACAATTCAGCTTCTATACATTTTGATTTTCCCTGGTGCTGTATTTATATGATTCAAGCCCTTAGATTCCCACGCATGAAAGTCTAATTGCTTCTCATCCCCGCACCTAAAAGTCCCACGGTGTGGTCTTGAAATTGGGCATTTCCTTTCGTGAAAAACGTGCGAACGAGAAGTTGTGCTGATTTTGATCAATTTCCGCTCGCAATCAGAATCACAGATTTCTGCCTTTCTTTCGTCTGCTGAAAGTGATGCTTATCAGCTAAACTTGCCCGTTTTTAGACTGAAATGGCAGTCCAATCTTCCAAACCATGTGAACTCTGTCCAGGTTGCATCTTTTGACTTCGGTATTTGCCCTGAATTATTTTGAACGATAGACTTTTACGAGGTGGTGAGTGCTCCAGCCCTGGAGGCGTTCGGGAGAAACTTGGACAATCCCCCTGTTGGATGTCCTTTGATTTGGATTCCTGCCTTGAGCAGGGGGTTGGACTGGATGGCCTTAGAGGCCCCTTCCAACTTCACTATTCTATGATTAAACAAGGTTTTTCTGCTCAGTGATATCTTAGAGATTTCATTTATTTTATTGAATCAAAGCAAAGTAGTGTTTAAATATGTAACTTTCCTACATCCGTGCACAGCCACAGGTCCGAGATGCATATGCAAAGTGTTGCTCCCTTTAGCCAACCGTGCAATTGCTTTTCTCAGCTTAGTAACTTCCAGAGATATTGGGCAACAATCCCCATTATCCCCAGAAAGCACAGCTTATTTTGTCTGGTTTCTTTTTCTTTTTTCTTTTGAAGGACACGGGTGTGTGTGCGTGTGTGTGTGCTATGACAGAAATCAAGGGTTATGAAAAGTGTAAAGACCCTTTTTCCCAACCTGTTGCTCTCCAAATATCTTGGGTTGCAGTTTCCATCATCCCCAGCCACATGTCCTGGGATGGTGGCAGTTGTAATCCTCTGGAGAGCACTGTGAGAAGGTCGGTTTGAACAAAGCAACATTCTTTTCTTTTCTCTCTCTCTATTCATCTCCAGTTTCTACATTCCCTATTGGGTAGGGAGCCAAGGACGTAAAGTTAAAAAATATATACGTATCTAATTTTCGTTGTTGGCATTTTTTTCCATTACAAGATTATGTTGCTTCTATAGGTGTGAAATGAAATCCTAAGTCATCGGGGTTGGAGAACCACAAGGCCTGGACCAAGAAAGTTTGGTCTAAGTTTGTGTTTTATAAAGTTTTCAGGAGTTAATACAGTAGTTCCTGGGGGCTGGCTAAAGCAGTCATGGGGTGGATTAAAGATCAACCAGACAGTTTTAAAAGCATTGAAAGGAGGGGGGATATGGCTCTCCCTATTGTTTGCACTTTACGTTACTTTAATGTTTCATTAAGAATTAAAAGGACCCTAGTAATAATAATAATGATTTTGTGTATTGTCATGTCGATTCTGACTTATGGCAATCATTTCCAGCATCTCCTAGGTAGAGAATACTCAGAAGTGGCTTTCCCGTTCCCTTCTTCTGAGCGGGAATGTCCTGGGACTCCCCTGCAGCTTCAATACAAGGCCACCCAGGGCTGGCTCTTCCTCGCAGGAGATGGCACCGTGGGGGGGGGGATCGAATTCCCAGCCTCTGGCTCTGCAGTTGGAGACCTCAACCCCTAAGCTATCCAGCTAGCTCAAAAGGATGGTCGAATTCAACCTCCCACCAATGCAGGAGGTACCACTATTTATATAATGTCTTCAAAAAAAGTCAGCTTTTGATTTCAATCTGACATTGGCATTTTTAGAAAGGGACCCTGGCAATCTGCAGGTAATTCTCTCTCTCGTCCGTGACACGCTGGAAATGTGAAACAAGATCACAGATGATCGGATGGCACAGAAGATGACTCAGCAGCCCCCATCCTCGGTACTTCTAGGTACTTTTCTGTTTGTTTCCCCCCCCCTTAATGATAAGGAATGATATTTCTGTGATAAGTAATGAAATAAACTTTCTTTCAGTATTTGAACGTGTTTGAAATGTCCTTATATAGCTATTCACATGTTTTCCCCTGCCCCCCCCTCCTCTCTGTGGAGGCACTTTCAAGAAATGGGTTTCAATCTTTGACTTTGGAACTGTTCTGCTTCTGAAAGAGATTCTATCAGAACAGAGAGAAATCATTCCCTCTGATTAAATGGTTCCAGAGGGCCTTGCCTTTCGCTATGAGTCACAAATGCATTCTTTTCCCTTTTGTGATTCAAAAGCAAAGTTTTCCGCTCATGTCACAGAAGGCGGACAGGAAATCCCTGAAATGGAACGTGGTGAACCTTCGAGTAAAGGAGATGCAGCCGGCTTGCTTATTGTTGTTTCTAGCTCAAATGTCAGAACTGAACTGTACTTAAAAAATAAAGTAAAATAGTGTTTGCAGCCACAGGTGTTGAGCACACGAAGTAGGGAACGAGTATTGTGCAGCCCTCCAGGTGTTGTTCAACGGTGGCTCCCATCCTTCCCCTATCCCCGTGCTGGATGTGGCAAATGGGAGTTGTAGTCCTGGACCATGGAATCCTCCATATTTAATAGTTAATGTGTTCTATATCCCGCCTTTCCTCACGTGGGCTCAAAGATCTGTATGTGACGTTCCTTCCCTACGTGTGGTCCTAACAGCAACACCCCTCTAGGGTTGGCCAGTCGGGGGGAGAGAGGGTCAGTGGCCCGCGGTCACCCAGGGAGTTTTCAGGGCTCAGGGAAGCCTTGACCACAAGTCTCTTCACTCCCTTCTGACCTCGGAGGCTTCGACACTTGCGGGAACGGCTCTTGCCTTATTTCCTCTTTCTATACACTTAAGGTTTAAAGACTTCCAAACCCAAGACCTCTTGTGTCTGGAGAAGAGGTTTATTTAGATTATGGCGCCAACCTGCCCCGATCCGAGGGTTGGGGGTAAGGGTGGGGACCTTCCCCAGTGTTGTGTAAAGTATTTTTAAAACATCAAAAGGCCCATCGTTTTCCCGCAATAGACTTGATGATCCAGAGGGTCCCTCCCAGCTCTGCAGTTCTAAAGTGGTAATGGTGACAACACACATTGTATAGCCCTGGGCACCTCTGCTCAGGAATAAGGAAGGCCCCTTCCTTTCCATGGAGTTTCCTGTTGGGTGAGGATAGAAACGCAGCCTTCCTCTGAAATGTGATCCCAGAGAAAGAGGGGCTGGTTGGTTGCCGTCTCCTAGCAACCGAGGCAGCGTCCTAGCAACAGGAGACACGCACACTTGGTCTGGTACCCTCCCCTTCCTTCGGTCCCCGGGGAGGTGAAGCCATGTGTTGTTGTTTTCCGTTCTCTTTTTGGCCTCGATCCTCCCAAACCGAGGGATGGAGGGACTGAGCGCCTCTGCGGCTTTCCGAGAGCATCTCCGCCGGCTGTGCCTGGACCAGTTTCCCTGTGGCCGAGGGAGCTGGGTAAGAAACGGATGATGATGGTGAGGCGGTCCGTCTCCTGGTCGTCCTATAACATCCAGAGCCCGGCCTCCCAACCTCTGGCTTCGCAGCCAGAGACCTAAATCCCTCAGTTATCCAGCCGTGAACCCGGGCGGTGACTTTTAACTTGTGATCGTTCCCTGTTTATGTATTTGAACATAAAACAAGAATATAACTATGTACAGAAACAGGCTCTTGAGAATAATCTAGACATGAGAATATTCCATTCCTGGTTGTGGGGGTGGTTCAATGTGGTTGGTTCATAATCATCATCTGAGAAGTCTGGGTAAGGATAAAATCTGGCCATGAGGGGGAGGAAATGAGGCGACTCAGTTCCTAAACACCAGGCTTGCTCCTGCACCCTTAAAAGTACGTGATGGAAAGGCTTATGGCAGTGATAATGAATTTAATTATCAACAGTTGCCGCGGGCCAGCCTTTAGTGGGAACAGTTCTTTTGGATGAGATTGCCGGGGCCTTGAGTCGGTGTCCCTGTAAGAGTTGGCCTAACTCCGCAGCTAATTGCGATTGGTTGACGAGGTGCTGTCGCGTTATCTCAGCTCCTCATCTGTCAGCCACCATTAGCTCAATTGGGTAAACCCAACAAAACGCCAATACGAACTTGGCCAGTGCGTTTTGTTTATTCACCAAAGGTGGAGATTCACTGGGCGTTTGAATGGCGAGGACATCCACCCGTGTCCCTCTGTGTGGGTCTTTTCCTTTGAGGTCCCTCCCTTCTCCCACGAAGAGGGATGACGTTTCCCTTTACTCTTTCTCCTGCTCAGAACAAATCCCGTTTCCCACCGAAGAAAGCCCAAGCTCCCCGCGGTGGCGTCCCACGGCAGGCCAGCGCATCCTTTCGCAATGGGCTCTCCTCCCCCGACGAGGAGACGGTAGAAGCGCTGACGGAGTACCTGAGAAGCCTGGGCTCGCCCTGGGCCCTGCCGCCCGACTGCAGCCCTGCGGACCAGCAGCTGCGGGAGCTGGCAGTGCTCTCCCCCCAGTCCATGAAGGATCACTTCATCTTCTCCTACTTCACGTCCCTCCGGCTGGTGAACAAAAACGTGAGTGGCAGGGGCCGAGAGGCCGTGCTCTTTTGCTTACTGTGTGCCCGGCCGTTAATCCACTCCAGACACCTTCTTGCTAAAGCTTGGCTAAGTTCTCTCTCTCTCTTTTTTTGGACAATTTTTTGGGAGCTGTTGCCTACAAACTGAACTTGGCCCGACGTTGATCTTGGCTCATGTCCTTCAGATTCAAATTTTGCGAAATGGGTCTCGGTGTGTCTTCCTCAGCCCATGTTCAAATGGAACAAAGCGTGGTGGGCCTTCTCCTTCCTCTGTTTAGGGTAAAGGCTCAGTTACTACCGAGGTGAATGCCGGAGCGTGAAGTGTACACAATCCCGACAGTATTAAAAACAAGCCGGTGAGGATATTTCTTGCCTACAAGCCCCACTTTCTTGAGCTCCCTGGTGGTATTTCCTCGTTTGGAGCAACCCCTCTGTTATTTGTTTGTGTTTTTATCCTGCCCAACTAGTGGCCAAGCCGCTACTGTGGGCAGCAGACAAATCACAATCACGCAAAGTACACAAAACCTACCAATGAAACATCCACATGAACAACAAACAAGAAACATGAAAAATAATACCTATGAAATAGTTATACGTATCGAGTACAACAATATTAGACTGCAAGAGCAGGACAAGTTCATAAGCGCAAAACCCACCCAAATCCCAAATTATTCAAGTGAGATTTCTTGGTCCTTTTGGGTTGCAATACCCAGAATCCCCCAGCCAGCTGGTTGGGGAGTCAGGGAGTTGTAGTCCAAAATTTTGAAAGTTTTCTGAGTTCTGCAGAGAGAGGTTTGTGCAGTCTTTGGATGACCTAGGACTCGCTAAAGATGTCCCATTGCTTTTCTTTTGCTCTCTTCCCAGGTGACTGAAATTGATGCAGGCTTGTTAAAGTTTCCCAACCTGGAGGAGCTTATCCTTACCGCGAACCACATCAGCAAAATCGACTCTACCCACCTCCCTCCAACACTGAAGGTAAGATGGCAGTAAAGAGCGGAGGTGAGATGATCCCTCAGAGAAAGGCAAGCAGGTTTATGTTTCTGGCCGGCAACTCCCAGATTCCCCAGGCACCGTGGCCATTGGGTTGTCATCCAGAAAAACGGATTTACGCACCTCTAATATCAAAGTGGGTTCCCACAAACTGGGTGCCCTCCAGATAGGTTGGAGGATGACCCCGGTCATTAAAAACGTCTGTGGGGAGGTGTAAACTGTAGTGTATGTGATGATGACAGAACAAGAGGATATGAGGTTAGGCAAAGCTTTAGTAGAGGATTATGAAATTGAACACAGTGGTGGAGAAAATGAAAAAAAAATAGTTTTCCCCTCCTCCTCCACCCATAATAAAGGATTTTGGTGGCTACTCACTGAAAGGGATCAACAAAATTTGTAAGCAAAATTAAAGGTTCGGTCACGTGCCACATCCATCATCCTTGTACAGAATAGGTTGATACAAAATGAACCACAAAGGTGGAAATGAATTATAAACGATCCGAGGTTATGGAAAGGCATCCATTCTCAACGTCCGTCTCTTGCGAGAAAGATGGGTTGGGTTCTCCTTTCCTCTTCCCTTCCTTTTTTTTAGGTGCTGGAACTTTGTGGCAATGAGATCAGCAGCTTGAAGGACCTGTGTGCCCACCCTCCTCCAGCGCTCCAGCACCTCGGTCTCGGGCACAATGGCCAGCTGGGTTCCTCTGAAGAACAGTATCTCACAGATGCTTTCTGGTAAGTGCCCATTCTCCAGGAGGTGGGAGTCCCCGATTCTTTTACCAGACATTCCTCTCCCTTATGGCAAGCCACGGAGCCACCTTTCATGTTACTCTCTCTGGTTCCTCTCTGTTGGAAATTGGTTGACCGTTTTGGTCATGATGGCCAACATGGGGAAGAAAACTTGTCAAACGCCAGAGCTGGCTGTGACGGGGTGGGATGGAAAAACAGTGGCCCCGATCCCTCCTCATCCTTCAACCCCCTCCACTGCCAGGACCTCGCTTGGCCTGGCTCCGTCTGGCCTCCCTAATTGTTTTTTTTAAAGTAGCTTGTAAGGTATTTGGGACCTTGCCTGTGTCTTCATGGATTCTTTCCCTTTTAGGCCCAACCTGGTCTCCTTGGATCTGAGCTACAACAACTTCACCAACTTACTGAGCCTGTTTCCCAAGCTGTTGACGCTGAAGAGACTCCGGATCCTTGTGCTGCAGGGAAACCCGCTCTCCCTGCTCCCCGGCTATCGAGGGTTCACCATCGACAGCCTGCCGAAACTGTGCGCGCTCGACGATACCATCATTACGCCGGACGATAGGCACAACTTCTTAGGCCTGGCTGGTGAACCCGGTGAGCCTTCTTTGTCCAACCCACCAACGCCCACAGCTACGCAGACGCATCTGTAAATAACACAGGTTGGAATCTGGGGCAGGGTAAAGTTATGGAGGTAAAGTTGAGAAGACCAACCAAGTGGAAATGTGAGCCCATATAATGTAGGATAGTGGACACTATCCTGGCTATTGACCACAGCAGTCTGTTTATTCCACCATGAACGAACGAACGAACGATCTCTCTCTCTCTCTCTCTCTCTCTCTCTCTATCTGTCTGTCTGTCTAATGGGTATTTCAGTGGTTTAGGCAGAGTTTGGGAGTTTATCTATCTATCTATCTATCTATCTATCTATCTATCTATCTATCTATCTATCTATCTATCTATCTATCTATCTATCTATCTATCTATCTATCTAATGGGTATTTCAGTGGTTTAGGCAGTTTGGGAGTTCGATTCCCCCCACTGGCCCTCCTTGATTGGGGTTGGACTCCTTCCAGCTCTGCAGTTTTAAGATGGTGATGACTGATGAGTAGGGGGTCGATTTCTATGACATGTCATATTTTTTTCTGCAGCCTGTGTTTGGACTTTTAAGTGGCTTTGGACATGTGTGTGAGTCACCTGGTGAGAAAGGCCAGATCACTCATCAACATGTTTAAGGTTGCTTGTGAGTTCAAGTATGTACAGGTTGCAGAGAAAGTCATAGAAATCTTCCTTCTACTGTCTTTACTGAAGGCCCCCCCCCCCGGGAAGGTGTGAGTTGTGTACTTTGTGGGTTGTGGGTGACCCCTGGTGGCCAAACCTTTTAGGCCTCTTTAGCTGTGTTTCTCTAGCACAGCAGCCCTTTGCAATACTGAGGGAACTCATCCTAAATGGGCCGTTGTCTGTCACATAGATGTAGATCCTAAGCTCGGCTTTAAGGCATCTAATTCAGTGTTTTTTCTCTCGCACACACTTTTGTAGATCTCATAAGGCGCTACACCAAAATGATCGTCACCATTGGCAAAATCAGGGGCCTCCCCAATCCTGTTGTTTCGGATGAACCAGAAAGCGGCCCTGAGTCTCCAGTGATCACCTACAGCTACTATGTTACGTATGAGTTTGCCAAAGGTGAAAAGATTGAGGAAAAAGGAACGGTCAAGGTATACTTTTTTTTAATTTAAAAAATTGCCTTCTTCCTCACTTGCCTCTCAGATAGAAGGGTCGGGTATAAATTAAAACCAACAGCTTAAAACCTTCTTTCTTTTTCTTTGGAAACCTTACCTAAGAGTGAGGGACAGGCTGTATGTTATAGCACAGCAGTGGAAACTAAAAAGGTGTCAGTGTTCTAGAAACACTGTTCTGTTCAACTATCATAATTGTAAATGAAGCCTGTGTTTACTCTCCTGGTGACCATTCACAAAAGAAAAGCAGCCAATTGGCAACCCATAGAAATATTTAAAATCTCTTACCGTGATCATCAGACAGCTTTCAACTCTGAAGGAATTCCAGCTTCTAACAACGTGCTGTCTATATAATGGCTTTGGGGTCTCTTTTTTGGAGGAAGGTGGAATAGAAATAGAAATAAATAGACACAGAAATAAATCAAAGTGCATCGTTTTAGCCTGAGATGACAAGTTATCCATAAATGATTGTGTTTGGCATGGCTGGGGGAATGATGTCAGACGCATTTCTGTCCCAGGTTGTCGTGTCGCAGGCCCAGCAGAGTCGTTCAAATATTCTGGATGCTGAAAGCCCACCAGAAGACGTGGAAGATGGAGGAGGCAGTGCCCCAACACCGGTGGAACGCACACCCACCCCAGTTAAATCTGAGCTGCCTCTTGAGACTGGTGGGTAGTCCGTTTTCTATGTAGCCTGAGTGAGAGTGGAATTCGATGTTAAGGGAAAGGTGTATTCCCTAGGAGCAACCTTTCTGTTACAAAAATACGGCACAGTTTCTAATCAAAATGGGATAGTCGGACATTTGCAAGTCATCTCTGGAGTGAGCATTGCTACTGAGATAGCCTCCAGCGGTTGAAGTCATGGAAAGATCCATTAGCAGAGCCTTGGTGGTTAATTATTGACAAAGGCAAAAGGATACTGTGATCCTGGAGATGTCACTGGATCCAGCAACTGTGGCTGTCTGTCATCTGCCTGTTGAATCGGAATAGACATGGTCTAGAGGGGCGGGGTAAAAATCCAATAAATAAATAAATTAAATAAATAAATCAACGCCAAAAGCCCACCGTCCCAGCAAATGGGTACTTTTGGATCTCTCTGCCAGATTTGCCGCAAAACCCAGGTCATGCTGTAAATCTAGTCAGCTACGACATTTCCCAGGAGTTGGCTCTAAAAAGAGGAAATTGAGTCGGCCACTGCAGATGCTTTTTCTCTGAATTTCTCTTGCCCTGTAGGCTGATGGGTCAAGTGGGAATCCTCAAGAAGTCTGGATGAATCTGAGGGCTTCTAACGCCTGATCCTTCTGGAGTTGGGGATAGTCTGTATCCTTTGAAGGAAACAGATCAGACCTCTGGCTCCAGGGATCTAAAGTGCCTGCTACACACAGGGAACAGAGATTAGTCTAAATCCAAATAGACGTTGCATGCAAGAAATGAAATCTTATGGGCAGAATGCTCAGCCTCCTTTTGGAAGTTGTTCCAGTGTGGTTTCTAACAAAGGAAGCTGTATTTTTGGATCATGGCTCCCAGAATTCTCCGTGTGTTCGGGGGATTCTGAGAGCTATAGACAGACAGATAACTTCTCCACACTCTGCTGACGTGTTATGGGAACTTGTGAAGAGCTCCTGCAGGATCCCTCAGGACCTGACTGCTGTCGCCTTGTCTTGTAGCAAACATTCACGCCACCCCGCGAAAATCTTGGGCTGAAACCATAGAGTGCGACTATAGGAAGGAGCACCTCACTCGGGACCTGGTGGGGTTGAAAGCGTTTCTTCTCGCTGGAACCACAGTCTCAGTGGTGGAGGAAAAGGTTGGTGGCTCTGAGATGATCTCTCTTTGTGCTTTTGAGGGGCAGGGGCTGGCGGGAGGCGGAGGGAGCCAGGATTGGGCACCAAGAATGGCAGAGGGCCTTTAAAAGAGCCCCCCTCCCGGGCTCCGGGCCCTTCCAAAATGCACCGGGCCCAACCCCCAGGCAGGAGGTGACGATGGGTGTCGTAGCTGGTCCCACAAAGAGCCCGCCAGGTTGAGGAAGGCTGCTCTGCTCTGTCTGTTCTTTTGTAACCGGGTGGACCAAAAATCCCCATACATCGTGTCTTAATTTAGATAATTTACAAAGAAGTTAGTTAAGCAATCAAATTTACAAGCAGATTAAAGGATTAAATTTGGACCTGGACAACAGCGTGATCTCTCTCTCTCTCTTTCACACACTCACACTCACACTCTCACTCACACACACACACACACACACACACACACACACACACACAGGGTTCTCTTGTAGGAGATCTGGGATAGGTGACAGGTGGGACTGGAGACCACAAGAACAGGGGGAGATTTGGGAACTTCAATGCTGGCTGTCACCCCGTCGTGTGAAAAAAAAAAAGTCTCTTTTTTATATTTTAAAATTCCACTTGAATTAAGTTGATGGGTTTTGTGTGTTTGTTGAGTTTTGAGATGCTTTTCTTCTTCTTCTTCTTCCAAAGGTTGTTTCCTGGCCTATCGTCGTTTCCCCAGACGAAAGTCCAGGCAAGAAAGGGAAAGGAAAAGGGGAGAAAGGGAAAGCAGAAAAAAGCAAAGCGGGGAAAGGGGAAAAGGACAAAGGAAAAAAGGAGAAAGGGAAAGACGAGAAAGGGAAGAAGAAAGAGGCCGGAAAGGTAATGCTCCAGGCAGGTTTGCAAAATGTTGCATCTCAAGGGGTTGGATTGTCTTATTTTTGAGTTTTAAAAGTACTTCTGCTTTATAAAAGCAACAGAAACGTTTTAAGAATCAGAGATACAAAACTAAGTTTAGAACTTAGACTCCTTCCATGGGTGATCCAATCAGTTTGGACAGCGCTGGGCGTTTGAAACCGAATTAACACATTCTAACCCCATGTTCCTGGTTATCAGACTAATACGAAGTGCAGTCGTTAATCATTCAGATGGTTTAATTTAACGCTGCACCACTTCCGTTTAGGGTGGGAACAAGAAGAAAAAGAAATCTCCCTCCCCGGAGTTGAGAAGCGACCCTCCCGTCTTGAAAATCTTGGGCTCAGCCCATGTCAGTCTCGAAAGCCTTCTCGCTGGAGAGCCTCTGCTGGAAACCGTATGCGACTTTGGTGTTCTGATTACGGAGTCGAGCGTCAAGCCTCCGTCTCCGAAAGAAAAGGTACTTGGTGGTTGATGAAGCTGTGCAGGCGCGCGCGCACACATTTTTCCCTGGTAGCAAAAAACCCAGACAAGCTGGGGAAGTCCGTCGCCCTTGTGGCTGGACTTGGAGGAGGCCCAAGCGTCAAAAGCTTGCACTGAGAAAGGTGGGTAGAGGGGGTTGGGGTTGGCCAGCCGTGTCTCTGAGGAGAGCCGTCTGTTTTTCAAAAGCAATGAGAACCATTCTAATCTGGGAGGGCAGGCAATATTCCGCCCGTTGGCTGTGCGTGGTTTCTAGGAGTCGCCCCAAACAAACACGGCCCCCCCGTTCCAACACCACATCCCCAAATATAGTCCCTTAAGACCTTCCAATTCTCATTCAGAACTTCCTGGTTGTACAATAGGATTCCCTTATCTGCAGGGTTGGTATCTGCTGATTCACTTATCCATCGGCTGAAAATATTAAAAGAAAAATCCCCAGAATGTACAGTATAGTTCTAACCATGTCATTACCAGAACTGGCCACTAGAGGGTACCAGAGACCATGGTATGGACAGTGCGTTTCCTATAATCCGCATTTTGCAGCCTCTGCAGGAAGGGCTTGGACCCATTCCCTCGTGGACATGGGGGTCTTTGCTGTCTATGATGCACAGACTTATCTTCCACTTCTGCAGGAGAGTAAAAAGGGCACAAAAAAGGACAAAAAAGCCAAAGCAGGAACGGAGAGCTCAGCATCCCGGAAAACTCTGTCACCAACAACTCCGAAAGGTAACAGCGAGAAGGAACTTGTGTGTGCGCGTGACAATTCTGAAAGGAGACCCTCTAAATTCTCTTTAAAATCTTGCCTGAGACTAGTAGATGCAAAGCAACGCAAAAGGTTTTATCTGATGCAAGTCGTTTAGCTTCTCATGAGGGCTAGGAACTTTATTTTTTAAGTCCCATTCCAAAGCCGTAGGAGGTAACCCAATTCCATGTGAGGAGGGATTCAGAGGAACTTAACAGGTTCATGGCACAAAATAACAGATCGGTATCTCACGGTCTTGGTTCAAAACGGCACTCTGCCATCGTTGGGCATGATGCCAGGAAACTGTTCCTCGGTTTACTCCATGTCACTTGGAAGCCCTGTGAAGATTGCCATCAATCAGAAGCGCCTTGACAACACATAACAGCAACGCAGCCGTGTCTCCAGCGGTTATTCTTGTCAGGAGCTGGCGGTACCACCTAATTGTTCCAATCCCCGAATGATGGTTCACAACACACTTTTCGCCCAGTCCAGGCGATGCCAGGTGGACGACAAATATTTGTCCACCAGCTCTTGTGGGTGGACGTAAGATATATTTTATCCATTGCTTATCCCCGTCTGGCTTTGTGTAGAACTGATTACTGGGTTCCCTTGGGAGTTCATGATTTCTCCAGGGCAGGAATAATGCGCCCTTTTCATTCGAAGAGAGTGAACCAGTTTCAAGGGGATGTTTGCATAGAAAATGCCGGGTGGGAAAGGAAGGGAAATCTGTTTTCCTACCCAGCCACTTCCTTGAGTGGGTGGTGCGAGGCAGATGGCCTGCTTGCAAGCACTCAGGAAGCGTGGCGATGGCGGTGGAATCAGAGATGCCGAGAAGTGTCGTTTTTGCAATAAATCACTTGGCAGAGAAAATGCTATATATATTTTTTCTTTCACATCTTGCTCACACGCCGCATTAAAGGAACTGGGAAGTCATGTGATGGAACGGAAAGCCATTGCACCCTGAATAAAAATGAAGCGTTTGGGGGAAAGGGGTGCTTGCGGTAAAACCCAACGACATTGTAAAGAGGAACCAGAGCAGCAGATGTTTCTCACCCACCAACGGCAAATGGGACCCATGTTTGGAGATGAGCTCTGGGGGGAGGCGATGGGGTTCCCTATTGGTCCCTCTGGATTACCAAGCCCATCTGCTTGAACACTGGCTCCCCCTAGGGGAAGAGGGCGACCCTCTGGGTGTTAAACCACCGATCCCAGTGTGGTAGACACTGGAAATGGTTGTCGCGTTTTTTAAAACATCCCTTAGCCTAGAGGGAGGGAGGGAGGAGGGCCTGGCCTGCTCTGGTCCATGGGGTGACGAAGCGTCGGACACGACTTAACTACTAAACAACAACAGACCAGAAGGGACCGAGGGCTTGTTGTTTGTTTGTTTCTCTTTGCAGGGAAAGGAAGGAAGAAGGAGTCTCTCGAGGCGGAAAGAAAACCCCCACTGAGTCCACCGTTGCCTCTGACGGTGGAGTTCCAGATGCGGCACATCAAATGGAAGTCGGCTTCGGAAATCCTAATAAAATGCAAGCCTTCGGAATAGTTACTTGCCCAGGTTTGCTTTGAAGAAGGCCTCCCCAAGAATGGGGCCGGCCAGCGAGAGGTCGTGGTCGTTTGGGGAGGCCACCTTCCTTGCGCATCGGCGGGTGTCGCCTGCTAGACTCAGAGAGGGGTTTTGCTCTCTTTTTGAATCCCAGGATATTCAGCCAAGAGCCAACTTTGGAGGAAGACACTAGAGACTGGGGTGGGGAGAGTCTTGGTTTTCTGTTTGTTTTTCAAAACATTGTAAACATTTGGCGTTAGGGAGCCCGGATTCATACAAGGGCTCCTCCCAAAGATAGACTCAACCCGGAATCTTGCCAGTTCTCAAAAAGTGTTAAAATAAAGCCAGCTTTTCCAGCCGAGCGGGTGCTCCCAGAGTCCACATTCACTGTGAATGGCTGTAGTTCCCCAGCCGCCCCCCCCCATACCTTGCCGGTGTGATTCTGAGCGGCGCTGTGTAGCCCAGAAAGATCTTCCGTGGAAGCCAGCTGTGGCCCAGCTACCAGTTGTTCCAGCAAACAGAGCCGGGGTTTCCAGCCTGACCACCTGCTGCTAGAGGGGCTTCCTCCTGAGCAATCATGCCTGCGATTGCACTTCCTTTCTACGCTTGGCAGGACGATGTCCAAACTGGTGAAAGTTACACCTGCTTCGTCTCTTTGTCTTGGCTTCACTCACTGCTGGGTGGAGCCCCGGAGCTCCTTTCCCACCTTGGAATTCTTCCCCTGAACCTACACCAGCCGTAGGCGACTGGAAGGCTGGCTGCCCTCCCCGTGATAAACTCCCTGAAGTCAAAAGCCACTGTTTTTCCGTGGAGGTCTGACGACGACAGATGACCAGGAAATGGGACGAACCTTGCTGTGTGACTGTTTCGGGCACCCCTCTGACGCGTCTAAAGGTCCAGGTGAGGAGATGAACCGAGGTCGATGGTGGGTTAGAAGATGCCAGCAAGGTGCTTTTTGGATGAGAAGACAGGAGCGTTATTTGGGGGTGTGGAATGAACACGTTAGCAGCCGTGAATGACTCCAGGGAGGAACGAGGGTGCAAACAAGGGTTTCTAGTTACCTCTTGCAGAGACTCTGAAAGGGCATTTTTTTCCCCAGGATCTTGAGAAGTTCCATGCCGATGTGCTATCAAACTTAAAGCTTCTTTTATTCTTTAAGAAAGATGAGCCAAAGGTCAGGTAGAGCAGAAACGCTCGGCATCAGATCTTGGAAGTGTCCCTTTTATATTTTCCCTTTTTTAAAAAAAAGATTGCAAGTCATAAGAATCCCCGCCCTGGCTTTTCTGGAGGATTATGGAACTCGTAGCCCAAAATAGGGGGAAAAAATCCTAACGAGACCTCCTGGATTTTGCTAGATGCAAGTGGGGAGGATTTTTCTCCTCCTTTTTTCTCCTGTGGCAGCCGCCTTTTGATTTCTTGATTTTGCTTAGATGTGGTGCAGAAGGAGAGAAACAGGTGCCTCCCCTTTTACATTAACCCAATTCCCTAATTATTTGGAAATGCTTTGTGGAGTGGGGGGAGGAGAGGGAAGCCTCACAGAAGGCGCATGTGCGCGGTGCCATTCATTCAGAAGCCTTGAATCACCGCCCCTGTAGGGAAATTTTCCCAGGCTCGGGTTTCCACTGGAGGGGGGGGGGCGTGCCTCTTCTTTGGCTGCTAACTGATGCCGCCTGCATTACCCCCTCTCCTCCCTTGATGGTACCACCGTTGTCATGGTGACAGGGGCTCTCTCTCTCCCTCTCTCTCTCCCCCCCTTCATAGCTGATGATTTCTGCTTTTGAAAAGCCGGCTCTCCAAGGCTTCTTTTACAAAAGTGTCTGCAGGGACCAGATCCCCTGGGGTGGATGGGCGGGGATCGCCCACCCAAGAAGGACAAACGAGGGAGAAAATCTGCTTCAGAGAGGCTGCGTATCTTTCTTGGCAATCTTTTTTTTTAAATTAAATTAAAATTGAATTAAAAAATTTTTAAAGCCCCAAGCAGCTGCAGGAGGCACCTCGCCTGGTGGATTCCTCATCATGACCTTTAGGTCACCTCTGGGTGGGTCTGATCGCATGTGGCCGAGGAGGATTGCCAGAAAGGAGGACACCCCCAGCCCAGGGGGCAACCACCTGCCCGAGAGCAGACTCCTAGCCGCCTGGTCTTGGAACTAAATGCCCGGCTGGGGCTCACAGGTGCTTTCTTCTCTTTTCACATTCCCAGGTAAGGTGGTATGTAGCGTGATGGTGGTGGTGGGAAATGCCTCCTTGTCGTCTTGGGGTGGGGTGGGGGTGGGTGACCCTTGTATAAATAGGCAGCTTGCTTTCCTACCTGATGGAAATTTTCTAGGCAAGTATGTGATTGTAGAAGAGGCAGTAGCTGCGTTAGGCTGTACAAGCATTATAGCTGAAAAAAGGAAACAAAAATACAGTCAAAAAAAGAAAATAACTCTTTTTAAAAAGACAAAAAATGTGGAGGCACCTTAAAGACTGTTATATTTTTTAATGTGAGCTTTCATAGTCTCGTTTAGGGAGTATGTGAGATGCTTTCCTCTTTTCTTTGACAGGGGAGGGTTTTCCTGACATGGATCTAAAAACGATGGAAGGGAAAGAGCTTCATCGGTTGAATTTCAGCCTTTTGAGATAGGGAGGCATTACAGCTGTCTGCCCCTTTGCCAGGATTCTTGGCTGTCCTTCTTTAAAAGCATTTAAAAATAAGTGGAAGAAACCAGCTGGGGACTTTAGCCCTAGAGGGACTGAAGCCTATTAATATTCCATGGGCTTCCTCCTGAGTAGGCAAAGAGGGTGTGTGCAGCAAGGGAAAAAAACAGCTTTACCTTTTTAAATCCAGTCTGTACTTGAGGGAGGTGGAAGCAGCCCCAAGAGACAGACCATTGCTTTTTCCATCTCGCAGACCTGAAAGGGCAACCAGGATGTAAATCCCATAGGTGGGGCCCGTCTCCTGGTTGTGGGGATGTTTGTTGGGGTGTCTGGAGCTTATTTTGGGGTGTAAAGTCCCCCGCTTCCTTTTCATTGGCCTATTATATAGTCACGGTATGTGTGTGTAGATTTTGCCTGACAGCTGCCTAGACCACATCAGCTCGTAGATCTCATTGTTCTCAACCTTTGGGGCCTCCAGATGTTTCAGACTTTCGTTCCTAGAACTGCTGACCCCCCCTCAATCATGCTGGATGGGAGGCTTAGCACTGAAACGTTGTGAAGTCCCCGGGGGGGGGGTTTGAGGCGTAATGAGCCCCTTCCAGATCCAGGCTTTTGAAATCAGGGTTACCTCTTGGATTCAGCCAAAATGTCACCGTGCCACCGCTTGAGCCGATGAACGTCTTTGCGAGTATGTAAACTTGACACTCCCCTTTGAACCTGGCTGACTGCTGGGCTAGCCAGTCTTTGGGCCCTTCCCAGACGTGTTGGCTCCGGGGTTGGACCCCTCTGAGTTCCCACTTGAGGGTTGCTGGTCAGAGAGGTTTCAGCTGCAGAGAGCCAAGTACATGGATTAATTTTCTGGGTCTTGACGATGACAGGCTTGTGCACCACCGCAGTCGGTCTGGGTGCCTGAAGCAAGAGCCGGCTGGAGGAAGTGGGAATTCATTTATACCCAGAATTGATGCTTCTTCACATCCAGGAAGCTCAAAGCCTGAACATCATCCATCAGTGTAGATCTGTCGGGATTTGGCTATTTTTCATCAGCTTGCCCGTTTCATCAGCAGATGTTTGGATGGCTGGCTGAGCTGCCACACCTCTTAATTTACATTTTTTTTAGGGTGAGATTTGATTTATCAAGGAATATTGTGGTGGTGATTGCAAAGGGGATGTGTGGATAATGGAGTTTGAGTGCATGATTGCAGGAGCATAACTGGAGCGTGGGTGAGAGATCGTGATCCATAATCAAAGCTTCAGGAGGTGTAAGGCATTCACTCCTTTATGTATGTCAAAGCTGGGATTGAGGCAGTTCACAGTGAAAGCAACCGGGAAAGTAGAGATAAAGAGACAGAGTGTGTGTTAGAGTATTAATACGCCGTGAAACAATGTCACCCTGAACACACCTGATCTTGTCTGATTTTTGGAGCTAAGTACAAACAGGCGTGGTAACTGTTTGGATGAGAATATCAGAGATTTCGGGGCTAAGAAAGAACCCTGCTTGGAATACGTGGAGCTGTTGTTTGAATAAGCTTGCTCGGTGGCTCCAGTCTTCAGATATCGCGAGGGTGTGTTCTGCAAACCTTATAATGGAAGGTGTGTAGATCGAAAGCCACATGTACATAAACGGCATCTGTGCCTTGAACATAAGGAGGCCTGAGGAGCCTCTCGTATAAGCCGACTGCTTGTAGATCTTCAGACGTAGGTCTCGTAACAATAAGAACTTGGAAACTGGTTTCTGCTTGTCTCTGGCAGCCTCCCCCAACCTGGCACCCTATGGAAGGGCTGGACTACAACGGCCATCCTTCCCAGTCGGCAAGCTGCCGGATGGTAGATGTTGTAGTCGTAACACAGCTGAACAAAGCTGGAGGAATTCTGGGGCTTGGCCTGTTGATAACATTTCCAGCAGACAAGAATATCCCCAGGCGGCTTCCCTTTTAGCCACCCACTTGAGTTGCCTGCTTAATGTCTATTTGCAGCCTGAGCCTAACCGTGCTGTCTCTTAACTGCACAGGGCGCTCACCTCTTCTGTAGCCGCTGAGATGCAGCCCAGGACAAGAAGACTTTCAGTTTACATCTTCTCGGCTTCGCTGCTAGCGTGCTTGGTGTACTTAAGGAGAGAGACCAAGTCTGGTGTGTTGTCAGCCACCAAAAAGCCACAAGGACCAAAGCAGAAATGGACGTTCAGCGTCCCCAGACAGGTAGAACCCAGCAAATGCTTGCCAAACCTGACGGCAGCCAACGCTTCGGCCTCCCTCCCGGAGCTCCACCGTCTTTTCTTGACCTACAAGCACTGCCGGAACTTCTCGGCGGTGTTGAAGCCCTCGGCCTGCGAGGCGGACACGTTCCTGCTGCTGGCGATCAAGTCTGCTCCCGTGAACATAGACCGGCGGCTGACCATCAGGAACACCTGGGGGAAGGAGACCCTCATCGGCGGCAAACGGGTGAGGCTGCTGTTCTTACTCGGCCACTCGGAGGTCCGGGTTCAGGATCACTCCCTCCACCAGCTGCTGGTCTATGAAAGTCTGGAGTTTGACGATGTTCTCCAGTGGGATTTTGCCGACAACTTCTTCAACCTGACCTTGAAGGAACTGCACTTCCTTCGGTGGCTGACGCAGGATTGCCCCCAGGCCCGGTTCGTGTTGAAAGGGGACGATGACGTCTTTGTAAATACATACAACATTGTTGAGTTCTTGAAGGATCTGGACCCCGAGAAAGACCTCTTTGTGGGCGACGTCATCAGCAAAGCCCGGCCGATCAGGCACACCAAAGCCAAATACTTCATTCCCGAATCCATGTACCCAGCAGCCTTCTATCCCCTCTACGCCGGGGGTGGCGGCTACGTCATGTCCCAGCTGACCGCGCAGAGGTTGCGGGCGGTGGCTGAGGACACGGAGTTGTTCCCGATCGATGATGTCTTTGTCGGGATGTGTTTGGCCAAAATAGGCATGGCTCCCATCCACCACCCGGGGTTTAAGACCTTTGGAATCCAGAGGCCCTTTAATCCATTTGATCCCTGCCTGTATAAAGAACTGATGATCATACACAAACTGAACCCAACTGAGCTTTGGGTCATGTGGACGCTGCTGAAAGCCGACGGCCTCAGATGCGCCACGTCAGGAAGTTGGAAACTATAGGGCAGCTTTTTGGATGCCTCTCGGGTGGCGTTTTTAACGCTGACTAGACTTAGATCGGTGTCGGTTTGAACAGACGTTAGCAATGGCCTCATTTGACCTTTTATTTTGAAAAGGAGGTTCCTTTTTACAATAGGGACATTTTCATTGCACCGATTCGTTCGTTCTTTTTTAAAATAATAAAACAGTTGTTTACAGAAGTCTTCGAGGGATTCGGGCCTGACTGGCTTTCCATGGCTGTTAATGAGGCTTCAGATTCTGGAATTACAGCTCCAGAATTTGGGGGTTCGGAGTCCCAGAGAGGAGATTTTCCCAACTGCTGTGTGATGACCATACATGCTCAGAATCGATGTACCTCGCAGGAAGCCACACTAGGGAGATAAGCTTTGCCTTCCACCCTTCTTAGGGATTAAACCCCCCACTGCTGATGCTTTTGCTTACCTGTGGAACTCACTGGGTGCGTTCCCTCGCCAAGTTTTAGAAAGAAGGTTTTTAACCATGAAATGAGTGGTCCTAATTGTAGAGACATTTTGGGGGAAAAGGAGTGGTTTGAAGCAAAGTGGTGGTGTTTTTTCACTGCAGTTTCCAGAATCTTGCAGCCGAAATGGCTATAGGCTCGGGTAGCTGGGGATTCTGGGTGATGTCATTGCGGGGGAGGGGGAGTTAGCTGTTCAATGTTCTTCGCTGAAGGTATGCGTAAAGCTCATCTAACCAAACTGGACCAACCAAGGCATGGAAGGGGGGTAGCTTATAGGACGCTCTTCCTGCATGCCACTCTCTTAGCATCAGCCCAACAGGAGTGCCTTACTTTTGCTAATGTTCTACTGGGGTGTGTCTCCGTTACGGTTTTGATCCAATTTTAAAACTCTTCCTTAAGGGCCAGGGCTCCCAGATTTTGGAAGATGGCAGTTATACTTGCGCAAAGAATATTTCTGGCTTGCTTAGCAAAAAAAAAAATGGCATTTTCTGGAATTCTTTGGGTGTGTGTGTCTGGAAATGCATGAAAGTTGTGCAGAGCAAAAATGGCAAGAAGGTGGGGAGTTAAGGATCCTCGGTAGGAAGTCAGCCGCTATGTTTTGTTCCCCCAAACTCAGGCCCTGGTTCTGGACCTTGAATGTGAGCTCAATGTGGGTGTTTTGGAAGGCTAGAAAACTTCAGCGTTTGTCTGGACAACGGCTTGTTCACCTGCTTAAGGACTGTTCCACTTCTTTTTGCTGTGCTATATCACGTCCCTTTCTATTATGTGTACTCTCTCTCCAAACAAACACACACTCCTACACTCACGTAGCTATCCTATGCTGTGTTCCATTTTTAACATTTCACTCCTCTGCCTTCCGATCCATGCTGGGGGTTGGAGGGTCCAGGGAAGTTCGTAAAGCACTGTGTCCCATCTCGTGGTCTTTTCCATTGCAGCCAACGTGAATAAAATCAGAATCACCAGATTTTGAATTACCCTCTGTATTTACTAAGAGTGACAACAGGGAAAATAGTATGGAGGGAATGAATAAGCAGTAAGGCAGGCAGGTATGGTGGGAGATTGCAGAGGGTGAGACGGAGACTAAAAAACAACATTGTGCCACTGTGTCTATAGCTTTTTCTGGACTCTCGTCACATTTGAAGCCCTGATGACCACGCGGGGAGACGTTTGTAAACCAGAAAGCCACTGATAGTTCTCTTTCTCTCTTCAAATGTTGAGAGCCAACCAGGATTGACAATACAGTAGTATGCTTTTATGGGTAACAGGCAAGTAATTTTTTTCTGGATGTATTTGGAAAGCTGATGTAATGCAGCAGGAAGAAACAGATAATATTTGTTCTGAGCTTGCTAAAACAGTCAACTCTGGGAGGTTATTTCTGTAGAGTGAATTGTTTTTATCTCTGGATACAGAGCCTATCTATCTTTAGAAAAGGTATTGTAACATTTTCTCATGATATATGTATTTTTGCACTGTTCTTTTTGCAGTCTCTGGGCCTTTCATAGACTGTCTTGTTATCCGCAAAGGAAAATGTTCCATGAGGAGACACAGAAAGCACAAACTGGACTGTTGCTGAAAAGGCACCCAAGAACCAGCTCAGGTCTTTCTCATTTTCACAAAGGGGCCGTGTGTGTGTGTGTGATATGATGTGACATTTCTGCTTCCTTGAAACGGATTTGGTCTGAAGGCTGTAGGAATAACATGACTTTCTGAAATGCATCTGCATGCCATTGTGTCAGCAGTTAGCAGATAATGGGTCAGTGTATATACAGTAGCATATAACAAGCACTGTTAGTCACTAACATTTTGATCAAGGCATTTCCTGATCCTTGTATTTTTGTCTCACAATCATCACCTATTCTTGTCCCTTTTGCTGGCTGCTCACTGCCAGCAAATACCCAAAGTCCAAATAATCTTAGTATCTGACACTGGAATAAGTTCAGGACATCTTTTTTTTAAAAATCAGCTTTATCTAGAGTTTCTGAGGGTTTTGAAAGCTGAAGTTGTAACAGGCCTTACAACCTATGAAAATAGCAAAATACATCGGATGAACTCTTGTTTGACAGCTGAGTTTTAAAATCCAGTAGAGATTTAAAGTTTGTCAGGAATGGTTTAATAGGAGATACCTACATTTGCAGGGGGCTGGTCTGGAGGATATGTGGGGAACTCTAGAATTCTTTGAGCCAGGCAGAGAGAGCCTCACAGACTTTTCCAGCTTAGTGTCTCATCAGGCTGCATCACAGAGGTAAGCAAATTGATTATACCTAGAGAATACCATCCACTCACCGTTCCGCTGTTGCTACAGGCTCTGCTCTCCCTTCCTGTCGCTCTGGAGCTTGCAGTCTGCAAGCTACTCCTGGCAGGAGACTTGCAGTCTGCAAGCCACTCCTGGCAGGAGACAGCCTTTGTACCAGGTTGAACAATGGCTCGCAGGAAGGCATCGCTCCCAGGGGGCTGGACCCTCCTTATGTCCACCTTTGTGGGGCGTATTCATATTCAAATATGAATATCCCGATCTCTAATTATACCCACTGCAAGGTTGCAGCTGTATGTCCTCAGCAAAGCACCTTTTTCTGTGTGTTATTATACTTACCCCACTGCATGGAAATCTGAGCTAGTATGCAAAGTCTTTTTTGCCAGACAGCCCACTAGAAAATCCCCCTCTTCCATGACAAATAAGGTGAACTTCGCCTGTTTTTATTATTTCTTTAAAACCATGGTTTGACCGATTTTACATAATTAGAAAAACAAGACAAAATGGTTATTTATCCTTCAAAGGCTAACTTTCTGGCAACGAAATGTAAATCAAACTTGAAATATTAGGCACAACTGCTGATGGGCATAGCTTCATTTCTCTCCCCAAGCACCAGCGCATATTTTTGTAACACTAAAAAAACGGGGGGGGGGGACACTAACACTAAAAAAACAGCCCTTACAGTTTGGAACCCCCACTTATATCCAGCACTTTTTGGGGGGGCTATTTAAGGACCTAACGGTCTCATCAGTTAGACATTGCACAGACACATCTCAAGAACTCCTCAAGCCACTCCTCCAGCGGCTGTTTCACATTTGTGCAGTTGCACACCCAAACAGAAAATTCCTTTGCCATAGGCCCCTGGTTCAGGGCTCGTAGTCAGCTACTAGAATCAACAAAAGGGGAGGAAAATCCCTTTAGATTCTAGTATTTCAAGTCTGTGCTCCCACTTTCCGTCCCCCAGTAACTGGGCCCTGTAATGTCCTCCAAGCTGGGAAGCCCTTCAGTCTTCCCGGAGGTAGGCCTCCTCCGTCTCCTCCATGCTGGCCTGCCGACTGACGGCTGGTGAAGGTTCCTCTTCACTCATTTTCAGGAGTTCCTCGGTCTGGGCTTCGGCCAGCTTGGTCTCGGCCTTCTGCGACAGCTGGCGGGCCTCTTGCACTTGGGTTCGTACCAGCTGGATGTGGTTATGTGCCGTCACGGAGGCCTGGTCAGCCCCTGAATAGGAGACGGGGAAAGCAGAATCCCATCAACAGCTCTTACAGGAATCTGGCATATTTTAGCTTTAAAGCTCTTTGTGAAGTCTTGCAGTGCATTTTAACCTTTTTGAATGGGAAAACCTCCTCCCGCCCCACAGGAGATTCAGCCTCCAGTGTAACCTCTTTTTGCGCTCCTCCCTCCATCCTTCACATGGTCACACCAGAGAGCTGCATGAAGCCAGGGGCTACTCCAAATAGGATGTATACAAGAATGATTGGAATGCACACCCATAACGGAAAATAATCCATGGCATTTTTGTTGCATACAAGCAAAGATCTCCAGAATGGAGTGACATTCTTAATAAAATTAAGTCTTTGCATGATAAAATTGTATTTAAAAGATTTGATAATAAAATGAAAGATGGAGAGTCACTGGCAGCAATACAGGATAACATTGAAGCCATTGTTGTTTACTGCCATAAGTTTAAAGTGAATCCTATATGAGGTCTAAGTGTATCGGTTACATCTGGACACCCAGCAAACTCTCAAGGGTAAGATGCTTAATCAGTTGGGAGATACTATTAAAAAAATCTCAATCACTCACAACTTATCCATCTTTTTAGAATTTTGCTCTCCTAGATTATATTTCCTGGAACCCAAACAACAGTCTAGTCACTTCCAATTCTGCCATCTACTGGCAGAAACTGCAGGGGATAATTGTGATCTGAGAATATAATGTATAATAACACTTCGTCCCCCTGTCAGTTAAGGAATTAAAATACTCAGTAGAAAGATTAATACAAGTTCCACTAAAATTAACAGACTGTCTGAGGGGAGGCATGGTGCTAAATAATATTATCTTGACCAATTCTAGCAGTATCTCCAATTCCAAATTCAAAACCCAAAGAATATTTATCCACCAATATTAGCATCGAAAGGAGCATGTAAAGTCACAAGCCATTTTTTCCTTAAAACTTCTGTATGACGACCCCCGTTTTTATAAATCAGGGAAGTTTAACACTTTGGCATTCGGATAGGGATAAGAAGCCAAAAAAGGGAGAGATAATTCAAGAAAATAACATCCTTTATGTAAGACAGAGGGACTAAGGTGAGGGGAAAAAATTAAAAGCTATTAGTGCTCCATTTGCACTTAATGATGGGGATATGTATTTTGAATGAATAATACCTGACTGATATGCTGCTTCTGCTGCCATCTCAGAAAGCCGTAAAGCAGTCATCCACCTGGATTCTAACTTCAGATATTCTTGCTTCTTTGCATTCACCTAATTAAAGCCAAACAAACCACCAAGAGTGAACTTGCTTATTCCATAATAAACATAGCATTTCATAAGCAGATTAAGGATGCGGTCAAGCCTCCTATTTGACACTTTCAGGAGACCCCTCTCGTCTGTCCTTCCAGTTGTGTGTCAGAATGTTATTTTTTGTTTAATTTCAATTTAGCTCTTTGGCCAAATTGGAACGAAGTGGAGGATTTGAATCCAGGACTCTCAGGTTCAAAGATGGAATTCTGAGATGCAAGAGCCCTTCTTGCTCCCAAACTGCCGAGGTGCCCACCCTGGGTTCCTTACCTCTACCCGTGCACCAATGATCACTTGCCAGACCGCATCTTCCTCTTTGGAATTTAGCTTGCCAAGGAGGTTTGTATATTTTTGGTACAGAGACACCAGTGTATAAACTGCCTGCAAAAGGGAGACATGCTTCGTATTAGCTGCATCATGCTGACCCGATGCTTAGGTTACAGCTGTGTTTTTCCCACCACAGAATGAGGGTATCTGGAAGCATCTCACCGCAGTATAGTCTGTCAGAGCTTCAATTAACGCATACGTCGTTTGGGAGAGAAGTGTACCAGTGCTATCGGTTACCAAAGAGACTGCTCTGCGGATCAAGGCTTCATTGCTGAGAGAACCTGGATCATGTTTCTGAAAGACACACGTGATGACGCCTTAGTCAGGTTGCCTTCCAAGGATAACAGCTCTTCAGAATCAAGGGACAAGGAAAAACTGAATTTTTTTAAAAAAGGGCAGTCATCCTATTCCCACAGCAGCAGGTTCACATTGCTACAGGCCGTGGTCAATCTACTGCAATCACGTAAGTAGATTAAAAGATTTATAACACTGAGTGGAGAGCGAAACCGGGAAGCCTTTATCTTGCAGCTCAAGAGTAAGAAGGCTGCACTTTACTCCCTGAAGAGAAGGAATGGGGCCAAATCTCTTAACAGAGGCGCCAGTCAAGACTTCAACCCGGCCCTCGTTAACACCAAGAAATGTGACCCCTGCCCCCATCCATCCCAAAGTCATGCAACCCTCACCTGGTCAGGAGAAAATTATCAGCAAACTACAACACACCTTAAAGAACAGAAGAAAGTTACAGGCGAGGCAGCTACAGAACGAAGGAACCCAAAAGGTAGCAGCTCGGATCCTTCCACTGTCACCATTATTACAAACCACTGTTCCCTTAGAGATGCTTACCTGTGTAATAGGGACCGCAGACAGGGTGGCTCCAAAACCCAGCACTGCCACTTTCTTCCATGGACCCCTCAGTCCTGACACCCAGCGAGGCCTCACGTTTGCCAGGACTGGGAAACTCTGCCTAGAAAAATACATCCATCTCAGTTATACAGGAAAATATACCTCCCTTCGAGCAGGAATTGGTGTCTATGGGAGAGCCCTTTGGCCATAACTGATGCCCGGGAAGTCCTCTTTACCATCTCCTGACTCCAAGAGAATATGCAGCGGGAACCCAAACTTGTCTGTCTTTTTTATACAGTACTCCAGAGATGCGGCCTTTTTGCTTTTGTTTTTAAACTAGCCGAGTCTGGGTTTTTCTTCCTAAAATAATTTGTACGTTTTAGGCTATGCAGACTTTCCAGAGATGAGCAAGCTAGCCTGGCATCGTTAAAAATGGAGATACTGACTATTCAGAGAGAAAGACTTGTACCACAAATTCTAATGTTGTATCATTATTCACTTTATGCATTTATTACACCACCCTCTATTACCATCACTAGTTCGGAATATTATATCCCACAGAGATAGATGATTTAGACCCAATACAAGCCCAATACAGAGAAACACAACACAATGTGTGCACACCATGCACACACTTGCTCACCATCTAGGGCTGGAAAGATAAAGATGAACAGAGGATTTTTAATGCCACATTTGAGCTGTCAGGGGCTTGTTCTGCGTTTTAAAATACAGTATTGTCTTTTAAGGAGGCTAAGCCCCGTTGTTTACTAACGTTTCCACTTTAAATATAGTATTTCATTGCCGTAAGCCGCCTTGGATCCCTTTGGGGGAAAGAAAGGCGGAGTAGAAATATTTTAACTCAATAATAAAGGTCAAACGGCCCTCGGTGGGCGCCTGGAAGCCTAGCGAGCAACAGGGGTTGCCCCCTTTCCTCAAGGAAAGGGGGAGAAGGAGGGGGAGACCCCCATCCTAAAAGGGGACACCCGCCCCCCCCAGGCTCCTGAGGCTGAGAGGATCCCCTCCAGGGAGGACACGGCGGAATGAAGCCGCTCGCCCGCCATTACCTGAGAAGGAAGCACCAGGACCGCCGCCACCAGACACTCGCCGCACCCGCCATCTTAACGGCCTCGCCGGAGTCGCGGCGGAAATGACGTCGCGCCGAAGCAGGCCCCTTCCGGCTGACAGCGCGAGACGGTCTAGCCCGTCTCGCCACTCTCTATGGAAACGTTCCCATAGCGACGTCCCCTGCAAGCCCTCCGCTGCCGGGCTTCGCCCCGCCCCTTCCGGGCCAAAAGCCAGGATGAGGAAGGGACCGAAACCATAGACTTTTCAAGGGACAGAGCGGCTTCGTCTTTTTTTCCTTTCCATGGCCCCCTCAGTCCTGACGCCCAGCGAGGCCCGCGGACGGTTTGGTCCTCCGGCTCCCCTACGCCTCTGTCAGCCGCTAAACGGTAAGGAATCCTGGGAGTTGTAGTCCGAGACCAACCACGCCCCTTCGCTTTTCGAGCTACCACTTTTTCACCGGGCCTTCGGAGGAGGAGGAGGAGGCAGCAAGCCGGGCTCGTGCGCATGCGCCCAGGGCGGCGCGTGAGGCGCCGTTAGAGGGAGGCGGGGGGGGCGCGCGCGTGCCCGTTGGAGCTTCTCGTTTTGGCGGGAAGAAAAATTCCCTCAAGAGAAGGGAGGGGGGGAAACAAAATGCCAGCCGCCCTTTTTCCCTCCCAATTTAAGAGTCGCCTTAATGGGACTTCATTTATTGAGGAAGTGAGAGGGGAAAAAAATAACAGTGTAAAACTTGAGCCTGTTCCCTGTATGAAATTTCTCCTGCTTCTTCCCCTTTTCGCATATTTTTTTCTTTTTTTGAAGACGACCTTTTTGGGGTGAAAACTCAAAAAAGGAACATTGCCCCAAGCAGGAGACCAGGAGGACAAAACCAACGTTAAAACCAGCTGATTTTATAAATCTGATAAGCAAACAAACAAAATAAATGCTTGGGCCAGATTTAAAAGCTCCCCCTCCCGAGGCTTTGACGCCACTTGCGCATCTTCTTAAAATATTATTTTAATATTTCAATTAAATCTTATTTGTGAGGGAAATAGCAAGGGTGGCATGGGCCAATTTTTCAAAATACCTGATGTGACTATTTCTGGGGTTGGGGGTGGGCAGGTTTGACCCTTAAGGAATGTCTAGTCCTGTTAGACGCCACCACCACATTTAATTTATATTTATTTATGTTTCCTTGGTTTTCTGATGGTCTTTGTACTTCTAGACCAGAGAGTCTCCAAAATGGCTTGCGAGGTGAATGGAACGAAGGCTGCATCCTTATCCCTCAATTCCCCTCCTGTATTGAATTTTAAAAAGTATAAGAGGATTTTAAACGTATAAGAGGACAGATAAATCCTTGTCTTAAGGTGCTTCCAAAAAAAAGCACCAGGTTTATTGATAGGGCTGTATCAAAACAAACAGCACCAAACGTCCCTTATCCATTCAGCCAGAAAAGCAAAACATGTGTTTGAAAAACAGGTTACAAAGTGCCTGAATGTTCCTAAAGAAGTGTTTCTAAAGTAGGAAGCCGTGCTTCAATAACTTCCTTTTAATTGTTGCTCTCAAAGGGATCTGAGCTCCCAACTATGAAATCAAGAGCTTTAAACAAAATGCTATTAATAAACTGTAAAATTTTAATTTGGGGGGGGTGTTGTCCTTTGATTAAGTACTTCTAACCACAATAAATAGCTCTGTGTTTGAGAAACAGTTATCTATATATGATTATTTAAGGTAAAAAATAGTTAAATGGCATAGCCTTTGAGTTAAAAAAGACCACCCCAACACAATGATGACTGGTAAATTGCATTTAGCCATCTTGAATCCTTTTAACGAGAAAAGCAGAGTAAAAATATTTTTAATGTATGAATACATTTATAATTTTAAATACTTAGGATAGTGTATATCTTCAGGACATTCAGATCAGCTTTGCAGTCCTGTTATTGAATTTTAGAGGATGTGCTGACATATATTCTTATGCTTTTATTTGAATATCTGTTCTTCAGTTAATGGGGATTTAATGTTAACGGTCCCCCAATTTTAATAACAAAAGTTACACAAAGCATTGATTTAGTGATTTTATAATGCCTTTGGATTAAAAAAGGAGCATTTTTAATACCACAATTTAGTGATTTTATAATGCCTTTGGATTAAAAAAGGAAGGAAAAAGATTTGATAAATGATAATGTGAGAAATAATAATAAGGAGTTAATGTTTAGAAAGTGTTCCAAGTATAGCAAAAATGATAATAAATCATCTTCAACAGCTCAGCCAACAGCTGACAAAAAGAAGACATGTTACAACTTGATCATCATACAGTTCCAGCTTTGGTATTTCCACTGAAAGAGAAGAGGAATTTGAGAGGATAAAGAAAACAAAACCATTAATTATTCAATCATTTGGGTTGTATCCAATTTATCTGAAAAGTATGTAATTTGGCAGGAGACAAAAGAAGCTTACAAATCTCAAAAATAAAAAGCGGCATTGGAATTATTTATCAGATCCTGGACACATTGAGTGAATCTCGGCCCCTTCTGTTTGTTGCAGGTGAAATGCAGGACGAGTGTCACTTAAGCACCAGAAAATAGGTGGTCCAGCCCGCCAGGAGCAGGGCCCCGAGCAGCACGGTGTAACTGAACAGGACAAACGCCAGAAGCTCCTTCAGCACCTTCAGGAAATGGACAGCAAACGACTCCTGCATGATTCTGGCTCTATAAACTGGTGGAGGTAAATGCATGCAGATCGCCTGATCTGTAGAAGAGGTAAGAAAGAGACAGAGGAAGAATTAAAGATGCTTGGAAGTGAAAACTGACCTTAAATCAACCCACTACCTTAGCAGCTTCAATGAACAGTTCGATTAGTTTTCCAACACTGTAATTTTTACGCATTTCTAGTCAGAAATGAGGAGTTTTTTTTTAGAAGGGGAAAAGTTTTGGAGATCTCTGTATTTAAGCTGACCTAGTTCCCTGGGCAGCCTTGAAATTATTATTGCCAAAATCTAACCACAAGCTCAAGATACAAGGCAAGTTCTAAAATACAAATGATAATTACCTGCTGATGCAAAGGGTCAGCCCAATATGAGGCGGTGGGACCCTCTCAAATGGTTTGTGTGCAGTTGGGGGAGCAGAACCTGTAGATCTATTGCTAATAGTGCATTAATTCCAACCAGGAGGAATAAACAAAGCAATAATTTTCTCCAAAGGGAGCCCACTTTAATATTTAATGTTATAATTGCATCTAATGGACAGACTGGCATAAAACTTTTGTTTATGGTTTGGGGGCTGAGGACAAAGTGTCTGTCTTGCATCTTTGCATCAGCCAAAAATAACTGCAGCTCAAGCCGAGAAATGTTTAAAATCCATTTCTTGTCAAATCGATACACACCATTTATCATCTGGATCTTCTGCTCTGTTAAGGTGAAGACAATAAGCTGCAACAGATTAAAGTTTGGAAATGTATATGCTTGGTTTTCTATTAGATTCTACTAATATTTACTATTTATCTGTTTCAGTAGGATGAGGTATATGTTGGTATAAACATAAAAGATAGCACCTCTTTATTTATTTATTTATTTTATTTTATTTATATCTCTTTCTCATGGTATTAAGTATGCTGAAGTTTCATTTTAAAAGAGATAAAAACCTGAATAGGTCACATGATAAATAATCTCACGTTTGTCTCCACAGCAGAAAATAAAGCCAGGATCAGCCTGCTGCTAATCTAGGAAGGTAATTTCTCTCCCAAAGAAAATTAAAGCAGTTGGAAGTGAACTGAATTTGCACCACATCCGAGGGAAAAGGTAAACCACTTCTTAATATTGTCTACCTAGATAACTTGAAAAGGGTCGCCAGAACTGGCTTGACGGCATAGGATTGTTTTGCAATAATTTATCAAAGTGGACATAGAATTGACTTGACGGCATAGGATTATTATGCAATAATTTATCAAAGTGGACAATTTAAAAATTATTTTACACTTATATCTATTAATAATTTCTGGAAACAACATATAGTTTACAGATTTTACCCAAGAGAAAACATGCATAACTTAACTATTATACAAATAAGGTTATATAGCACCAGTTTTCTTTTTCTCAGTGTACAAAATAAAATTCAGCTGCTGGGAAAAAGTTGCTTACCGTGGGTAAACGATGGCATTTAAAGTTCCTGGTTTGCTTTTGCTTCTGATCTCCTCTCTCTCTCTCTCTCTCCCCCCTGAATGTCTGCCTTATTGAAAAGCTTGTGATGTATCTGGATCTTCTTCTACTCAGCTAATCTGAAGAGGCTGGCATAATGACGCTGTATTTCCAAGGCTACTCCAGTACTAATGGACTAGGTGTGGTCAGGGACCAGTTCAAGGGAAGGATATATATATAGCTCCTTTGTTCATCTTTGTTGTGCGCTCACATACACAATTATTTATAGTTTCTTATAATTTGAACGGAATATATCCAGCCAGAGTAGCTTTCCTCACCCCCATTAAGTTCTCCAGTTACTGCCTATGAATCTGATGGAGTGGACTGTGACCAGTTACTGCCTATGAATCTGATGGAGTGAGTGGACTGTGACTCTCTCTCTCCCTCTCTCTCTCTCATGTGTGGCACCTATAGGGTTCTGTGAGTCTCTTGTTTTTGATGCATTTTTCATAAAAAGTGATTCTCGCTCCATGTATTTTTATTATTGTTGCTGCTTACTTTCCATAAGCGTTACTATATACGTATGGTGTCTGGTAAGGTTCCCCTTGACATTTAGTTCAATCGTGTCCGACTCTAGGGCACAGTGCTCATCCCCGTCTCCAAGCCGTAGAGCTGGTGTTAGTCTGAAGACCGTTTCCGTGGTCACGTGGCCAGCACGACTAGACACAGAACGCCATTAGCTTCCCACTGTGGTGGTACCTCCTTATCAACGCGCATTTACATGCTTTCAAACTGCTTGCTTGGCAGGAACGGTGTCTGGTGGGACACTGGAATTGGTAGTAAATTGTTTGTATATAATCCAGGTTGAAAATTCCTGTGCTCAGCAGAGGCAGAGAGGTTGGTAAGGTGTGACATTCCTTCCCCCCACCCCACCCCAAAGACAAAAACCTATTCTCAGTAGCCAAAGCCCTGCTACTGACTTTTAAAGCAAGCATGTCATGTTCTTTGACTCAGTGCACTGCTTAGAAGGGAGAAGACCAAGGACTCTTGAAAGAAGGAGCACTGCTACGCCCTCATGACCCTCCGAAGGGCCGTGGGGCAGGTAATGTTGCTACCTGTGCAGTGCATCTCGCCTGGTGGCTCGGCCTACAGGGCCTTCCAAACCAAATGCATTCCAAACAGAGTAGAATTTGAAAGGCGACTCAAGTGTGCAGCGAAGGAAGCGGCCTCGTGAGGTCACCAGTTTCAGACCATCAGCGATGTACACGGGTAGCTGTAAGGAAGGGGTGAGCCCTCAGTGCCCCCTGCCCAGACTTACCCCATAGACCGCACTGGCAAAGGGGACGCGCATTACAGCCCAACATCTGGAGAACAGTCTATTCCCATCCTTGTGGTAGACGCAGAAGTGCTTCCAATCTCTGCAAAAACTTCCATCAGAAAAGGGACTGTTCCTCTAACCAGAATGCAGCAATTTCTCCACCACGTTTCCTGCTCCTTCTGTTTCAGCTGAAAGCATCCCTACTGTAAATATATCTGCTGAGATACATTGTATCTTTACAAATGGACTCTAAATTTAATCAGGTACTCTCGTTATCGAATTATTAGCCTCGTGATCAGCAAGGCCCTCATCAAAAACAAAGCAAAATCAAGCTACTGAGGAAGCCTGTTAAGGTGTAATTATATCCCCAGAGATTTGCTGAAGGCTGCCAGCTTTTTCCCAGAAACAGACACACGCTCTCTCTCCTTAGTTTAGGGATATAGATTTTAACAAATCCCAAATCTTCTGAAGGAAGATGGCAAATTAATGTGGCTTTGCTAAAGTACTCTTTTGGAAACGCATCCATTTACTTGCACTGCTTCTCTCTCTTATATACTGCTACTTTGTATAATTTTATAATTGTTTTCAGAATAAAAATTGTGGATATTAGTGATACTTTTATCAGTATCTTTTAAAAGTACTTTAATGTGTAAACTGCCCTGATGCAGCTGACAGCTCTTAAAAGAAACGTATAATTACTTGAAGTAAACAAAAAACTTGTAGAAATTTGAGTAAGATCATACTGCTTAAAACTATATGGCTATGTTGTTGTTTTGTTATTTTATATGCAGTTGTATCTTGTTTTAGAAGGGAACAGTTATTCTTGTGATGTCAAAAGACTGATATTAATTTAATTTTAGGAGGAAAATACTTTGATCTTAGGGAATTTTTTAGTCTATTTAAAAATTGTTTTGATGTCAGAGTAAAAGACTCTCCCTTTGTGAGTGCGCCCACTGGAATATTCACAGGAGGATGTGACAAGCTTGAAATATGTAACACAAGATAACAGTTAAGGGCAAATAAGAATCCAGGAGAAGTTACTGAAAAAGAAGCACTGAATTACCCTCTCTAATAGCAATGGCACATGAGGAGAAAGGCATTATATTAAAGAAATAAAGAATAATAAACAATTACGTACTTGGTCTAGGTAAGGAAAAACTAACCATGTGTTTACTTTTCCTTCCATGTACTTTAAAGACAATTCAATGTTTATCTTAAGTCCTATGACACACACGCTGGACCAGGCGTGGGAATACATCTTTATTACAATCGTGTGTTTCTTGCATTTTCATGCACAAAACATCCTGTTGACCTCAAGATGTATCAGTCTGGACTTGATCACTGCTGACTGACTTCAGAGAAAGATAGCTAAACAGTGTCAGCAAAATGTTCCATTTATTTTTCTTCCACTCCGCACCATTACAGCCACTGGTATGTGAAACTGTATGCAGCCAATAAAGAATGCTCTCTGTAATCTGGCACACAGAATGTATAATGCATTTTTTTTTTTAAAAAACTTGCTGCATGTCTCAAGATATGCTGAACAAGGAACAAGGCCCGAGAGAAATTGCATAATATACACAGCTGAGGAAATGGTCCTGAGGTCACATGGAAAATTACAACATTTAATCCTGTGACTTCTGTGGATCTTTGTAAGTAGCTCTGGAATGGCAACTCAGTGGGAAGAAGCACGGCAAGCATAACAGCTGTTGTGGGAAATGAAGGGAAGGAAAAGAAAGAAAAGAAACGGGGGGAGGCGCTGATACCATAAAGAAAAAAAGCACCCTGTGTTTCAGGGAAGTATGGGACTGTGGAACAGGTCCACCCCAAAGGGATATTTAGAAACTGCAATAAATAAAATGATACATCTGAGACTGATGCCAGTAGATTCAGTGTAAGGCTCACGCCCAGGGAGCATCACATGATTTCAGCCTTTTCCTGATGTCTCTGTTTCAGACGCTAACATTAGGAGCAGTCTTAGTTTGTAACCTTTCATTCCTTGGTGTCCTCCTCTCTTTTAGAGGCAGCCGCTCCTCGAGAGAGTCCCGAACGATCAAAGCAGGAAAGGCTGCACAGAGAGAACCACACCCGGTTCCACACCCGGTGACCGGCAGGGACGCCAGAGGTCCGTCTCCGCCGCCAATATCCCTCGGCTCGGCTCCTCTCCAGACAAGAGGCGCCTGAGGAGCAGGCGGTCTCCCTTCACCCCGTGCGTGGCGTCGCGCTCTAAAAAGGAGGCGGCTCCAACTTCTCCATCAGGGATTTGATCCAGCTCGTTCCATTGATGAGTTTGGTCGTGGCAACGACATACTCGGTGCCGCTGTCTTCCATCTGGGACAGAAACCGGAGGGCAGCAATCTCGGCGTACGTCACGCCGCCCAGGAAGAACACCAACGTGACTCGGTTTTCTCCGTGCTGACCTGCGTGTGGAGAGCAAGGAAAAGAGTAAAGCATTGGCTTCAAAGTCATCTGTCGCTCACCACCATTGGCACCCACCCACTCAAGGCCCTCCGTCTGCTCCACTCGGTTTCAGGTCAAAGTCCCAGGCCCAGTGTGTGTGTGTGTTGCAACTGCAGAAGACTAGATTCTGCACACAGGAAGCAGAATCAGGCAGGAACACAGGAGAGGGCCTTCTCTGTCGCTGCTCCCAGACTTTGGAACTCCCTCCCACAAGAGGCCAACCCTGGCCCCATCTTTGCTGCCCTTCCCTCTTCAGGGAAGCTTTTCTTTAAATGCCTGGGTGACCAAGGGGATTTTTAAAGGAAGCATTTTATTCTGTGCTTTACTTGTGTTTTTGTTATGATGAGTTTTAATATGGTATTTGCTTAATGCTTTTCAAAGACTGTAATAATTTATTATTTGGCTTTTAACTTTTTGTATATACTTTAAGCTGCCTTGGATCCTTCAGGGGAAAGGCAGCATATGTTTTAAATAAATAAATAGGCTTGTGCTCCAGGGCTTGGAGGCCTCCGCAATTTCAGGATCTTGCTGGTTGCCATTAGCAGCCTCTCCAGCAGCTCAAAGCAAAAGCAGGGCGTATCAAAACGAGCTGAATCTCTGTCCAAGCATACTTACGCTTTTTCTGGAGCCCGGTTGGCAACTGCTGCCTCTCCTCAAAGTGCGGCCCTGGGAGCATCTTTAGGACCTCTTCTATGCTTCGCCACCCTGGCCGAGTGAGCAGCTGTGCCAGGCGCACGCTCAGAGGCGCATAGCCACTGTATACGTAGGAAATATCACTGGGATTCTGCAGAGGGGGAGAAGAGGAATCACCAAGGAGCCGGGGGTCCATTTCGAATCAGTCTGCATAAGAGTTTCCGCACTAATATTGAGAGAGAAAAGACGCAACGTACCTGTTCATTGACATCATCCATCCATAAGCGCAAAGTTTTCCGAATGGTTGGGTAGTTGTTTCTGCTACTTAACTGGGCCTTCAACAGCCCCACCTTTTCTAGATTATTTAGAGTTAATATGTGTTCATAGCCATAAGTCTGTAACAAAAACAACAGTCAGTTAACATTGGTGCCCTTGTATTTTTATACCATTGTACACAAAATTGAGAGCTGAAGGTTCACGCATCTGTATGGGTGGAGGGAAACGATGCTTCCCCAAACTGTGTACTAATTTGAGTTTGAACAGCTTTTAGCTATGTGGCAAAGTAAACCTATACACTTTCACTTGCAATGTTCAAAATGTCTTATTCCAAGGTAAGTGCGTAGGGTTGAGACTGAAATCTTCAAACTGGAGATTCTGAAAATTAGATTTATACGGGTGGCAGAAAGTTAGACAATAATTGAAAATGTCTGCTTAAACAAAATAAAAGGCCAAAGAAGGGTCCCACCATTTCTCTGTAATTAACAAAGCTTCATCTGCCCACGTCCACCCCAGCCCTGCTGGATACAACAGGCAGTTCTGATGACTGGACAGACTCCCGGGCCATAAGATTCTTTCAATACATTAGCACTGGTCTTTTCACACCTCTGACCTGGATAATTTCTCTCTTATAATAATCCAGAACTTTTTGCTTCAGTCCACTGTTGCAAACTGACTGCAGGCAAACAAGCCTCAATATCTTTATCAAGGGATGTTTTTGAGCGATGCAATCTTCAATGTAACTGTTGACCTGGGCAGGGAAAAAAACCAACAGAAAAAGACAAATAAAACCACTAGATTCAGAGAGGCTGAGCCATGGTTCTGGTTTACAGTTTTAGGAATGCATAGTCAGATGGGAAATATTCTTCCCCATCACAGGATTTCAAAGGCACTGTGCTTCAACTAACCAGAAAAAAAAAGGATTCCCCGTTATTTTAGTTATTTATTCTATATAAATATAACTATATAAAAAAATCATAAAAACAGATACAATTAACCCACAGTAAACTGCCATACAGTAAAAAACCCACAAGATTTTGTATTAAAACAGCAGGAGAATTCAAAGCAATTTAAAGTGCGCCTATTCAAAACTATATAGCACCCTCTGTTAAAGCTGTTGCTTCAGCATCCAGGCAGCTGTCAAACTCCTGACTGAATAAAAACATCTTTGTCTTTTAGGTACAGTTTTTGTTCCCCAAGAGTGTTGATTTTCAAATGATCCCTCAGAGCCACTGTTGATCTAGGGTTACAAAGCTCCTGCCACGGGTGCTGAGGACACGGGGCCCGAGGAAGGACGCTCAGCCATCAGGAGTCACAGCGACAAAACCCACCTCACAAAATGTACACCCGCCAGTGTTCCAAGGAAGACTCGATGGTGGCCCACGTAAACGACTTACACAAGAGTTCTCACTTACCTTGTCAGTGTCTATTCCTGACATAAACTCTTGTTCCACGGTTAAATTATCAAAGAAGTCTTCGGATGCTTAAAGAAACAAAACAGAACAAAACCAAGAGTAAATTAACACATCCAATTGTGTTAAATGTGCCTGAAGTACAGGCAAAACGGCATGGATTTATTTATTCATTTGGTCCTCTTTACACACACAAATTTAAGGAAACAACAAACGACCGCCAGAAGATGCTTACTCGTGATGTCCTTGATTAGCTCCGCAACTGAAGTGTGGTTTGCCAAAGAGCTCCTTGCCGCCTGCATGTGCGGCAGCTGCGAGACAAACTGCTTGATCTCGCCGACCGTTTTCGCGTGGTGCCTCTCCTAGAATGAACCACACAACCAGCAGCTTAGAGTAGATTTCCACCCGCATGGAACCATGATTTCTAATTTATATTATGTTCGCTCTTTGAACTGAGAAAAAAAAACAGCACTGCGTAGTTGAAAGGAGACATCCCTCCGCCCTGCACAACGTACCAGGGCTTTTTGCTTTGAGAATCTTGATGTGAAAGCAAGTCATAAATATCTAAAATTAGTAAGTTCGTCCAATCTAATGATGTGAGACATTACCATCTTCTATCCTTAAGACTGCTTTCTGAATGGAGATTTTTTTTAAATTAAATAATAGAAACATAAGAGAGCTAAACCCCAACGACTGACACGTCGAGGTGTGTAAGGCCCTGTTAATAAAGATGATCCAGAAGTTGCCTTCTGTATCTACCTTCTAGCAAGGCAACAAGCAAAAATTACACACTCATGACAGTTAAGCACATTTATTTAAAAGTACAGAACTTGGCTGAAGTGTAAACTCTATGAACGGCAGGCCCAGACAGGAAGGCAATCATGAAGTCAACGGGCCCTGCTGCTGTTTCATTATCACCAACCGTATCCGACAATCTCGCACATTCCAGCATAATTATAATTGCCAGGGCCAATTAAAAAGCTTGAACCTCAACAGGGTCACTTTAACACGGAGGCCGGCAGAGAGAAAAATGGGGTGGCTTTACCTCAAATGCAGCCGATATAATTTTGGCTCTCTTGCTCAGCACGGATCCTACGGCGTTGAAGTTCTTGTCTCGGATCTCCGCATACAGCTCCTCGGCGGAATTGAGCTGCAGCTTCTTGGGCTCTGTCGGGAGATCCTTCCCGCCTTCCCCTTGTTTCTTGGGAGCAAACTTTTCCGGAGGGAGTTTCACATAAGCTGCCGAAAGGAAGAAAAAAAACAAAGAAATAGAATGGCCCTGAGGCCTTTGAAGCACAGAGCCAGGTATACACGGAATGAAATAAATGGACAAATTAAATGTTGTGGAGTTCTGGCAGTGTTTCACGCGGTTTTAAATGACTTAAAGTGGCTTTGGATTGAAATGCATTTGAACTGTCCATTGTTTTAAAGAAACAATTTATGTTAGACAATAAACGTTACTTATTGTCTGTCACCTACCCTGAAAACTTTTCATATAAGGCAAGAGATAACTATTTTAAATGAATAAATAAACAAACAAACTGCTATTAGCAATCCTGACCTACTCTTTGGAATTAATTATCCATGACACAGACTTTTGCATGACAGAAAATTAGAGAATCTATAATGTGTGGCAGGTATAGGAGAAACTCTGAAAAATCCATAGTAAAAGCAGAACCTCTAGAAGAGGGAAATAAAAGAATGAAGAAAATATGACCTGCAACAGGCTGGGGAGACCTGAGAAAGGCCTCTGACCACATTGGACCCGTCTCTGAATTCTTGCCAGTTCCTTGGACAAACCCATCAAGGTCCTTTCTGCAACCCACTGGCAGAATAAGGAACATCACCTGCAGAGAGCACCTGTTGCCTGCTTTGTCTAGAAGGAGGACAAGCACACAGTGGCAAGCCAAGGACAGTACAATGGTGCCTCGCAAGATGATTTTAATTCGTTCCACGAAAATTGTCGTCTTGTAAAAAAAGTCCTGCGAGGTTCCCTATGGGAACCTCAAAAGACTAATGAAATTTATTCGTCTTGCAAAGCATGGGTATTGGAAAAAAATTCTTACGAAGCAGGGTTATAGAAAAAACCGTCTTGCGAAACACCATAGGGATCGCGAAAACCAATCATCTCGCGGGTTTTTCGGCCCATGAGGCAATCGTCTAGTGAGGCACCACTGTATTTCCTCCTTCCAGGCAGAAAGAGGAAATCCAGGCAAACAAAATGATTTACTTACTGTTCTGAATTCCATATATTTCATCGATAAGCCCCTCATAGGTCAGCTGCGTGGCCAGAGGCGATATCAAGTCTACATTGCGATCAAGCAGCAGGAGGGTATCAAAGACAGGGAATATTGGATTCTGGCTCCCAGAAAATTCCCGCTTCATCCGGATCATCATATTTGCAACATGCTGAAGGAGTGAGTCAGAAGACTACTGGTTACATCCAAAACATTTTAGAAGGGCAGGAATAGGCACTTGCTACGTTCCTCTGTAGTAACAAAGTTCCAGATTACTAACATATTAACATTTTTAGAGTTAAGGAAGACTACTCCTCTGAGCATATCCTAAGCATAGAAATAGATTTTCAGTTCAAGAACCGAGCTGAGCTCACAGCCCTTTCAGACAAAAAATAAAAGATTTTTGGTTACTCCAAGCTTCGAATCAGAATGCCTAGACAATCTGCATACCGGAAAGAGATCTACCAGCAGATCCCAACTGACCTTCTGCTCACCCCTGATTTACATGATCCATACAAAGCAGCAGCACATAACAAACTAAAAAAGGCATTTCAGCTCAGCTCTACCCGTGCGCATTCTCCTTTGCCAAAGATCTGTGGGATTGTTCCATAAAGTGCCTGGAGAGTCATGAGTCCTTTAGCTGCATGGTAAAGGCTGGTTTGGTCATTTTCTAAGTAACACTCCTGAAAGCAGAAGAGAATGAAAAAAAAAGTCATAAGGCCAGAAAGAAACATACGACGGAATCAGATGGCTTTTCTAATATCTAACATAGATTATTTCTGATTTTTTTTCCGTAGGATCCCCCTTGTAAAATATATGTATAATCTATACAGAGAAAAATACAACCAACAACCCATTTGAATGGTAACATACCATAAAGCTGGAGTCAACAAGAAAAACACCGGCTCTGCTTGCGATAATAACGCGTTACCGACCAACTAACGCAACCTGTGGCTTTCATATCGTCCCTTTACAGGGGGGGGGGCAGGTTGGAAGGATACCTCATCCCAAATTTTATTTTTGGTTTTTCCCCATCTTGAACCATATTACCATTGTTGCTTTTTATTTTATTATACTCTTTTTATTCTGTTTTTATTGTTAGCCGCCCAGAGTAGACTTGTGTCTAGAGGGGGGTGGTATAAATAAATAAATGAATGAATGAATGTGAAGGAGCCAAACACTGACCTTAAAAGCACTTTCGGATTCCATGGATAACAGGTCTGAATCAAATGGAATGAGGTCCAGGCTGTACTCCTCTTTGTGAATGAAAGAGCCCAGGACTCCCTGATCCTTCAGACGCTGTTCGCACAACAAGCTGCGACGCGGCACGAACAGGATGTGGAAATCCCTCTGTGGACAACGGATTCTGTCTTCGCTGGAAAGAGACAAGAGCGTTTGAGAGAAACAGAAATTACCGGATCAAACCGATTTTTAAAAAAAGGCTTTCAGTTTTCTGATCTGAGCTCCTACAGGCTGTCACTTTCGGTAACAAGTATACGGCATTTTCTAAGACTGGAACTCTATGACAAAGAGTAAATCACACTGAGTGAAAAACGCCCCCCCCCACACTTTCCAAGTGGGGGGGATCCAGCATCCATTCCAGCTTTAAATAAGACTTTAAACGGCCACCACCCAATCTCACTCCATATGGATTCAACCCAGCTTGAATTCTGCCACCTTCGTGGCTAGTGACTCGGGATCTAAATACATGAAATTTAGTTTTTCAGGGCAGAAAAGTTAAAATAGATTTTGCTGGGCCAGTCGGCTGAAGGAGCCAGAGCAACGTTTCTCGTTACTGAGAAAACAGAGGAGGAAAAAAAACAATATACCTGAGCACATTTTCTGCAATTATATCCATGAGCTCCAGTCTTGGTCTGACGAAGAAAATAATGTTCTTGACATCAGCAGGCGGGAGGCGCCCCGCTTTGAGGGTGAACATTTTCTCCACCTCATGTTCCTGGTAGGAGGCAAAAATTACACAGACAATAAAATACTCCTGAATACAACATTATTCTAGCACTTTAGATCTGTAACATTTCGGTGGCCATAGGATTAGGAAAACCAAGCATTTATGGAGCATAATTGGTATTTTTTAGAAACCAGACTTTAATAGAGAAAAATACAAACTACTCCATTCCTTACCTTTAGAAGAGAATATTGAGCAATAAGTCCAAACGGGCCTGTAAGATACTCATCCCACACAATAGCCTATAAAAGCAAAAAGAAAATAATAATGGTAACGACACAGTCCATCATTTCAATGACACAGGAGGATGCTGAAAAAGAGGGATGGCTTTGATAATTATGTGCAAGGAAAACTGGAAAGCTCAGACATTACACCATGTATGTCCTAAATTCACTGGCCAGCAAGGCATGATTTTATTTAATTAATGTAAATGCCCCCTTTCTCCAGAGCTGGGATCCCCTTTACATTTATTAGGATCACCGGCGAATACGCAAAATAGGCCACTTTTTCAAATGTGGCTTCTACCCTGGCCTATTTTTTTGGGCAGGGGGAGGGATTAGAGAGAAAGCAGATGGGAAAATCAATAAATCACCACCACCACCACTATCATCATCCTCATTTCCTAAGAAACCCGGGAAAGGGACCACCTAAGGCGACCCTGAGGTGAAACGCACGTTGCACTTTCAAGGCTGTCCTTGTTGTTTTTAAAATTCAAAAGCGGGAGGAATTAATTACTCCCAGACCTGGGGGGGGGAGATGTAGGATAACAATAACCATCATCATCATCATTATTTTTTGAAGGAAGGGAGGCCCTCTTGAAGGGCCGTTACGGGGCCCCTCCTTCCCTTCCAGCCCCCCCCGGTCTAAAAAAAGCCCTCAGGAGGCTCTCCGTCCCTGAGGGAAGGAGGGCCCCACATCTTTCTTTCTCTCCCCCCTCCTTTTGCAGGTTTTTACTCCTGAGGAGACCCAGGCCGCGGCCTTCCTTCCCCCCCTCAGAGGAGCCGCCGCCGCGGCCCGAAGGCCTCGTGGTGGTTGTTCCAGCGTCATATCTTTTAACCTTTTGTTTCTGATCATGGGGCATTCTTGGCAAAGATACTGGAGTGGAATTGCCGGTTCCTACCCTGGTAACGACACAGTTCATCATTTCTATGATACAGGAGGATGCTTGGATCCGGCGCACTTGTCGAGGAACTCGCGCAGCTCCTTGCGCCTGGCCTCGCACAGCGCCATCAGGTTCACTCTCTGACAGAACCTAGTTTAAGTATACTCTATAAGGTTCTAATTTCTCGGATAAAATAATAATTTAAGCGCTTTTAATACTCTGATTTCTCTGAGGAAAAAAATAGTTTAAGCAATCTGGTTTTTCTGATAAAAATGAATGCCCCGGGGGATGCTGGGAGTCGTAGTCCAAAGGGGCTGCTCTTAGAATTACCTCAGAAAGGCTCTGATTTCTCTGACAGAACCTAGTTTAAGTATACTCTATAAGGTTCTAATTTCTCGGATAAAATAATAATTTAAGCGCTTTTAATACTCTGATTTCTCTGAGGAAAAAAATAGTTTAAGCACTCTGGTTTCTCTGATAAAACTGTTTAAGTATTCTAATGCTCTAATTTCTCTGGACAAAAATAATATAAAAACTCATTCCTCTCAGAGATGTGTGATCCCTTTAGTTACTTAACCGCAGCCATTACTTGTCGAGGAATATCGTCAAATAGGAACTAAAAATTGAAGGAAGGGTAGGGGACGTCCTGAGGGATGTTGGCTCTGTCCAAAACGGCGGTCATAAAAGACGAGCATATTTCAGATTGGTCAAGATCTCGGAAGGCACGGAAGAAGGTTGAGCGGAAAACCAAATTATTTCGTTAGTAGGGTGGCGCTGGGACTGGAATAAAGGATGGCCTCTCACTGGAGCCCTGGCTCTAGGTATACTAGGGGTAGAGTTATACACAGTTAAGTCTTTGATCATTTAGTGAAGTGCAGGATTCTTAATACCAACAACATTAAAATATTGAGGGTTCTGTTGTCCTTCCCTTTGTGTGCAGCTTCCTGTGTGAAAGATGTGCAAATAACGGGTGTGTGTATTTGTACACGTTGGGGCATATTGGGTCAACTTCCCAACGGCTGTGTGTGCGAGTTGTATATTTGACAGAGGTTTGAGCAACAGAGCCATTTTTCTTGCAAAAAAAAAATCTAGGATATTTACTGTTGCTTTGAATGGTTTCTCAACTGATGGGCACCTGCTAAGATGCTATAATCATACAATGGAAAAAAAGGATGTGGGCAGAACCGTCAGCTCATGTGGAAAATGGGGTGCTGCAGCATTTACATACACAAACTAGGGGGGCAGAGAGGGAATCCCTGGAATGCTTTTAACATTGGTTTGAAATACCTTGGACATGTCCATAAAATCTAGGCAAGAAAATCTGGTGCAAATAAGGTGGGAGTTCAATTAATTAAAAAAAAAACAACTGTAGGAGAGGGCTAACATTGGTTTGAAATACCTTGGACATGTCCATAAAATCTAGGCAAGAAAATCTGGTGCAAATAAGGTGGGAGTTCAATTAATTAAAAAAAAACAACTGTAGGAAAAATGCTATTGCTCTTTTTTCTGTGAGAGGCTTCATGAATTTTGGTTAGGTTGGGCCTCCTGGTGAAAGCGTTTTCCTTCTGGTGAGTTCATTCTTCCCCAGACCTTAAAAAGTACAATCATACACATCTATTCAGAAGTCAGGCTTGGCAAATTTGGTATCGCTCAGCCCAGTTGCCCAGAAACACCACTGACATGCTGGCCTTAGGTAACTTTAAGGCAAAGGAAGAAATGCAATGCAGATGACAAGCAAATAACCATTTTATTAAAGATACAATACACTCAGTTTACTTTAATACTGAACTTCCCTGCTGTTTTTAAGCTATCCCGATAAATACATTCATAACTCCAAATTTCAAACAATTACATTAGGTTGACCTACTCAAATGCCAAAGACAGTCAGTCTGTAATCTGGAGGGAAAAAAATACACCAGAGGTGCTGATATATTTAGTTATACAAGAGTTAAATTCCTCTTTAATTTACAGAGAGCAGGGAAGATATATATATGTATATATATTACATTCAAAAGAAGAGATATAAACCAACTTATGTGGTATCACCTTTACTTTTGTTAAGTAGTACATACATCTTCAACTCCATGACAGAGTAATCTCATCAGGAACATCACATGCATTAAAATAAAGATGGCACCATTTCACCCTAAGAAGTGTGTCCTGTTGGCCTTACTCTTTCCCATTTCTTGTAAAGACTTTGCCTCTTAGAAAATCTGCAATGATTAAATACTTGACTTTTTTTTTTACATTCATCTGGAACAAAAGGGAAATAAATAAATTATTTATTCATTTTAAAAAGTCTTGATATCAGAATGTACTTTAACAATTAAAAAAAATAAACCTGTTACAGGATACAAATTTGCTGGAAGATTCTTTTGTATACACAAAAAAACCCACAGTCAGGAAAAAAAATCTCCCAGGATTGAGGCTACTTAAAGTTATTAAATCAAGTTACTGTGCCGTGCACAAAGTCCTCTGAGGAGTTCAGCTGAACAGAAGCACTGAAGACAATAAGATCATTTTTCAAAATATAAATCTTTTCTTAAATATATTTATATATGTACTTATGTACAATTACTTCTACAGAAGCTGAAAGAACGTGGAAAGGGGTGTTCTCACTGTGCTCAGCATAAAAATTTCTTTGTAAAACATTTCCACACAATAGTGTATTTTTTATTATTATTTTTTGCTTAGAAATCTTGCTGAAACCAAGGCACTACACTGATCTCTCAGTAGCGCACCAGAGTTCACGTATTTGATCAAGAGAGAATCGAGCAGCTGAAACTAATAGAAAAAAAGCTCAATCTCTTTTAACGCATTCCAGTGTCAAAAAGCTTTACAAAATCTAAAAAACATTACAATTGCAGCTTTTAAGAGTTTAGTGCAAATCTGAAAATTAACAGCATAATTTTAAAGGTACTTAAATAAGCTAAAACTGAACGAGTGTTTCCCACCCCGTCGGTGAATGAACGTGAAATGAGATACGTTTCTTTGTAAAGATGACACAGCTCTAGGAGTTGAAAATGAAAATGGCAGCAATGTGCCTAGTAAAATTATTTATTTTTAGTTGAGTAAGAGCGGAATAAAATACTTTGCTGTGGAAGATCAAAATATCTCTGTCGGTGGAGAAGGGGGTGGGGAGGTCAAGGGCGGCTGTCCAATTCCCCCCCTCCCCGGACCTCAGCACCCTTAAAACGCTGGTGGTGGACGCGGTCGGACTTGGGCACAGAATCTCGCCCCCCCGGTCCTCTCCTGCGTCAGAAGGTCTCGTCATCGTTGCAGCTTGTCGTCCAGTGGCCAAACACTTCGCAGATGTTACAATACGGGCGCTCTTCTTTCCGGCTGCCATGGTACGTGGAGTGTGGAGGTTCGTCCGAGGCCTGCGCTTGCGTTGGACAATCTTCCGTGTCGTGGAGATCGAAACAGTCACAAATGTCGCAGAAAAGGCGAGGTTTCTTCTTGGTTTGGTTTTCTTCCTCACTGTGGAGAGTCAGACGGTGGGCACATGAGACTGGGGGCACATCCCTTTTAAACACACTAAAAGGTTTCAAATGTACAGGAGCTGTTAGAAATCTTATGTAGTGGCGCTGGGAAAAGTCAGAAGCACATGGTGTCTCTCAATCATCACTTTTCTCTCAGCCACACACATGTGCGCCTCCCTCCCTCCCTCCCTCTTACTCTGCCCCTCCATGCAGCTGTTTCCCTTCCATAAGCTGGGCAGCACAGAGCTGTAGGAGCCAGACATTGCTCAGCGGATGGAAGGCAAAGCAGTCAGGAAGTGGGTGACAAGAACAAGGTCCCTTTGGAGGATCCAGCAGGTGGGCCGGATCCAGACCGGGGCCAAATGTTCAGGGGGAACATCTGTAGAAAACAGAATGATTAAGAAAAATAGAGGCTCGGCCTCCATGCATTATACCAGGTGGGGAAAATTTCGGTGACATTCTAGACTACAACTCTTATCGTCCCTTACCATTGGCCACTGTACCTCGGGCTTAGGGAAGTTGTAGGCTAAAAAAAGGAGCATGCATGGTTCCTCACCTCAGAATTACATGGATTGGGAAGCAAAGGTCACGCTCCCACTTCCTGGGCCAACTTACGGAAAATGAAGTATTAAGGGGAATCTCATAACTCTCCTAGAAGCTTTCCGTGTTTCCCTTAGGAAATCTCTCTTATGTCATAACAGGGCCCACACAGATAATGACTGCCTATTAAGAACTGCCAAGATTTCTACCAGGTTCTAAGATTTCACTTGTTAAAAAACGAGGACGCTCCCAGAACCAGAAATCCACACAAAGGTTTTAGAACTGTCACACACCCATCATTAGCTCAACAGCACGGATACTAAAGTGCAAAAGACCATTAATTCTCAGCCGACACTGTGAGCCACCAACCTGTCATAATGAATGGCTTCTTCTTCATTGCCATTGAGGGCTGCCTCGGACATCATTTCCACTTTCTTTTTCAGTTCTTCGTTTTTCCTTTGCAGATCCACAATGACAGAATTTAGGAAGTCAATCTGAAGGGTTGGGAGCAAAAAGAAACAGGAGGCGCAATGAAAAACTCAGAACATTTAAAGGAAAAAGATTAACGAAAGAAAAGTTAGTTAAGAATAGAGTACGTGGCATAAGCAATGCACAAGAACAGCAAAACAAGGTACGCTGACGTTCTTTACAGAACGGCGAAAGATGACCCCTTTAAAGTATTAAATGGCCTTGTTCAACCTTTCACTAGAATAATATCAAAGTGCAAATTGCCATACCAGGAAAACCCATCGTACAAGAGAGCAATTCTTTGACTTAAGGGTGTTTGGATCTGGAATGAAGAGTCTGTAGTCCAGGTGCCGTCTAGAGCGACACCCTAAATGGGATTGGTAGGGGAACCGTCGAAGGCCTCCTCTCAGTTTGCAAAAATGTCAGAATTGCCTTACTATTTCCAACAGAAGACTGGATGAGTTAATCCAGCATCCTTTGAAGCTCTGTGATGCTTATACAGATCCTCCAGGTACAGAGGCAATATATCACTGAACTCTTAATTGCTGGGTGAGGCAAAGAGGGGGGGGGCTGTTTTCATGTCTTGCTTCTGAGGAGAGCTGGGTGTATTTCTATTTTTCGACTACAAATTCCAGAATTCCCAAGCAACAAAGCGGCTGTTTCAGAGCCTCCAGGAGGCATCCGGTTGACGATGCTGCAGGAGACAGGGCAAGGCAATTCCTGCATGTTTGTTTAAAATCTTGTTATTGCCAAAAGCAACTAGCCAGTGAAAGACTGAAATCCAGAGGATGACTTCCTCTGTATAAAGCAGAGCTGAGGGAAAACTCTGGGACTGCCTCACCAGAGGGTAAGACGTCCGTAACTGCCTCGCTTGGACAACACTGAGATAATTCAAAGCAACAAGACTTAACTTCTAAAAAGTAGGAGGGGAAAAAGCTGAAACGAACCATATGCTGATTTGGAGGATAATTTTCCCAGCAGATGAAAGCAAGAAGCAAAGCGATGGAAGAGACGAAGGGGGGAAAGAGAGAAAGAAACCAAGCATTAGTATGTTAATGGTGCTACTTACTACGAAGACCATGTGCAACATGTCACTCCAAAGCATGCCTAGGGGACACTGTCGGCGATTTCTCCCAACCCACTACCCCATAAAATAAAGCCCTCCCTCTCCGTCCCAAGTATGCCACCTCAAATCCTTTCAGGATGAAAATGTCTGTGGCATGTGAAAACAGGCCCATTTCCATTCCAATATGGACGGAACAGATCCCTCTTGGGAGAACTCCGGCCGCCAGTCAAGCGCCAACCACGTTAGGCTAGATGTTAATCAAGGGCCCATCCTCTTTCCCGCCCACGTTAATTGACCTCCGTCTCCAGCAAAGGCTGGAAGAGAGACAATTCAGGGGAAAAAAGAGACGTGCGGCTTCATCTGATAAAAGCCGACTTCCCAGGCTCCCAAGCCTTGAACTGCTGGATTGCCCAGTGGTTTAGGCATCTGGCTGCGGAGCCAAGAAGCTGGGAGTTTGAGTCCTCCACTGGGCCTCCTTGACAAGGGCCGGACTCGATCATCCATAGGGTCCTTTCCAGCTCTGCAGTTCTAAGATTATTATTGTCATATAAATTCTACCAGCTCCCTAAAGGCCCTTTCTGCTAGGAACCTGGGCTCCACCTTGTGCTCTGTCTGGTGGGCATTCGCTTCCAGGGCCTCTGCGGGCACCCTCGACGCCCTCCCCAGAAGCAGGGAGCTGGGCTTTAGAAAAGCAGTCCGGTTCTTCCCAGATCCCACCGCCTCCCTTTTCATACCCCATTGTGCCAAGCCAAAATGCCCAGATATCTCCAACCTTTCTCTGTGTGCGCCATCCTATGGATTGCTTCCCCACCTCCACACACTTGGGCCCAGTTCTTGCCATCCGACATTCTTTTTCCTCATCAGGAACAAAGAGGGAAGGAGTGAACCCACACGAACCATCTGTGTCGCAAACCCACTGAATGCTACTCGTCAGCTCGTACGTGACTGCTACAGGGGCCAAGTTCAGCCAACAACCTACCTGGCTTTCCTGCTCATTATCATTCTGGAGGGCGCCACTGGCTGTGTCATCTTGGGGAGGGAAAATGGGGGAGGGGGGAAGAGAACAGTATGAATTAAATACATCAAAATCTTGTGCTATGTAGCTTCAGAGTATGAAGCTACATAAGATTCTATTCTTTTTTCAGGAGTGTACAGGGAGGGGGGAAGAGAACAGTATGAATTAAACACATCAAAATCTTGTGCTAGCTGACTTGACAGTATGAAGCTACATAAGATTCTATGCCTTCAAGAAATAATCACAGGTCAACAGAAAGAGCACATGCCAACACAGGCAGAATTGAACATGGATTCCAAGGCAGAGTCTGGTCAGGACAGAATCAGCAGCAAGCAGGAATGGAGCCTTTCTTCCACCACATGGAATGGATGCTCATGAATTCGGCTGCCTATTCGGCTGTGTTTTTAGCATCCCGTAGAAACCCTCTGTAGCACTGTTCTGATTAGTGTGGGAAAGTGCCATTCACTGGCCACGGCTGGCCAGCTTATTCAGCAACCATACAAGCAGGGCACAAATACCGGGGCAGCATCTGATGAATTATTGTTTATATTCAGCCTCTGACTGAAACAGAAGCTGGGCATACTGGGGGCAGGGGCATCTATCAGGCAAGGATACCTCCGTGAATTACAATTGCATTTATGTTAACCTGTTCCCTTGTAACAATAACACGACCTTCACTGGGTACAACGCCAGGTTCAAAAAGCTGCCTCCAATAGGGCTCTTCCTGGCATTCCTTGGTCAAGTGAAAACCTGTTTTTGCTCCTTCCTAAAATATAACACTTCCGGGCAGAAGCAAGCGCCTAAAAATACTTAGCAAGGGTATCTCCCTTGTGCTCCCGGCTTGAATTCCACAGTCGGCCAACCGCTACAGAAGCGTTTTCGACTGAAAAGGGAGGTATAAAGGCTGTGCATAGTTCCTAAAGAACTCTCTTTGTGACAAGAGGCAAGGATCTGTGGTTATAATTTTTTTTTACTTATTATTTATTTAACTTACAGTATATGCCGCTTACCCAATTAACGTCAATCACACAGCAATGACGAGGGTGCTCAACCCAACTGAACTAACACCAAAGTAATTTCTTTCATTCAGAGCACAGGTTTAGAATGATGACGTTCCAGCGCCACACGGGAGCACAGAGATTCTGGCAGAGGGATGTCCGCTGAACTGATGGGATCCAGGGTGTGGGACACTCGTCCCCCCTCCAGCCCGCTGCTTGCAAGGAGCGACAAGAGAGACGCAGCAAACGCACCAGAGCTGGCTTTACCTGAGGTCCCTGATGGAGACTTCTGGCTCTCTCGCAGCTTCTGTTCCAAGTTCTTTACTTTCAGCTCAAGTTTCAACTTATCTGACTCCAGCGACTGAACGAGCGAATGCAAATTCCTTGCAGTGGCATTCTCTCCACGGAGCACCGTGACCTGCGAATGATGATGAAGAGAGAGCGTGTAGGTAGAAAAATAATTCTAGCAGGTTGAATAAAGGAACAAAGCAAAGAAGGGGAGAGTCACAATAACTAGTTTTTTATTCTTTTTTACTTCTGGTTGGAGACAAGATGCTTACGGTTAACATAAGACAAACGACACGGGGTGAATATCAGTACGTAACCCTTTGTGGGACCTTCTGTCAGCCACTCAGCTGGTTACTACTACGAAGCCAGCTCTTCAGGTTACCTCTTCTGGGAGAAAGACAGAAATGGCTTTTGACTCATGTGAGCATATCTCTTATTTGGTCGGATCCGGTATTCACACAGAGGCCAAGTAACAATAATGTTGCTTTACCGCCAAGTAAAGAGGTTTTTACCCTGCCAGGATTTCTGCACCTTTAGAAGCTTCTGGGGATGCACTTGCCAGCTTGGTTTTATAAACACCGTCCGTTTGGACTGTTTTACTGTTTTTTACAATACTCTTCACATGGCGGATTGGCTGATTGTATTTTACTTTTCACTCCCTTTACTCTTTCACTCCTTTTACTCTTTCATTCTCTGGCAGCACCTGCGTCCACTGGTTTCTCAGTGGTTTACAAAGTGCACAAAGTCCACTTAAACACTTTTGCTTTCCAAATACAGTATTTTGGAGGACCGTTCTTTACCTCGTTTCTGAGTTTTTCTAATTCTTCATCCTTTTCAGTGATCAAGGCACTAGTAATACTGATGGATTTCTGTAAGGAAGTTCTTTCTTCATCAATTTCTTTTTTTAAGTTGGATTCTCTAAAAGAGAGACACAAACGGTATGAGAACACTTGTTCCACTAACACGGCTTCAAAATCTGAGTGATAAGAAAAAGTTCATGTCTAGAAGAGATTATACGAATAAAAAATGGTTCTTTTCACAAGTTTCACTAGCCTTATAACTGGGGCTTTACGTTTGTGGTTAGCATTATTTGGGATTTTACAACAGTGGAAATAAAGTGAAAAAATTTACCTACATAATTCATGCCAGAATCTGCATATCATCGTATCCGTTTGAATTTAAAGGAAGATGTTAATAGGACTTTTCAGAGGAATTGAAAAGGGGTGGAGGAGGGTTGTACAGAGTGAACCTAATGTTAGTTTTTGTTACTTCTTGGAAGAGTTATTAAAAAGCAACAAAAAGTACATGCAAAGCTTAACTGCGCACTCGTCATGCAAAGCAAAGATGAAGCTGGAATTATCAGTTGGTCCTCACTAATTTCTGTTAAAATTTGCATTTCTGCAGAAGGCAAGCTTGTGAGTCACATTGTAAGGGAAGATTACCTGGTCTGTAACAAGACTAATATAAAGAACACAGCTCTGAAGTTTGGAAATGGGTATTACTCGCCATAGAAGATAACCTTAACCCCTTTTAGGTAATATATCTTGGGGGAACTGTTTCTTGAGCGCTACACTAGTGAAATACAGGTGATTTCTGAAAAATGGCAACAGGGTCACTGGGAGATCCTCCCTTACTAAGTGGTGTGACTGGAAGCTAGTTGTATTGGCCGATATTCTCAAAGGGCGTTGAGCAGGAGAGAGGGACTGACTGTACACCCCTCTCTCAGTATTTGGAAAGCCAAGAGGTCAGGCTTTCAAGACTGACCCCAAAAGCAGATGCCCAGAGAATACTGCAGTGAGGCAGACGGCTATTACTACTAAGTCCCCCAAACCCACACACATGCTTTTGTAGTAGCCGCAACTCCGTACGGCAGCAGCCACTAATCGTGAAACAACTTAGGCAAAGAAAATTAGCATTTCCTCCTGAGATGTCTTGATTCACTTGGGACCTGTCTGCCTTGATCTTTTAGTATTTTGGCTTTTTGTAATTTTTTCTTTGTAATAGCTCTCCTAAGTACTGTTTTTATGAATCAGAGGAGTTTAGTAGGGGAAGGTTTTCAGGTTGGGCCCTCCATAATTCAAAACCCTGAAACAAACACTCCAGTCTCTGGACAGAATTCACACGCAGAACGGCTCCTCTCAAAGTACCACTGGCAAAAAAAACTGTGATGGTACAGAGCAGCTACTTTCTGGGGGAACACGGCCTGCAGAAGACATGCCGTTAACGGCATGTCTTTACAAAGGTGGTGGATGACCCTTCCAAACAAACGGAGTGATTGCTACCCAAGGAAATTAAAATCTAATACGTACAGAAAGTGAGAGACAGAAAGAGTGCCAACCATCCAGTTCAAAGAGAGAGCAAAATGCACAACTAACGAACTCATGAATATGCTCGCAAGCCATTGGGGGGGGGTTCTTGTGAATTTAACACATCTGTAGTTAGTGAGAACCGTGATAACCAGCATATGGAATACGGTACAGTCCTTGCAGCAGCTCAAGAGAAATGGCATCACAATCAGCAGTGGGAACACGTCACAGAAGTTATTTCGAAGTTATGCCGGTGTCTATTCGTAGTAATGGAAGTAGCAAGCAGGGAGAATCTGGGATGGGCAGATACAGAGGCACACGCCACAGCTGGATCGGATCCCGCCCCCACCGCAAGACAGATAAATCACCGAGGAAATCAAGTTAAAGCTCCGAATGGCGGCCCAGAGAGTAGCTCTCCCAAAATATCAGCAGGGCTGTGCTTTTGTTCCAGAAAAAGCTGAATGACATTTGCGCCTGACTCCTCTTCTGTGGAGCCTTTGAGCACACTGGCGAAAGCTCTCCTGGGTTACGGACAGACCGCGGCCGCTAAATCAACAGCAGAGGGCCTTGCATAATTAGGGGAGCCACTGTGTGTACAACACTAGCCTTGCTAGAACTGAACTGCTTGTACTTGGGGGAGTGGTGGTATCTGGCCAGGCATGTTTACATGCATGGAAAAAAACAAAACAAAACGGAAAACTCAGCACTCCAAAACACATGCACTGTATGGGCCATTCAAGGGTAATCACAAAATCTCTTATACTGATGTTATACATTTTATAGCCTTTCTGAAAGTGGCAAGCCAGGCGGCTAGTAGATATTAGGGCTGCCATCTTAAGCAGTTTGCTCAGTTACACTCCGACAGACTACAAAGGTACCTTGATTAAAATGGAGATTTAATTTTTAAAAAATTATACTTGATACAAGGAGACCATGTCTCCATTGTATGAAAAGGGGAAATGCCTCTTTTAGAAGTAGGTCAGGTGCAACACATGGACGCATCGTCTGAAACATAAGGCAGGGACACTCAACTCTTGGATTAATTGAGATGAACGTGTGGTTCATTGACTAAGGTATTCTTTAGGCAGATAAAAGCTCTACAGAAACAATACTCATTTCAAGTATCTTTAGACCTCTCTCCTGTGTTCGCCATTTGTTCCTTCCACCATCCGCTGCCTCAAAGGCAGTCTCGTGAGCAGTCCCTGAAACATCCTAACTAAGCCAGCCAGTAGAAAAACTCTCAATGCATAGCCGAGGTTCTCGCACCCACTTCAGGTGGGTCCTACCTAGAAGGCAGCTCATTTCAGCAGGCAGTGGGGCACCACGGAGGAGTATGCCAATTCACTCTACATTCATTTCTGTATCTGACCGATATTTACCGCTCAGTTAAAAAGATGTGGCCGGTGGTTGTTGTTTGTTAAACTGGCAAATGACTGTCAAACAATAAACTGTACACATATGCGTTTATATGTATTTTATATGAGCAATTTCCAAGCTCACTCAGGCTCAGAAATCTCACCGACGCTCTTCTACGATGGGAAGTGCGGTGACTATCAGCTTGAGAAGTACAATTTCATGGGTCAAAAGACCCAATGCATAACCTTTTCCGAGTCTGAAAATTACAGGTTTGGAACATTCCCAGTGACTTTCAAGGCTGCAAGGGGCTCAATCCACCAGAGGTGTTTCCTGTGCAAGTGCCACTGCAATGAGCAGGATACGCACCACTGAATTTAGTGGACCTGTGGCATTATGCATGTTCAGGAGACAATTTCTGGTTGACTGTTGCAAAGAGCAATGATCCAATAGGTGATATTGGTTAAGCCCTCCTTAAAGCTCTGCTTAAAATACCACCCAGATTCTTCCCTTGCCATAAAATAAACCAAGAAATTCCAATAATGAAGCAAGTACCTTAAAGTGATACTGGGCAAGCTTTAAAAATGCAAGATAACAAGAACCACATGTTAGAAAACATGGAAAGAGAAATGCAAAATACAGTAAAGGAAGAACTAAATTTGCACTGAAGTGAATTCCGTTGTTGTTGTAAAAAGGAAAAAAAAGATTTAAGATTGCTGAGTATTTTTACGAAACAAAATAACAGAGAGGAAAAAAAATACGAACTGAAAAGCAAGACACGGAGGAAACCAAAGGCAGCCAAAAATATGTACAACAACTTTATTGTGGGGAAAAAAAAGTTATTTATTGTAACGCGGATAGACTTTCTTTAGTCTTACCATTAAAGACACACAGATATAGCAAAGGAAGCAAGGGTGGGAAAGGGAAGAGAGAGGAGTGGAATGAGTATCGAGAGAAAAGCGCAGGCTCTGAGACAAGTCAGACAGTCAGCAAATTCACAATGGATCTAATGAACTGAAGCCACACGAAGCCCCCCCGTTTAGCTACCGTCCTCTCTTAATACTTCCTGCCGTATTCATCTCACGCAGACCATTTTTGAGGGGAAAGGACAGGACACGGAGGTGGAGAGAGGATGTCCGAGGTGGCTCAGAACTTATGATTTGGCCACCTCATCCTCCATAAAAAGATATCTAGTCTTTTTCCCCCCTTTTCTTCCCCTATAATAAATCCTAAATGACTAGAGAGGAAATCTCTCTCTGAACTTTTTTTGGGGCCAGCCCCTGTTTAATTTCAATATCTGATTCGTTCTCATACAACGGACCCCGTGGCAGGCCGAACGGAAAGAGAAAGATGATCGGCAGGGCGTGTTAAAAGGTTTAGCCCGGAGTGTTCTGTTCTCAGCTTCTTAAGTTTAGCGATACTGTTTCCTGAGGAAATCTGAGACTGATCGTGGGGAGTTTGTCAGATCGCTAAAGGAACCCTCTTCAGAGGATGCTAAAAATGGCAGGGAGCAAGCTGGGGACCCAGAGAACGGACGGGAGCATCTAACTGCAGAACCGAAAATAGGATGGGCTGAATTAAGCAATGTTAAATGCTTCCTAAAGTTAAGCATTTCCACGACCTTTTAGTGATGAGAAAGATGCAACCCTTTGCATGTATTTAGTATTCCACATGCAAAAACATTTCAGAGGGTCGGAATGTGCAGTCTCGGGGATTATTCATTTACAGAGAGGCGCAGGGATAGAGCAGCTTCATCACACATTTTTTCCTCTTGTTTTCTCCACCCCCCCCACCCCCACTTGACTGGATGCACAACCCATATCGGCATGCAGAGAAAGCTTACCTCTTTTTCATCTCTAACAACTGGTTATTGAGGACTGATCTCTCTTCTTCCAGCTGAAAGAGAAAAGCAAAGTTGAGTTCACCAGGCACGCCAACCACCAAAAGGACGAACGTCGGTCTCCAGCGTCTGCCGCCTTTAGGTGGGAGGGTCCTGAAAATGGCAAAATTAATTTCTTCTTCCCAGAGATGCAAAAAAAGGAAAAGGAAGAATTATCTTTGACTTGGCTGTATTCCTACATTTTGGTTTTGATTCGCGAGCACCCGATGCTCCCCTTCTGCTTCTCATTCCCCACCCCGCCTCCATACATGCCTTTCTACCTCCTCTGAACACTTGGGCTGAGGGGGTACAGTATTTTGCTGAGCCCTTAGATTTCCTTGGAAATGTTCATCTTTTTTTTGGCCATGCTGACTGAGGGATTCTTGGAGTTAAGAGTCCCCCCAAAAAGGAACTTTCCCCAGTTCTGCTCTTTTCCTCTGTGCAATTGCAGAGTCTCGCCCATCTCTCCCTCGGATAAAATCTCTAGCTAACCCTTTCACATCAGCCCCCACTCAGTGTCTCCCGGACCCCAAAAAGCTTTGGACCCAGGACCTCAAAGGACGAATGCTGCTGCTCGCTTTGAAAGAGGCGAAAGAATAGGGGAAAAAAAGAGCTCCAGCCCTGGTGTGTGTGGGGGGGTCTGGCCTAGAACAGCCATCAAATTGTGTCGAGAATGTGCTGGAAGTCCAAAATAGCTCTTTCCCGGAGAGCGCTCAGCTCGGCGACCGCTCTGAGGGACAGCCGGGCCTTCGCCTGCCACCCCCACACACGTCAGGACTGCTCAGAGTGTGCTATGCAGGAAAGAGAGATGGGAACTCCAGCGAGGGAAGCAGAGGAACCTGGAGGAAAAAAGACCCCCACCCTCCTAAAGGCCTTGGGACCCAGGAGGCGGCCTTTTCACAGCCGGGAAGCTCGAGCAGGGCGCCCGGCGAAGGGAAACAACGAAAGCTCAGCGCCACTCTTTCCACTCGGACCTCTGTCATTTCTCTCCACTTGCCATTTTTCGCAGGGGACCTGCAAAGGTGTCACTCCTCCGAACGGCAGAGGCCCCCATCCTAGATCCTGTTCTAGAGCTTGCGTTAAACCTCTGTCGGATTGTTCCAAATCACAGAATGAGAGCACGAGAAGGGAACCCCCAGAGTCCTCTAGCTCGGTTCCCACCAATGCAGGGAATCCGAAGCTTAACCCTTCATGACAAATAGCCATCGAGCATCTGTTTTAAAACCTCTGCCAAAAAAAGAGAGGAGTCTGTCGCCTTCGGAGGAAGTCCGTTTCACGGTCGAACAGCTCTTACTGAGACGCATTTATCATCTATACACAAAGTGTAATGAATGCTATGGGGATTCCTCCAACCACTGGTCTGTGTGTGTTGTTGGTGCGCGCGCGCACACACACATAGACACATAGAAACATACACACATACACACACACATTTTCGCCTTTGGTAGACTTTGCTGCGTATCTGCTTATTGGTCTGGACAACAGGCCAATGCGGAAAAAACCAGGAGAAGACACTCATCACAAATTCTTACTTTAAACCTCACATCTCGAGAAAGAATGAAAAACTATTTTATTGAATGGAGGAATTCCTTTTAAAAATACCAGCAAAGCTTTCCACATTTTCAGACTCAAGAGTTCTAAATGAAAGAACGCAACGGGTCAACCCGAACCACTGCAAGGGCAGAAAATCTCCCCAAGCTAAGTATATATTATCTGGCTGGAAATCCTTAAATTAATTAATTGCAAAGGAGATAATTATTTACATAACTATGCAGATGACAATTCCTGTTTTTCCTTCCAAGTACACAACGTAAAAGCCAACACCACAGACGCAACCCACTTTAACCTTCAGATGTCAGTGTAAATCATTGATGAAACAATACTCATTAAATTTGTAAAATGTGTCATGCAGATATGTCTTCACAAGCAGACACTGGCCAGAATTTACATGGTTACCATAGCAATGCTGCTCAAAAATACCTGCAACAGAAGTTGATGGCTTAGGCATACATTTCTGAGGAGGCACTCAACCTCGACGACTGAAAAATGAGGCTATTCCAGGGGTTTCTGATGACCGTTTCTGAACTTTCTCTTGTTCAAGGGTCCCTCTCACAAATACTGGAAATCGGAGGTTCTGTCTATAATGGCCCCTCCTGCCAATAAATGCCCTGCTCGAACGAAGTGTGAGGGAAGAATCCATGTCTTGCTATAAAACGGAACAGCGGCTCCTGGATTAAGAAAATCTATCAACATTTCCCAGGAGAAACTCACTCTTGCTCACAGGGACGCTGAGTAGACCAGGGAGGTCTCACCACTGGGCTAGGTGAGATGCCCGTGTGCCTTGGACCCAGTTAGCCTGTGGGGCTTCGGGCAGATCATGAAATTGGTACCGGCGGCTCATCTTCGTAGACTGACGCTCTAGATCTGAATGACCAAGTTTCTTTATTCGGCTGCTCTGAGGGCTCAGGGTGTTCGCAGTCTCCATGAGCCGCGGAGAACATCGGAGGAGGAATGCCAACCAGAGGCCATGGGGGAAAAGTGGAGGAAATCCTACGTCTAAATCCAAATTCAGCCATGAATTCATCAGTCGGTTTAAGGCATGGGACTTTCTCTCTGTCTCCATCATGACCCAGGGATGAAGACACCGAACTAGCCACTTTATCGGCACCGTATCCTGTCAGGTAAGGCTGATCTTTGGGGGCGAGGCTCAGAGACACTAGTCTGCCTGGACACCCAAATGAATTCACCGCAGGTTACAGGGATTTGGGCTGGAATCTTGACCGCAAGCCTTAAACCTCTTAGTGACCTCTGATGGGCTGAACAAGTCCTAGTCTTTCCCCCCACCCATCTGTCATCCATTTATCCCCCTTATTAGGCTGCTGCAACTTATCTGTCCGTTTTAAGCACCTTACAAATCAAATTAAAAATTCCACTTAAAAAAAAAAGGCCTGCAAAAGAAGTCAGTGGAGTAGTTTGCTGGAGCCAGTCCAGGTTTGGAAAGCCTACGTCTGCAATAAAGCCCACGTACAATTTTAGCTCCCATTAATTAGCCCAGAGATTCCTGCTGGTTCTCCAGTGAGACACAAGGGTAAGAACTACAGTAGGAAGAAGCAGAGACGTAACACCCAGGCTCCCTGCATTCTTCTCCCACTTTCTTTTCAGGTTCATAACAGCCACCAATATAACTTTCATCCCCAAACCAATACTATGGGAGCAGCTGAGCTGTGGGCACCCTGCACATTCGCTGGATGCTCCACAAGAGTTACCCATCAGTAGGAGTGCTGAAAGAGACATCAACCTTTACAAAAATATGTATCAAGCTCCTAGTCCTCATATCCGAAAATAAAAGCTAGGCGCAGACTTCAAGACACTCATTCTCATCCGTTCCCTGGAAGTGGGGATTGTAAATCCAAATTGTGTCAAAACCCCATTCAGGCAGGCAAAATTCTTTTGAATGAACTTGGACGTGTGGATTAAGAGATTAAAAAAAAATCAAGATGGATAATCATGTTGATCTAGAATCTGTTACAGGGAGAACAATGGAGTCTTGAGACAACTTAAAAGGCTAAGCTGTTTGATTTGGCAGTCCTGCTATAGCCCGTGTCTGGAGAACTGCATCTGAATCCTCAAGGTGCGCTTGATCGCTTCCGGATTTCGAGAGACACCTGCAGCCCGCTGCATGAACGAAACTCACTCTTGTGTGAGGCATGAGTTGTAAGCTGCCCTCGTTATGAAGCCCACACGGACCTCGCTGTTTCCCTCATCACAGCCCTGACACAGAAACAACCCACTGGTTGCTCAGGAGTGGCACCAAAAAGCTTTTCCAGCCTCCCTGCTCTCCCCCTGCCCCCGGCTGCCTTTCCCAGTCTAAAGCGTCGCCAGGACAGCATGCGGTCTTTTGAGACTCCCATTCATTTTGTCAAGGCTAGTCCGGTCGTCCGCATGAGATGTGCACTTTCAGAGACATGCAGCCCATCTTCAGAAATGTCACTGCAACTACAATGAAACTCATTCATGGGTCTTCTAAATTAGAATTCTCTTTTTTTCCATTCATACCCAGCTTTTCTGTACCATGATATCCCCAACCTCTCTGTTCAAGCAGCGTCCCTTATACAAATGAGCACCAGCTCTCTCTGTTCTTTAATAGGCTGCTTCAGAACAGCACTCTGAATGAGAATCCTTTACAGAGCTCTTTAAATGCAAGGGATTTAGGAAATGAAAAATTTCAACAGAACAGCTGGACTGTCCTCTAAACTCTGAAAGTGTAGACCTTCCACAGAGTATCAACAAGGATGATCTCTGCTCATCAGAATTCTCTTCTGGAAAGGATTTCCCAGGGCTTACGCCACTTTCCCCCCTCAGATTCTCAGAGAGGACACTCGGGCGCTTTGAAAACAAACAGCTTTGCTTGTGGCATCCTATCAACAGGCCGTTTTGAGAAGGCAAGAACAAACTTTTGCCTAAAAAAGTTCGCACCCCGATTTTAAAAAAAAGGTGAAATCACCTCTGAGGTCTCTTGGTTTTCCTTGCCTGAATACAGAAGAGAAGCTTTCCTAGAATGGGCATCTCAGGAGGTTAAATTCCCTACAGCGTAAGCATGGGATGCAACGGATCTCTCTCGCATGCCCACACCCACACCGTGCCCGCCCCGAACGCCACCTCCGGAAAAGCCAAGTGAAAGGATTTTACCTTCTGGTGACTTGTGACGTCCCCTTTGCCAAGCTCCTCGGCAAGTTTAACGTTCTCTTCCTGCAAGGCTGAAAGCTGCTGGGACTTCTCAGCCTCTGCCAGCTTTAGCACTTCTCTGTGAGGACAAGGAACGCATGGTTACCAGATTAACAGGAAGGGCAAGGGGGGGAAAACGGTGGGAGAGAAATCAGCTTTGCAGCTTGCAAGAGAGAGAGAGAGAGAGAGAGAGAAAGAGAGAGAGAGAGAGAGAGATTGAGTCACATGTTTAATAAGATTTTTAATAAGGAGGCAACCCACATCTCTAAGACCTTCCCACTGCCTGTACTAACATCAATCCCCAAAAGCAAACCTACCATGGAATCGACAGGGCTTTGTTTACAATCACATAAACCTAAATATAACTGGATTTAACCCAGCACATTTACAGCTGTCTATAGCTGTAAGTGTGCTGGGTTAAACCCAGCTATATTTAGATTTTTATTTCATGAATGGGGTGAGTTGGGAGCGTGACGGATCGGGCATCGGGACGCCCTCCTTCCCACAGACCCAGACAACACTGGCAAATCCTCAGGACAATGGGATATTCAGCAACCAGCTTCTGCGGTTTAAGAACACGGAACAAACAAACAAAAAAAATCCCAGTGACCTTACAGCAAAAGCACAGGCTAAAGCATGCAATAAGGCTTAAGTTATTTTTGTTTTATAACGTACATAACTTATATCAAGTTATATAAGACGGCCCAATAAGTACTGTAGTAACCACAGTATTGCCACGAGTGGAACACATGGCCAGTGTTTGGGGGCTTGCTTCTCTCATTTAACGTGGAAACCCATAATTTTGCCTCTTGTGAGGAACAACCGTGTCAGACCATGGCACCATGGGCCAACTAATTATTCTCTAACCCCGAACAAGGGGAAAACGGTGCTGGAGAATCCAAAAAGTAGCACGCAACAAGCACAACGCAGATACTCCGTGGAGTTCCTGAATTAACCTAAACTCAGCCATCCAACCAGAATCCAACATATTTTTAAGAGTAAGCTCCCCTTCCTACTCTCATGGATAAGTCCCTCCAAATTCTGTGGTCACAAAGCACTGCTGGGACTCATGAGATGGGAAGCTGTAGTCAGTCCTACCCCTTTCCAGATGTGGCTGTAGGATTCATACCCCCTGGCTGTATACGTGAAATATTAAATGTAGCGGGAGATGCTTTTAACTGAACGGCTGGGCCCTTCCCATAAAACTTGTCCAGCCCTTTATGCTACAGATCTGCTCCAGGAGCCAGGGGCGAGGGTTTAGCGTAGAGATGGCGCGAACTGCCGGTTTGTGCCGGTTCGTTTTGTGTCCTGTGTTCGGCGCTTCCCAGCCTCGCCTGCTCCAGAAGGCGACCAATCAGAGACAGGGCCCGCCGGAGGAGGCGAGGCTGGAAAGCGCCAAACACCTGTTCAGACAAAAAACGAACTGCCACGAATCTCTGGTTCGGTGGTTCGTGCCCATCTCTACTTTTGTGCTAACTTGCATGAGCCTCAGGCTGGTTGCAAGAAGAGCAGAATCTAGTCTTTAACTACCTGCCACGTGCCCGTCAGTATGTGCATTAATGTTGCTAACTTGCATGAGCCTCAGGCTGGTTGAAAGAAGAATCTAGTCTTTAACTACCTGCTACGTGCCCGTCAGTGTGTGCATTAACGAGCCCTAAATTAGAGACCCTACATTCAGGATATTCCATTTTCTGCAATGACCTCAACGTGGGTTTTACCAGACGCAACACCCCGTTTTAGAAGTCTCCACCCAAAGGAGCCACTGGGACGGCCATCTGGAATCGAGGCCATAACCCTTTTCAGGACCCACCAATCTTGTCTTAAAAGGAGACTGCTACTCAGACTTTTTTTAAACTAGAAGGCAGCAATACCGTCTGGAAATGGAGAGAGAGAGAGCAAGAGAGTGTGTGTTGTTCTTGTACATAACACCCACACATACCTGAGTATGAAAGGTGCCCCAATTACAAGTTAAATTAGCACAGGCAGTCTGAAACACTCTTTTCCCTGAGAAGAAAAAATAAATGTTCGAAGACCGCAATTCTGCACTAAACCGTATAGCATCTCTTGTTTCTAATGCTAGTCTCCAAGAATCTACCCTCGCTACCAATGTATTTCCTAGGCACCATCCCAGTGAGGTGGCTTTCTTTCCACTTCCACCTGATCAAGGTAGATGAGAGACTACTTTGGCAGCAAAGGACACCTTCAGAACAAGCCCCGAATCAACTGAACCTTCTTTCTTGCCGTAATAATTGCCAACTGGACTCTCTCACACCCAACTACTCTGTTATCAGAAAGCAAAAGATCACTGCTGTACAACATGGCGGTCTGTTCAGTGTCAAAAACTGGGTCTCGGGATGCTATTCAGGAGGCATTCTGGGTACTGCTACTTCCCTTGCCACAAGAGATACGGGTTTGTTTTCAACACCTGCTCAAAATGAAAAATAAGGGCTCTCCTGCCTTCTTTCCAATAAAGCCTAAATAGCAGTTCTGATACAACACTGGCCCTTTCTGAGTATAACCAAGTCATGGTGTTCTGCTCTTAAATCCAGAAACAGCTAAGGCATTCCTGGTTGCTTTCAGATTTAGACATGGCTCTAGAAAGAACAACTCTGTGCTGATGGCATAGACAGCAAAGAAAAAAAGAGCTGTTATCAGAACTGAAATTCTGCACAGTAGTAACAGAATGCCATGACCTTCCCACCGAGGTGGTCCCTATTTATCGACTCGCATTTACATGCTTTCAAACGGCTAGGTGGGCAGGAGCTGGGACAAGCGAGGGGAGCTTCCTTCCGTCGCGTGGATTCGATCTCATGATGGCTGGTCTTCCGACCTTGCAGCCCAAAGGCTTCTGTGGTTTAACTCACAGCGCCACCACGTCCCAATTAGCTTTAAGCATTCCTAATTCTCCGGTTTCTATGCCCATTCAATCCCCATGGTTTCTTCTGAAAGACACTGCTAGTAATGCTATTATCAGGATTAGTAACAGGCAGAGCAATGGAAAAAAAACAGGAGATCAGCTTTGGGTACAGGCAGCTGGGGACAGGGGAGCTAACAAAGGAATGACTATATTTTAAAAAACCCAGGTGCTCAACTGTTAGGTCTTTAAGAAGAAGAAATATAATTAACAATTGGTTAGTGCAGGTGGAGTTATTTAGTCACTGCCTACATCCGTAGTCCCCAACCTTGTGCCTCCGATGTTCTTCGACTACAACTCCAAGAAGCCTTCACCACCACCTCTTTTAGCCAGGATTTCTGGGAGTTGAAGTCCAAGAACATCTGGAGGCTCAAGGTTGGGGACCACTGGCCTATAATGACAAGGAGGACACAGCTGTGTGGAATTAACTACCATGAGGTGACCCATTAATTTGATTGGTTGGAGGTAGTATAAATTAAGAGGCTGGTTAGTCTGTCCTTCAGAGTTCTATTTTGACTGTCATGCTTATGTTCTGTTTGTCTGACTGCCTATGTTGATGTAGTCTGTCCTTCAGAGTTCTATTTTGACTTATGTTCTGTCTGTCTGACTGCTCATGTTGTTGTTCCTGTAAGCACTGTAAATATGTACAGCAAGTAAATATTCTCTGCACTTATTCCTGTTGTCTTCCTGTGTGCCTTACTACACTGGAGATTCTGGTCCAAACCTTCGTAAGGAGAAAAATCTTCTGCTGTGATTTTAAAGTGCTAATATGATTTTCAGTTAGTGAAATAACAGACACATCGCAAGAGATGCATCATGGCTGAAACTGATCATGGCACACAGAGAATCCAGTGAATTTCAGTGATCCATAATTGTATTCTTTTCATAGGTTTCAAAAGGCAGAATGGTTATTTCACACAAATTTACCACCACCTATTTTCTAAGTAATTGAAAACACTCCCTGTGCAGGAAGCTTATTTGCAGAGGGAGCTACACACAAACACCGTTTTTAGAAAGCAGAAGTTAAATACTTACAGCTCTCTTCTAATCTCCTCCATTTCTTTGTTCTCCATGTTGAGAAGCTCTTGAGACTTGCTAAAGTCTTCTTGATTCTTCAGGTTCTGTTCTTTAAGGATGTCCAGCTTGGAAGAGGAAAAAGATGGGGGGGGGAATAAACACACACCACTCTTGGCTTAGGAGGTCAACAGAACTGTAAGGAACAAGTTAGACAAAACACTGGAGAAGAGTCGTTAAATTCTCCTTTGATTTCTTCTAAAAGCAGCTTTTAAGGGTCCCCAATCTGGATCAGAACGGTGATACTATGGAAGTTCTTAAACTAAAATGTCCACCTCTGGCTGCTGAGAACGAGGTGTGTGCAACTGTTATGGAAAGCAGGTATGTCAGAAGGTAAATCCGAAGTTGGCCATACCAAAAGCAGCAAGCATGTGATTCTGCAGACCGAAATCTTCCCCTTCAACTCTGGAGCATGGCACAATCTTAATCAGTGGGATGCAAAGAGACAAGCACTGAGGCAGTGGTCCCGGGAACGCCATCCTTTCCAAAGGTCTGGCGAAGTCTTGGTCCAAAGTGATGGCAATGCCTTTATTTACTCCCTTTTCCAATAGCTGGCAAGAGCTTTTCATCTGTTTGCAAGCCTCATCTGCTCACAAGCACTCAGTGATGTATGTTATTACATAACAGATAATCTCTGACCACTCATTTATAAGAATTACAGGGAACCGGATTTTTATTTTAATTTGCACCACTTTTGAAATCAAGCGCAGCATGAGCTGATTTCCCGACCCTAAAATCTTTGTGGGTTTCCTGGAGCTGTAATCCAAAACTATAGTCCAATGTGATGTACCTTAATTTATTTTCCTTTCTGGGATGTCACCCTAGGCTTAACGTCTTCTCTGTCACTGGTAGAATTCTCTTTCTGTTAATGCTTCCTGCTGTGTTGATGGTTTTCTTGTGGATGGGGTGGTTGAGAGCTTATTGTTTTCTTGTTCATTACACTGCTCAAGTGTTCATCACTAATCAGGTGGTACAGAAATTCAATACACAAACCAACCAACCCTAATAGTTCCAAGGTCTGTATTTCCTAGCTAGCACCTTTGGAGGGCTGAAAACCTCCCTTCTCTTTTATGTTTCACAACATGACAAGAATGGGAGTGAATTCACAGTCCTAAGGCAGGAGGTGTGACAAATTTATCTCCCAGTTACACTATGAACTACTGAGTACATCTGAGAAGCTACTTTTAAATGATGATACTCTGTGACTTCTGAGGAAGGTGTTCAGCTGAAATATGTCTGATTTCATTCAGGGGAAAAGCTTACTCTCATGTCAGCTCTTGGTTCTGAGTGTTACAAAAGATAACACAATGCTGCCTGAGATTTCTGGCAGCTGTAGTCCGAAAACATAACTCTGCACCCTCTCAGTTCAAAGCATCCATCCTCTCACAGAGTGACGGCTGATTTCCAAAGCCATCATCTGCACACCGGGGGCAACTTTCAGAACCAAGACAACCTGTCCCTCGAGAGCTGGCTATCTACAAAGAGAATTTAAACATCATGTTGCCCAAGTTTGAAGCCTTTTCCCCCTATACGGCCACAGTAAGTTGCTTACCTCTTTTTTCAGCTTCTGATTAACCTGTTTCAGATCCTCCAGTAAGGCCAAAGTTTCCATTTTCTCTTTCTGAAGGGCTTCTTTCTCTTTGGTCACTTGCTCAACTATCTGCAAAGCATCTTCTGCTGTTTGCGCAGTCTAGAAGATAAAAACGGTTGCCGTAAAAAATCACGCCGGTCTCTGGCTGCAAAACCATCGGCCACTTACTCCAGAGTGGGTCTCTGAAGTCCGTATCAATTCCCTTGGGGAAGCAGCATAGAGATGGCTAGCAATTTATTGCAAGCTGTCTCTGCACAGGTGAGAACAACCGTTTCTATGTTTGTTTACAGGAGTGTGTTCTGAAACTTCAGGAAGTACAATCCAATCTACTAGCCATCCTGCTTCATGCAAAAATTAAATGCCAATCCCACGCTAGTGTCGTTTCTGAGAGACATGGCTCTAACGAAATGAATCATAATTTTAGGTTGCTTTTTTTTAAATTAAAAAAAACAACAAAACCCCAAACCCGGAATAGTTCAAGAAATAATCACTACCAACAGACTGTGCTATGTTTCCTTTTTGCAAATACTGAGAAATAGTGGCCCTGCATCTGGATTTGGTGGACAGCAGTGAAATTACAACAGATGGGAACAAAGATATAAAACCAAGTAGCACTATGAAGTCAAGTCTCCTGGAGATCAAAAACTTAAACTTCAGGCTCAGGCAAGATAAGAATGATGTAGTCTTTGGAATGGTTTTTTTTTTTTAATTCTGGTGAAGGAGTTGCTCAAAATTCCAATCTGATCTCTGTTGGTAGTGAGTGCAAATCCTACTGTGAATAAAAAGGCAAGAAGCTGCCAAACCGTCGGCAACATTGAATTCACAAGTAGTTTTCTGCTCTGAGGCTGGCTTAGAAAGAAGTTATAGAATTAACTTTTCATTGTTGATTTCAATGTATAATCTAAACGTTTTCAAATAAGCTCCCCCTTTGGGCTGATCCATACCTTGTACCATTTCCATGCCCACGGATCTGGAAACCTGTCTTTTTATTCACAATGGCAAATAAATAAATAAATAATCTTTTGAGATTCAGTAGCTGTGAGCCTTGGAAGCTGGATTTGCTTCGCCTTCCTTCCCCCACCCGCCCCACCAAAATTACAACAGCGGATTAAGAGATATTTTTTTTCCAAACATTTTTATTCACAATGGCAAACAAACAAACAAACAAACAAACAAACAATCTTTTGAGATTCGGTAGCTGTGAGCCTTGGAGGCTGGATTTGCTTCGCCTTCCTTCCCCCACCCGCCCCACCAAAATTACAACAGCGGATTAAGAGATTTTTTTTTCCCAAACATGTAACAGGGCAAGTTTGCTGCCGGCCAGGTAATTAAGGTGTTCGGACCAAGCCAAGGTGCAGAACAGTGCAAATATTAAGTGCAGACATAGAAACAATTGGTGTTAGTGTCTGGTGTTAGTAACGGCACGTGACTGATTTTATCAAGGTTATTAATACCTCAAATCTCTGCATTACCGAATGTTCCTGAAGAGTCTCAATTTCTCTCAGTTTCAAGACTAGATCATCCTTCTCTTTCTGCAACATCACGTTTTTATTCTGAGATGCCAGAAGGCTGGCCGACATGTCACTGTTGGCCTGGGCTAGAAGGGTTACCTCCTCATGCAGTTTGTAGTAGTCTTCTGAGAATTTCTCCTTCTCTTTCAAGATTTCTTCCTTGATGGTGAGGAGATGTTTCTGCTCAGAGAGCAGAAGCTCGTTCTCCTGAAGAAGCTTGCCACGCTCCAATTCCGAACTTTCGTAGCTAGCACGAAGGTCCTCCAGGATCTTAGAAGCCCCGCGGTGTAGCTCCTGAAGCTCTGCCTTGGACTTGGTCAGGGCTGTAAACTCACTCTTCAGCTTCTCGATGTTGGAGGCAAGCTGATCCGTCTGGATGCTAAGGACCTCTTTTTCCTTCACGATTTCCTCCAGTTTGGACTCGCCTTTCAACTTTTCCTGTTTCAACCTCTCTCTTTCGGTGGACAGCTCCTTGTTTTCGGAACCTAGTTGTTCCTTCTCTTTCTCTAACTGGTTGACCCGATTATGAAGCAGGGTGTTCTCTACCATAAAAGACTCCTTCTCCAATCTCCGACCTTGTCGTTCTATCGTCAGTTCATCCTGGACGGTTTTGAGCTCTTTACTCAGCTTCTGGCACTCATCCTGCAGCAGGGCTTTCTCTTTGCCTAGCATCTCCTTCTCTGAGGAACTGCTCTTAAATGAGGCTGCCAGCAGTTGTTTGGCGTGGAGCAAGGCAGAATACTCATTTTCCAACACAGTTTTGGCACTCTGAGTCTCTTTCAAAATTTTCGACAGCTCACATTTATAGCTGGCAAGCTCCCGTGTTTCTTCTATTTTCTGGTCAAGCTCCCTCTTCAAGGTTTCGACGCTGCCTTGGAGCTTGGCCTTCTCTTGAGTCAGCATCCTCTTGGCAGAAATGTCCAGCTCGTGTTTCCTCTTCAAGTCGCATAACGCTTTGGACGCTGACTGCTTCTCCGCAAGGAGCTCAGCGCACTTGGCTTCCAGAATGGCCTTTTCCTTCAAAAGGGTGTCGTTTTGCTTCTTGACCTTTGAGGACTTCTGAAAAGTCATCTCCTTCTCTGCGCTCATTTGGCTTAACCTCTCATTCAAGGTCCTCTCAGTTTGGGTGGCTTCTTCGGCGGCTGCAGCTAGTTTTTCTAAAAGGGACTTGTTTTCACTCAGAAGCTCTTCTTTTTCCTCCAAAAGCCGCTTCTCTGAGGAAGACAAGGCTTCCTTCTCTTGCATCAACTGGATGCATTCAGAGTCTGTCGATGCCCGACAGGCCTTAATCTCTTCCAAGAGCTTGGACAGACTGGCGTGAGAGGCCTGCAACTGCACCTTGTCTTTAGTGACCTCTTTGAGCTCCTTGTTTGAAGCTTCTAGATCAGCTTGCAGGCCTTCATTTTTCAAAGTAAGTGCCTGCTTTTCATCTAGACCCTGCTCTAAGCTTTTACTCAGCTCTTCCTGGCGCTTCAGAAGAGCCTCTTTGTCTGACTGTAGGTCCTGGTTGGTCTGAAACAGACGGTCTCTCTCTCTCTTCAAAGACAAATGCTTGTTCTCGAGATCCAGATGTTTTCCTAACAGCGAGTCCCTCTCAGCTGCCAATGAAGATACTTCTTGAAGGAGTTCTTTCTGGTCTCTAGCCATGTCTTCATAGGAGTTCTTCAGCTTCTGGATGACATCGTCCTTGTCTTTGAGAAGGGCAGCATTTTCCTCACAAAGCTTCTTCTGACAATCCTCTAGTTCTTCCCTTTGGCTGATGTGCTTCTGACATTCTTTGGTCAAGGCATCGTTATGGAACTGGAGCTCATCCACTTGACGGAGGAGAGCTGCCTTCGAAGTGCGTAGAACATCATTCTCTCTAGTGATCTTGAGAAGATCATCCTGCGCTGCCTCTACTTCTAAAAGCAGCTTTCCCTTTTCAGTAATTAGATCATCATTTTTAGCTTTTTCTTGTTGGACCTTAATGTCGCTTTCTTGCTTCTCTCTGGCAACCTTTTTGTTCTCCAAGTTAAGTTCCTCATTCACTGTCCAAAGTTTTTCCTGATCTTGCTTTAACAACCCAATCTTGGATTCCAACTCTACCAGCTTTGACAACAAGGAACCTTTTTCTAACTTTAAAGCATTTCCCTCCTTTGCCAAGGTTTCTTTCTCTGATATCAAAGCCCTCATCTCATCTGACATTAATTCAATCTCTTTCCTGGCTGCTCCTAACATAGAGGTTAAGGACTAAAAGAAATAAAAAAAATTGGGGAGAAAGGAAAACAAGAAAACAAAAAATGAAGTCAAGCAGACTAATGCAAAGTGTGGATTAAAGACTAATAGCATTGCTATTTTAAAAAATAAACACAAGTACGCATATACTGACACACATCCATGTACAAGCTCGCTGAAGGTTTTCAAGCCAGATCAGAGCATTATGTGAAATGCTCAGAGGTTAAACCAGTTTGGGACAGGTGTATTTTGTGGCTCGTTCAGTTGTATACACTTGGGTAAACTTGTACAAGCAGAAGATGGCATGAACTACACCGATCCTTCTCTCCAAGAGGCAGACAATTCAAACCAATGCCTTCTGGCTCAAGTTAGTTTTGAACAAGAGAACACTGGATTGTTAGCCTGCCCCATCAGAAACCCCCAATGGATTTACCGGGAAAAGGAATGACTAAGGAGCTGCAGTAGTAGAAACCTCTAGAAGATAAGCCAGTCAAAATTGCCTTATGCCTGGTGAATCAGGCACCCTTGAGGACATACCTCCATGAATATAATTTACCCATGGTTTTAATGTGAATTGTTGCAACACAGCCCAGCTATTTAAGGAACGACTAGGTTATTCAGGAAAACATCTCCTAATTACTGTAATTTATAAATTACACCCTTCCAGAAAGGGTGGAGAATGCACCCTTTCCAGAAATAACAATTGTTCTTACTTTCTTGGCTTCCAGAAAAATTGTTAAGAATATATCTTTAATTGAGCATTTTAAATAGTTTTAAATGTGATATGTTTTCCATGGCATTACTAATGGTATTTTCTTTTCAGAGTCTCGTTTAAAATTGTTGTTTAGTCATTAAGTCGTGTCCGACTCTTCGTGACCCCATGGACCACAGCATGCCAGGCCCTCCTGTCTTCCACTGCCTCCCGGAGTTGGGTCAAATTCATGCATTTAAAATTACCCTGTTGGCAACAGGACCATCCATGTACTGTTGCATAAAGAGAAGAGGTGATGGTTTACATTAAGAAAATGCTCCATCCTATACATGTAAGTTCTCTGCTCTTAAGAGTTGGTTTGAACTGGCACAGCTCCAAGTTTAAAGGACGTCTTTAGAGGTGTTAAATTCCTACAGTGGTGGTATTAAGAGAAATGCCAAAAGGAGAAAGAGAATAGCAACGTTAATAATAATTGCTGCCATCACTAAGAGTGCACATTAATCTCTCAGAATACGCGGGCTTGTGAGTTTCCACATCATTTTCTCCTGTGTGGGCAAAGTTGTATCTCCCTCTTGCTACAGATGTGAACTGGATTTCAGCGCTCAACTCTTTGGCTTGTGTGTCAGTGTATACACCAAATATTCAGCTACAGGAGTAACCCAATGTAAAGCTTAAAGCACATGGAAAGGAGATAAATGCAAGGAACAAGGCGAGGGAAATGGCAAAAAACGAAAAGTGAAGCAGTTCAAGCTAAGCTAAGGGCAAGGTCGGGCGTGGACAGCCTAGGCAGGAAGTTAAAGAGACAAGAAAGTCATGTAACCACTGCTAATTCTGAGTTTTTCTCTGCCGCTTCAAACAGGGGGGAAATATCAACAAGCAACAGGGTGAGAGAATGAGAAATCATGATCTGAAAAACATTCGCCAGGTGTAATTTTACTTCGAATTGTTCATGGAAAATGCTAGTTGCTTTCTACAATTTTGGAAGTGACAAAACTAGCTCAGCGTTCTCAGAGCATCCGTTTTCTCTTCCTAACCTTTCTTTACCTTAAAGGTATCCCACTGTAGAAATCATAAATGTCCTGCTCTGAATTTTAAATTCTTTTCTTCCCCCAAATAGAAGAAGGGGGAAAAAAGGAACAGAAAGAAAAAAATGTAAAAAGATATGAAACTCACAGTTGAGAGCTATGCTCTGTAATGACGTGAGGCATATATATTAAAGATTAAAACACTATAACATTCCGGTGTAAGGAACCTTTCTGGATACATGCGAATTAAGCGTGGCTGATTTTAACAGTTCAGGGGTTAATGTTCCTGTGTTCATCTCAGTTTTGAAATATGGATACTTCTAATAAACTGTTACGGGTTAATTGTTCCACCGGTTGACACAGTGTCACCAGCATGGGCTCGTCATATTCCAGAGGTCACAGAAATTTCTACTTATCCTATAACAACCCAATGGTGGATCTTGACCTTAAGCAGTGAATGGTACAGTGGCGGTATGGAGATAATTTATCTAACCTCAAAGAATCGGTGCTTTGGTATCCCTGCCACAGAGAGGTACACACCTTTGCATGTTCGGCTTCCTTTTTCAACTCCTTGACCTGTTTTTCTAAGTCACTGCTCATTTTTTGTGCGTTGGTCAACAGCTGTTCTGTTTCCTGAAGTTTCTGCTTAAATTCCCTGATGGCTCCATCATGCTTGGCAGCCACTTCAGACTGTGCTTTTTCATGTGTCGCCTGCAGGTCTTTATACTGATTTTGGCTAGCTGCAATTTGTTTCTCCTGAGAAAGATAAAACAAAAAGGCACAGCTTGGCATGACATAATGTTCCCTTGATGTGAAACTAGGTGTGGCATTTTACAATTATTCTTTTACTTTTTAATATACTGCCAGCTGAAGAAGCCACTTGGCAATAAATCTGAGAGGAGACTAAGCAACATCTCTGTCTTGTGGCTTATGAAGAGTAAAACAATTGGGAGGCAGGGTGGCTTCTAAGAGGTGGAGGTCCACATTCAGAGGGACAAAGTTGAACGGTAATCTCACATGACAGGGAGGAAATGAGTTACAAGGACGAATATGTCACACACTCAACCAGTCTCGGAAATGCGATTTACCTGATCTATGAACAGAGAGAGAAATTGTGTAGCTACATTATGCAATTACAGCAGTCTGATACCTCATTAAACATCATGGGATTTATAGTTCGTTGAAGTCATCCAGGCTAATTCAGGAGAGTGTGCTGGGGCTTTCTAGCAGGAAATTCTACACACCTCAACAAACCACACACTGCAGGATTCCCAGCAATCAAATCATGACAACAGAAGCTGTTTCGAACTGCTACAACCGTGCAGTGTAGACACACTCCTAGAACAGTTATTACACTGGCCTACGTTTCTTTCCCCCCAGCTGGACTGTCACTGCCCTGCGGAGATTTCCTCTTCCCCTCCCTGCCTTAGCCAGCCTATTTTTCGTCCTGCTGCTCTTACCAGGCTGGCTAACTTGTCCTGCACCGTTTGCAGTTCTGCCTGATGGTTTTTGTGCGTTTCCTTCTGCGCCTCTTCCGCTCTGCGTGCCATTTGCTCCATGTCCTCCTGCAGCTGAGCTGCTCTCTCGTTCGCCTTGGTGAGCTGAAGCTGGAGCTCCTCAATCTTCCTAAAATGAATCATAAGATTGCTAAACAGACATGTGAGAAAAAAATTCCTTCCCCCCCCCAGCAAATACTGCCCATGGCCCTTGGGCTAAAGCCACCAACATCACCCACAGCTGAAAGTTATTTTTTAAAAAGAGCCTTTTCAAGGCAGGGGGTGGGTGGGTAGTCATGTTAGGCTGATGCAGGAAAAAGAACTCCTGCAGCATCTTTCAAGAGTTTAAAAATGTCATTAGGGCACAAGGTTTCGTGGGCTGCAAGGCCACATTGTCAGAGAGACAGGTTGGAGTCAATGCAAGCTTATGCCCGATGTAGCCCGTTTGTCTTCAAAGAGCCACAGAGGTTTTATTTAAGAACGTTGCTGATCGCAGGTGCTGGAAGCCAACCAAGAGAGCTTGGCACGACGAGATCACTTTTTCACAAAAGTGGATCTGTGTTTTTACAGAACGATTTTAAAAACCAGAAACCTCCCCCTCCCCAACGGCTTGCAACAGGGCAAGGACAGAAAGAAACTCATGAAGACGCTGCATAGGAAGCAGAGGAATAAATTACTTCTCTCTGAGCCGCAGGTCGTCGTTCATCTTTGTGAGTTGCGAAGAGCTGTCTCCCGAGGATTTCATTATCTCAGCAATGTCGTTTTCGAGCTTGGTTTTTGCCTCTATCAGCTGCTGCTCTCTTTCCTCTCTCTCTTTCACTTTCTTTTCCATGGCTGGAAGAGGGAATGAGAGGACCAATCAAGGAAACCACAGATTTTTTTTTTTAAAAAAAATCCAAATGATAACACCTTGAAAACAAAGCTAGAGTGGTCACAATTGACTAGCTAGGCGGGGATATAAATGAAATGAAATGAAATGAAATGAAATGAAATGAAATGAAATGAAATGAAATAAATAAATAAATAAATAAATAAATAAAGATGGAGGTGGCTTCCACAGGTCCCCACAAATGTGACAATTCTATGTTACATAGACATACATATGGCTGAAGGACAATCTTGCCACTTCCCCTCACCTGACAAATTAGATCTCAGCTGATCTAGTTCGGAGGACATGTGTGCAAACTGCTGTTCTTTTTGGCTTAGTTTTTCAACAGTATCTAAGGGAAAACGAAAGGTAGCTTTGGTCAAAAGGCAGCTCAACTTTTTCAAAAACAGTACCCTGTCGATCGCACGGCATTTGGAATAAAAGAAAGCCCTTCTCTCTCCCACCGCACCCTCGTCTATAAAAAAAGCAATCTCGTTCTGACGAGGCATACCTTGCATAGATTTTTGTACACTTTCTGCTTCATTTGCAGCCTTGGTAAATTTTCCTTTCTAGAAGAAAAGGGGGAGGGGAGGCAACAGGTTTAAACCATTTGGCTTAATAAAATCAAATTAATATAAAATACCAAAATAAAGCACTGATCAAGTTTTAGTTACGGGCAGCCTGGTCAATCTTTAGGCCAGGGGAAAACAAGCTATTCAGACTCCTGACCGCATCTGACTCACCATTAATAGGGCATGCCCGACAAGCGAATGTAGAGACAACAGTCTGAAAGCAGAGACAGCCTTGAATTTTACTACTAACCAGTGGAGGAAAAAACTCCAGGCTTGGCATCTTCTGCATCAGGGAGCAGAATTGTTACTGAGAACTGAGACCAATCATTTTGGGTTTTCCATATCTGTAAGGTTTGAGTGAGTGTGCAGAACGGTCTACTACACACTGCTGCATGTTTCTAAACATGCAGAAGACACAGTACTTGCATGAGGAGACAGCTACCCCCCTGCTATGCTGTTAAGGAACACCATCTTGGGTGATGCGTTATAACATGTATTCTCAGATTGTGGCGAATTGTATAAGCAACGTAATGGTCAAAACACACAGTGGATCAAGGAACATACGCTTGCAAGTGATCTATTTGCATCACACTGTCATCACTTACCTACAAGGCCTTAAAAGGGAACATGGAGTGAGAGGGAAGAGGGATTACATCTCCGCTTTAGTTTAAGACAGGGTGGGGAACTGTGTCCCTCCAGGTATTGGTTGACTCCAACACCCATCAGCCCCAGCCAACATGGCCAATGGTCACAGATGATGTGAGTTATCGTTAAGTGAGAATTAGAGGGTCCTCTGTTTCCCTACCTGTGGCTGAAGCTATAAGCTGTGCCGGAACTTTACCGCTGGGGACTCAACTGTCCATATAACACATTTATATAGAACAATCTAAGAAAACCCTCGTTTTGGACACTTACACACAAAAGGAGTTTGCGGTGCTGGCAACGATTAACGTGACCTTTTCCAAAAGTCCACAGAACACAGCGGAGGGCTGTACAGATTTCCAGGGGTTACTCACCAGGTCTTCAAGCTCCTTTTCCATGGAATCTTTGAGTTGGTTTACTGCACCCAAGTGACTCTCAAGGTCAAGCAGCTTTTGATCTTTTACCTGTAGCTCTTTGCCGAGACTAACGGCCTAGCCAGGAGGAGGATGTGGTGTGGAAATAAAAATACAAAGAGGAACAAAAATAAAAGGCTTTGTCGAAGGGGCAAATGAAAATATATGTGTCAGAATGGAAGGTGAAAATAAGCAAAACAAAAATTCGTGAACATAAATCGTGAAGGGGAGATGATAAAAAAAAATTAAATTGTGCTCAGAGGTTTCATTTGAACCATCCCTATGGACTTAAAAGAATAGAGCCACCAACACCGAAATTTGCAGAACCTCAGCTTAAGATATAATTCTTAAATATTCTTACGAGGAAGAAGCCCAATAAAATTTGTATAGTTTAAAGATACGGTTCTTTGGATCACACTGCCACGATAGAAATTAGGGCCAGTTAAACAGATAATTAAAAGCAAGAAGTGCCCGAAAGCAACTCTATGAAGTCTAGCATCTAAAACATCATCTGAGGAGATTTTGTGACAACACGTAACAGACAAAGTTGTACAGATTTTTATTTCAGCGCCTAAAATTCCAGGAGTTGTAGTCCAAAAAGACAAATCTGTCAGACTCTTTAAAAATATCCCCATTATCCTTGATTACTCCTTTCCTCACTCAGGGTAGCATCCTTGGAACAGAGAACTAGTTCATACTGACTTCTCTCCCAGAAGGAGAGGGTCTGAGTTCTCTACAATTAAAAGCAAGCAAGTCCTACAAAGGATTAAAAGGTGGGAGCTGGCCTCACACCGTCTGCATGACCTATTCCATCAAAACAGTCCATGGGGTAGCCCACGATACAGTTCCAGGTCATAACCTAAGAACACCAAGAGGATTTACAGATTCCGCAGGCCACCAGAGAGACAAGTAAATGGCTTTTCTATCCAAGCGAGCCTCAATTCTCTCAAGAAGCAAACATGAATAAACGGAGGCTATAAGAGGACAGCACACTGTGAGGAAACAAGAGTCGAAGAGAATAAAGCTTGCAAAAGTGGAAAGAGGCGGACCCAACATGAGTTGGATGGATTCAGCAAAGGAAACCTAGCCTTCGCTCTGCAAGACCTGAGGTAGGGACATTCATGACGGGGGCCTCTTGGAGATAACTAACTGCTGGGTAGCTCAGTGGTTGAGGTCTCTGGCTGTGGAGCCAGAGGCTGGGAGTTCAAATCCCCGCGGGGCCTCCCGGACAGGGGCTGGACTCCATGATCCGGAGGGTCCCTTCCAGCTCTGCCGTTCTAAGATTATTATAATGTCCCTATTAAGGTGGAAGTGACTAATGGTGACCCATAACGAGAACAGATGTAGACATAATACATGTTTTGTGTTGCATTTTAAAACCTCATCAGATGATGCAGAAATACGACTCCACAGGGATCTCTCTGAAAGAGGTTGCCTCAAAACAGCACAAATTAAAGGGTTTTTTTTTAAAAAAAAATGGAAGAAAGCAAAGAAACAGATGGATGTTGGTACAAACCTGGCTGCTTTCATTATTTCGGTCATTCTCTAAACTCTGTATCGTTTTTTCGGCAGCCTCGAGCGCCTTGCTAAGTCTCTCCAACTCCAGTTTACCTTCAGAACTGGCCGCCCGAAGGCCCTCAAGTTCCAGGAGCTTTCCTTCAGAGGCTTTGATCTTGGCTTTAAGACCATCAATGGCCTCGGCTTGTTCCGTGCACTTGGCCTGGAGCCCCTCCAGCTCCTTTACCTTGATCTCGGCTTCCTGCAACTTGTTGAGCGTGTCTTCCATTTCCACCAGGTGCTGGTCTTCGATGCTCTCCAGCCTGGTTTTCAAGACTTCAACGCTCTTCTCCTTCTCCTCTGTGACCACCAGCAGCTTCCCTTTCAGGGCATCCATCTCCTTCAGGAACCTGGACCTCTCGTTTTCCTGCTTCTGCCTCAAGCTCGAGGTTTCGTTCTGGTGCTCCGCCCTCATCTTCTCGATCTGGGTCTTGAGCTCGGCAAATTCAGCCGTCTGAGCCCCAACCCCTTTGCTGAAGGAAGCCTTCAGCTCTTCCATCGCCTGCTGATGTGACGCAATGGCAGACTCGAGCTTCGATTTCCATAACTCAGTCACTTCCGAATTCTCTCTCTGGGCAGCATCCAGTTTAGTTTTCAGGGACTCGTTTTCTTTTGCCATTTTTTCATTGGAGGCCAGTAAGGTTTTGATTTCCTTCTGAAATGATTCTTCACTGATCTCAAGCTTCTCTTTCAAGGACTTCATCTCCTCCTGATGCTCCTTGCGGATTGATGTCATCTTTTCTTCCAGAGCGCTAAATTCTTGCAGCAGCGAGAGAGAAGCATCCACGTTGCTGGCCGACCTGCTGGACTCTAACCTTGCTTGTAGTTCTGCCACTTCCTTTCCCCGCAATAACAGATCTCTTTCCAGGTCCATAATCCGAGATTTCTCCGACACAGTGGCCACCTAGAATCAACAGCATTTTTTTAAAGAAAGAGAGAGGAAAAATAATTATAACACATTACGCTTAAAGGTCCAAAGAGGTATATTAGCCCCATTTCTTGCAGCAGTAAAATGGCATCTTCAGTATTCTAAGGTAGGCTTCTGTAAAGTGAACTAGTTATTGGTAAACTGATCTAAATGTCTATCTTTGCAGATAATACTAAAGGAACCTGTCAAATCTTCACTTAAAAGCTACCGAACACGCATCAATTACAGCTAAATGACCTTCATTTTTCTAAAAACAAAGTCTTTCGCCTCACTTTAAACTCAACAACAGTAGACTTCATGTAGATTCAAAATTAAGGGTGTTTTTTTTCCAGATAGCAGTGAGTGGCAAGACAAACAGGCTGTTAAATCAAAAGATTAATATCGCAGCTTGCTGAAGTTATTAAAATTAAGCAGAAGCCACATTTAAGAATGAAAGTGTTGTGAGACATGTCCACTAAAGAACTGCGGAAGGTCATAAATGGGAGTGCAGGGTTATTGAGATCTTTTGCTTGAACTCTTTCTAAATGTGATCTTGTTTTGACTAGGACTGAAGTCAGAATGCGAACTAATCCCTTTGAGCTATACAGGATGAGGCTTGACACCAGTATATCTACAGGAATACCATTTCCCTGACATTATCCAGAATATATGTAAAATATCTCAAATGTGTATCTTTAAAATGTTAGGTGTGAAGCAGCTCTTCCAGAGAAGACTTACGCCACCTTTACACCTGTTTACTGTTGGTCAAACACCAGCTGAAGAGATGTCAAGAAGGAATAAGATGCTAAGCGGTTTTCTTCAGAGAAACAAATCATAATGGAGACCAACTCAGCGCAAAAACCAGATAGTTGAACATTGTGTGGATCCTTCGTTACAGCTCAGCTCTGGCATTAAGGGATCACCTTCAAGACCACTGGAGAATTGTAGCTAATTTTAAGTGAGATGCAGCGATGTCTGAATTTCCTGGAGATCAACTTTTCCTCAATCAGAGCTAAAAAATCTACAAATTCGGAAATAAAGCTGCAGAATTACACGAAGGTTTTTGTAAAATCCTAGGTGTGTCTGGTATGACTTTCTTCCATTCCCTATAAATGAAACGGTCTAACTTTATCCATATTCAAGCGCTTTTTAAACATTAAAAAGTTTCCACCAACCAGCTGAGCTCTGAGAATATAATCAGATGACACATGATAACACTTGAACACGGATCCTTTTGGAATTGGGAAGAAAAAAAAGATGGAAGTAAATTAAGAGCTGCAGTTGAAGACAGCCGACTTGATCATCTGGAAGTACTCTCTGGAGCAAGCTTCAGCTCTTCAACATGCCTGAGGTTCAGAATGTGGGTTTGATCACCAGTAGCAGAGTGTCCAAACTGGCACAGGATTAAAATGAAAGGAATGTCCCCTTTTATTCAACCTAAAGCAAAATATTTACACAGGAACTGTACTGTCTGCTACAGAAGACTATAGAGACCACCTACGTAGGCACAAATGGGAAAGACATACAAACATTTTGAAGCACTGGAGGGGTATCTGAAGAGACCCAGATTCAGCAAGGCAATGGCATCAGACACTACGATACGCTTTATTTGTAAGTTCTTCCGCGAGATCTGCTTTGATTTGGGATGCCTGCCTTGAGCAAGGGGTTGGAGTCGATGGCCTTAGGGGCCCCTTCCAACGCCATTGTTCTATGATGCTATGAGACCCCTGATTAAACTTCCCTAAGGGCAGGGGTTGGGTGCTGTCAAGCTCTTGTTACTTAACAACAGGGTGGGTCTGTGCGTAGCTATGAGTAGATGGGTCATACAACTGCAACTGTCCTGAACATCTTCATGAAACATCTTGTTTCTCCATAACGGCCGCATGAACAGCCAAAACAGGTATTATTTTCCCCTGGTGGTGCAAAAGTCTTTCCTGAACAATCCCACGACTACACCAACCACCGCTTGCAAGCTAAACCAGAACATCCCCGAGCAGTCATCATAGCGCACAATAGTATCATCAGACGGAGTGTGCACTGACTTCAGTTCTCTGCTGTCCTTTAATTTTTCTTTAAATATTTGATCACCTTAGATGTGTTTTGGATTTGGGATCCTGCATGTCTTCCCTTGAAAATATCTTGCCAGTCTTTCACCGTGGTTAAGAAAACTATTTTAAGAAATATGGTTGCTCTTTAGCTGGGTCCAACATCACCCTACCGGTCTTTTACCGTTGTCACAGCAATGAGACGCTACATTGCATTCTCTCTTTTCCAAGCCACAAGTGTGGATATTCAGCTGCAGGCTCAGGAGCTTCCCCCCTCCCCAACTTAGACACACAGACAAAAAGAGCGTTGTTGGTTTGAAACAACAAAGTCCATTACCCTAGTGTCTTCTAACTCCCTCTGGAGTTTGTCAGCTTTGGTCTTTTCAAAGAGCAGGCTCTGTTCAAGTTCCTTAATGCGTGCATGCTCCAGTTTGGTCTGCGTCTGTTAGTAAAAAGGGAAAGGAAGAGAACACAACAGTGCCACCATCACATGCGAGCACAAGAGGAGAAGAGAAGCGACATGCAGGATGCGCCACTCGTTGTTTTTCTACCCGTGATGAGCAGCAAAAAAAAAAAAGACGCACATGGCCAATGCGGATGGACAATGGAAAGAAGAAAGGAGCCCCAAAAAAGGGAGGAGAGGAAATGAAGACGGTGAGGCTGCAGATGAGAGACGGACTTCAGAGTGTAACACGTGGCTGATGGAGACTGAGAAAAGATGGGCACACACACACACACACAATGGAAGATGGACAAAAAAAAGTGCCAAGGTAAACTCATGCAGCCCACGTTATTTATCAGTTTGACAATTATCAGCATAAATTAGAATAGTTAATGCTTTTGCAAGACATGATTCAAACAGAGCTGTCGCCTATCAGGCTTTCCCAGAGACCAAGATTACATCTGACAATATTTAAATTACAGGAGAGTAGAGATTGATAGAATATTAGGGGAAATGTATTTACAGTACAGTAAAAGCAGTTTAACAATAGCGTAGATTACTTAGCGACGGGTTGCCTCTCGAGGTCTCCAGAAGGAGGAGGCCAGATAGCCATTGGCCGAGGACGCTTTAAGCTCCAGATTCTGAGCAGAATTGGGCTCCTCTGAACACTTAATGGTTTTATCTTTCATCTCCTTGCAGTGAATACTAAATTGCCCCAACTTATATCATTCCTGAAATTTATTGTGAAATATTGCTTTTTAAAAAATTAATGGTTTGCGTCACTGGACAAGATATCCACCCCATTTATGCTTACGAAACGACTCACCAGGCACGGACACATCCTTACAGAATTAATGAACTTTTCCCCCCTCCTTGTCTTGATGTGCTTAATTAACAGTTTCTACTGCTAAATTTAGAAGAGCCGAGAATCACACGTTGCTCAAAACAACTGCTCAGGTCCATACTAAAATGCAGCTGTTTCCTCTAAGAAAAATAATGAAATATAATTAAAACTTAACAGAGTCTCTCTAAAGAATAATCTAGAGTTTCTCCGAGACCTCTTGGCAGTGAATTGCCGCAAGATACATATGAAAAGGAACAGTGATCCCAATTCATCAGTATCAGTGTGGGAATGGAGGGGGGTGGTGGAACAAAATCACCAGCACAGTTAATTAAAATATTGCTTCAGACAAGAAAGTGAAGTGAGATGATTAGGGACTTGTGTAGTGTTAAGAGGCATTAAGCTCCTTCAGTATGGCACTGCTATCCCTGAATGTGGGTTCACAGGGAGAGATGAACATTGTGGAGCAACAGAGAACGGCTCAATTCCTCTGCAGGCTTCCTAACTGGACCCCGGCCCATCTCGTGTTTTCCTAAAGGACCCACATGGAGGGGTAAAGAGGCGATGTGGAAGGGCAGGGCCACTGCGCAGATCCTCTGGGCTCCACGTCTGCTTCTCCTTGGCTTCTGGGGCGAACTGGCCACACAACTCTCTCCAAAGAGGGAAGCGAGGAGATGGGATGGGAACCCCTCACTCTCTCCCTTGCCCTCTTCCTCTGGGAAACTTCTGAAATCAGGCAAGGTTCAGGGTGGTATGGTGGCCACTGTGAATCTGAGCAGCCAACAGCAGACTACAAAGACTGGTTTGATACACTAGAAGACAGCAACGCACACACATACACACACACACACACAGAGGGTGGGTAATAATTAAGATAAGCTGCCATCTCTAGAACATTGAATGGAAGGGGTGGATCAGCTTCAATCTATTCAAAGTATATTCCAAAATATGGACTGGGCAGCATTCTTGCCCATGTGGTAGAGAATTAGTCAACAAGCCAGAAAGCATTAAAGCACCTTTATCAAAACATTGTCACAATCAATAACATTGGAAAAGCAGCAGCAGAATAAAGGCAAAATTAAATACAACAAGGGCCACGTCTGAGGAAGGGGACGGTGTCCATGAAAGCTCACATTAAAATAGAGTAGTTTGTCTTTAAGGGGCCACGGTGTTTTTGGCTGCTTTATTATTATTATTATTTTTTTGGCTTCTGGCCTGACATGCTAGCAAGACAAACATGGCTCCCTCTTCTAAAACCACAACGACGGAAAGAAACGACCCTGGTGTCCAGTTCGTGGGAGCATCCAAGACTCTTGTTTCCTCCCAGAATTGAAACGTTCCACCAGGCTTCCCTTCTCTGCCTCTAACCACACTCTTGGCATTCAGATGGTTTTATCTCCATACCACAAAGAGTGTCACACGCTACACTCCTGCAGTGAAATCCCAGTAAGGCACAAAAGCAGCACAACTGGTGGGGCAAGGGATCATCCCCAAAATGGCAGAACACTTAACATTTTAGAAAAAAAATAATAATCACCTTAGAACTGCAGGGCTGGAAGGGACCCGTGGAGGGGAATCGAACTGCCAACCGAGCCCTAAGCCATTGAGCCACGCAGCAGTTAAATAATCTTACAACTGCAGGGCTGGAATGGACCCCCATGGGCCATCGGGTTCAGCCTGTCAAGGAGGCACTGTAGGGAATCAAACTCCCACCTCTGGGGCTCTGCAGCTGGAGACGTAGACCTCTCAGCTATCTAGCTGTTCTAACTCAAATAAAAGCCACCAACCAGGACTTTTTACTCCTGAAAAAAAATGGATTTCTCAAGGGAAAATATATTTACTAATGAAAACGTAAGACATGGAAGCCTAGCATAGAAAAGATATGGGTGCCCAAGGAAAGCAGAGTATCGGGGGGGGGGGGGGGGGAGGACAGGTTACATGCAGATTTTTATTCAGACACCCCACATGCCTAACTGGAAGAGTAGAAGCCCCTTAGAGTAAGCTCTACAAAGTGAACTCCGAAAGATACACAGCCACAAAACGAGCTCCATGCTTCGGAAGAAATGCCGTTTAGCTCTGTCCAAAAAGACCCTGAATATGCCGCTGGTTTTCTTGCATACTATGGGGATGTGAGCCAAAAAAAAAGTGTTTTCCCACCTGTTACAACAAGCAAAAAGGAGGGCTGCCAAAGGCAACGGTAGGAAACTTAAGAGTTAGCGTTTTGTTAACGTTTGTTAACAAATGGACCTTAACGGGAAACCTTGACATCTGAGTGTTCAGCCTGGAGGCAGGCGGTGCATCACGGCCTCTCCCAATTTGAAGAGACTCTCGTCCAGCAGGCCGAGGCGAAGAGGCAGTCCCGAAACCAGCAGAATCAGGGAGGTGGACAGGGGACAGATTGGATTTGTCTTCAGTGTGGAAGGGATGGTCCCTCTCGAATTGGCCTCCTCAGCCACACTAGACAGTGTTCCAAGTCCTCCATACAGAGCATGTTCCCATCGTCTCTCGAGACGGAAGGATGCCTAATTTAATCTACTTCCTTTGCAGACTTTTTGTTTTGTTTTGCCTTTTTGTGTTCAAAGGACATTTTTACTTAAAATAAAAGGGGTGGCAGGAGGACAGAGTCTCTCTGTGTCACGAAGGAAAGATGGTCCAGTAAGCCACAGCCTTTGTGAAGGATCCGCTTTCATTGTAACAAAACGGCCACTATTTCCTCTCTTGTTCTATGGAAGGGGAGTGTGGGAAGACATTCAGGACTAATTTCCACATTTTCCTCTGCTGGACAGTAGTGGGTGCTCTTGGGTTAGTGACCAGAAGGATGGTTGTCTCCGAACCCAGACTTTTTTTTGCAAAATTTCAGAGGTTACTAGATTGAAAACGCTGCAGGGGGTGTTCAAAGCTACATGCACACAAACAGGGAAGCTGATGAGGTCTCAGTAGCAGGTCAGGTTAATAGTGGTTAAAGTTACGACGCCAGCCAAAGTTTTATTGGTCAACAATCTGTGTTAAAATGGGAAGGTTTCTCCCCAACACACGTTCAGGTGTCCTCTTACGTTCTCGGGGTCTTCAGAAATCAGCCTCTTTTGCTAATGGCAAAATTAAAACAAAGAGAATTCACCATAAAGCAAGGTACTAAAATTCAGATACAGCCGACCGCAGAGGGAAAGGAGATACTGTAGCATCTTCAAAAGTCAGATTAAGGGTTCTAACCTATAAAGTCCTAAATGGCTTGGGTCCAAGCTCTCTCAAGGACGGCGTCTCCCATGACGAGCCTGCTTGGGTTTTGTGATCCATCAGGAGAGGCCTTTCTCTCTCAGTCCCACCACCTTTACAGGTGTGTATGGTGGGGAATGCAGGAGAAGGCCTTCTCCGTGGCTGTTCCCGGACTCTGGAACTCCCTCCCACTGGAGGTCAGGCTGGCTTCATCTTTACCGCCTGCCCTTCTGGAAGCAGGCAAAGACCCTTCTCTTCAGGCAGGCTTTCCCTTAATGACCGGCTGCCTGAGTAAGGTTTTTAAATGGATGGTTGTGCCCCTCACTGCTTTTAATGTGTTTTTCGGGTTGCTTTTGTTTAACTGTCCTTTAGTGTGGCATTTGTTTGATCCTTTTAAATATTTGCATCTTTACTGTTTTCATTTTTAAATATTGTCTTAAGGGTATGTGTCAGCTGCCTTGTGTGCGGGGTAAAAAATATTTTAAATAAATAAATAAATTCACCCCATTCCTCCTGTCCTCCAGAAATTATTAGTTTTTGTCTCTCTCACAAGATCAACTTTCAACTGAGGAACTGGCCTGAAATACACCTGTACCAGCAAGGAAGCCAATCCAATAAGGAAGCCAAGTAGGTGAGACAAATCCACCCCATCAACCCACCTTCACCTCCACAGCTGCCAGGCTGATGCATGCCCCCCCAGTGGTCCAGGGTTTCACCCTAGCAACTTCCACATCTCCCTGGTGCATGAATGCATTCACACACGTGAAAGAGACTAACAGGTGTTGTTTAGTCTTTGGGCGAAATTTACCGTATTAATTGAAGGAAAAATCCAGCCTGCCTATTTGGGCTTGAGCACACACATGCTTCAAAGTACTGCCTTCATGTAAATCTATAATTTAAGACTTTGCAAAGATCAAATGCATGTGGTGAAGATTCTGCACAATCCAGCTCATAGCTGCAAGGGAGAAATCATAGAATTCCGTCCTCTTTTTAAAATTCAGAGTCCTTAAAAATGCAGGGGCCTTGAGAAAAGACAAGTCTAGAGATCACTGAAATGAAGGACAACAACTTCTACTATGCATTTGAAACACAAAAAGGAGACATCAGACTACAGGCTAAGAAGGTGAATGAGCGCTCCGTGAACAGTCTGAATAAAATGGATGGAAGATTAAAATAAAAGTAGAACTACAAGAGATGTTGATGGGAGATGGACCGCTCGATAGGAGGCTAGAACAGTCTGTCTTGCTCTTCGCTCTGCAAGTTATTCTAAACATTGCTTTGCCCATGATATAAAGGAAAAGACATGTATTATACATTCTGCTTTTCGAGCGTAAACAAGAACATATTAAGGAACAAGTTAAGGAAGCTTCAAGGTAGCTAGCATTAAGAATTAAGCGTCCAAAACCTGGCAGTGTTTGATTAGGGATTTGCTGCCTAACCCTAACACACAAAGCAACATAAGCCTATGGAGCTTGGTAATATATATGCCTTCACATTATGGCAAAAATGTGTTCAGTATACACTTTTGACCACTATACTTCATCCAAAATTTGAATGAAATGCATAATTTAAAATTTAAGCCTTTTCTGAGAAGCACAGGACGATACTGCGGGGAGGAATCCAGCTGTGGTCCATCACACTTCCGGCCTTCGGCCTTTGCTTCAGTAGGAAAAAAGTTAAACACTGCCAGTTTTGCAACCTCTGCATTGGCTTTCTAGTTGGTAATTTTAACAGACAGCCTGGGAAAGCATCTACAAGATGTTGTGTAAAACAGCAAAAGGGAATGACTGAAATGAAGTTATTTGTTCACCTACGGGGCCGAGGATTAGAAGTCTCCAAAATGTTACCTTACAAGGCTTAGGGCTTTATCTCGGGTAGACAAGGTAATGGTAACTCGTCTTGCTTTGCATACTCCTATATACTGTCCTCAGAAAGCAGACAATTCTACCTCTAGATTCTTAGACACAGTAGCACCAAAAATAGGGAGTCGCTGGAATGATTTTCCTCTGAACACGCTACCATTACAGCCCATTAAATAGAGTTGGGAGACATTTTACCTCCAAGTCACCTTTCGTAATGGACTCTTCTTCCACGCGGAACTGGAGGTCTTCAACCTTCCTGTGAATAAGGACCAAAAATGGAAAATGGAAACTTGCAAGTCATGCATGAGGAAAACCTCCAACTAATTGGTCTGCTTCATTATCAATCATAGAATAATTGACTTAAGCCCATTAAATAGAGTTGGGAGACATTTTACCTCCAAGTCACCTTTCGTAATGGACTCTTCTTCCACGCGGAACTGGAGGTCTTCAACCTTCCTGTGAATAAGGACCAAAAATGGAAAATGGAAACTTGCAAGTCATGCATGAGGAAAACCTCCAACTAATTGGTCTGCTTCATTATCAATCATAAAATAATTGACTTAGAAGGGGCCTCTAAGGTCATTGAGTCCAACCCCCTGCTCAAGGCAGGAATACAAATCATAGCAGATCTGACAGATGGGTGGTCCAGTTTTCTCTTGAAGGCCTCTAGTGCTGGAGAGCTCACCACATCTCCCTGAAGGCCTCCAGTGCTGGAGTGCTCACCACATCTCCCTGAGGTCATGGGTTCCATTGTTGTACTGCTCTAACAGTTAATAAGTTTTTCCTGATATTCAGCCTAAATCTGGCCTTTAAACGAGATCAAATGGCAGAGCTGATGGGAGGAACTGTGAGGCAGACTGTGAGCTCTACATTACAGCTTAACTCAGACAACAGGAAGTAGAAGGAAGATAACAGGTGTTCTACTGCATGCCATTGGAGGATGCAGCAAACTGTGTGGTAAGAAAGCTATAATTGCTTTTCTCTCAAGAAAAAAATGTGCATAATAATGAACAGTGTTTTTTTCAAACTATCCCTCAAAATCCTGATGCACACACTACTGATTCAGAATCATAGTGGTAAGAAAGCTATAATTGCTTTTCTCTTAAGAAAAAAAATGTGCACAATAATAAACAGTGTTTTTTTCAAACTATACTCATCTCCCTCAAAATCCTGATACACACACTACTGATTCAGAATCATGGCTAAAAACCAAGCAATGACTTCATTTCATGTAGCTCATTTATGCAAAATATATATATATATTTTGCTGTTACAGTTGTGAGAATTCATACCACTGAGTACTGTCTAAACATCAAAAGATAGCCATCTCTTTCATGGAAACATGCACTGGTTTACAGGCAACACAAGACATGATCAGAAGAGAAGGTCAGCCTTCAGACTGCTTTCAGCTGAGAGTGACATGAAGTGTGCTGACTAATACAAACTTCTTGTAGGTGTGCCATTATGGGCAGGAGACAGGGCAAAAACGGCAGAATGCAGTGGCAAATTCTCCTGCACAATCATTGTGGAAATAAACAAGAGCCACACAAGAGCACTGCCCTTTGGCTGGCCTTTGTCTAGACAATGCTGTCGAAGGAGATCTCAGCGGATTGCTCTCCGCACGTCAGTCAGCATCTTGGGATTGGGGGGGGGCTCTACTTTGGCCGCAAAAGGGGTGAGTCTGATTCCAACACTGCTGGTGGCCCTTCCTCTTGGCCACCCGTTCGGTTAATGGGCACCAGGCCAAGTCCATTGGTATTGTTAGGCTGCCCAGCAACATGGCTCAAGGTGAGCTCAAGGCCAACCAGGGACAGAATTAAAGCAGTCCCTGACCTGGAATTTCCATGACTTGCAGTAACTGATGCCCTGTTACAGGACGGTTAACGAGGGACAGAAAAAGAAATCCTGCATATAGTATCCTAAAGGCCGCTCTTAAATGGACAGGGTTCTTCTAATGCACTAAATTATCCCCCCTCTTGATCTCATCCATCTTTCATTCTCTGTTGTCATTACCATCATTAAAGGTTTATACAAAGTTGTAATGTGAGCCCAAACAGGTCAGGTGTTTTAGACGAGCATATGTGTGACTCAGTTTTAACTTACCTTCTTTCCTCTTCCAGCTGGTTAAGCAGTTCTACTTTCTCCCTGTCAGCCGCTTCGACCAAGGCTCGTAACTGGTCCATCTTAGCTTCCATGTCCAGGACGCGCTGAGCCAAAAAAAATATCTTTATTAGAGGAACCCCTTGTTTATGTAAACCAGGCTAAACCGGCCACCTCTGTGGCAACAGAGAAACAGGAAGGGGGCTGTGGAAGAGCAGGGGATGTGCGTACACATCTTGGAGGTCTGTGTCTTCTCAGACCTCTAGGAATGGCTCGTCCCTGCTTTATGAAAATGGGGACCATGGAGAAATGGAGAATTTAAAGAGGTGAGATTGTGAGTGAAGAGAGTTTTGTGGTAGAGGAAGATGTTCACAGCCACGGAAAACATGGGCTTCCGAAAGGAATGCTGGTGATTTTACCCACACGAAAGCCAGAGCATCTTGAGGAGGCTTTAGCCAAAAACATCCACCCAACCATGGTATTCTCACCCTTTTATCCTCCAGAGTTTTTTTTTCCAGTTCAGCTCCCAGACGAACTGGTTGGCAAGATTCCATGGGGTGAGTCCCACAGCATTGGGGAGGGAAGAGTGTGCCATCACCTTAGAAGGTGGGAGCCTTCGTGCCTGCTCTCCCCTTTTCAACCGGTCAAATGCCCGGGGCCTACCTGATCGTGTCCATCTCGTGCCAGGGCAAGCTGCTGCTCTACCTCCCCAACATGGCGGGTGGCCTTGGCAACCTCGGCTCTCTCCAAGTCCCTCTCGGCCAGGAGCTGCTCGATGTGCTGCTGTTTCTCTTTCAGCGCCTCCTGCAGAGCGGTGGTGCCTGAAATTTTCCTTGCGTACCGTGAAGATGTTTCTGTCAACTTGGAGGATGAGATAATTCATTTTTAAAGAGGCCAGCTTCCACTGAAAAAGCATACGAAAGCGCACTTTCGTTCTATGTACATCAACGGGCTATTTAATTACGTTTTAACCAGTGTTAACTCTGCACACATTTAATGGCTGATTTTCCAACGAGGTACTAAAACCACCACCGGGGGATGGGGGGGGTGAGAGAGGAAGGCAAGCATGGTACATAGAACAGCCCCCATGATCTAGCTGGGGCAGCACAAGACAACGTCATTGCAAAGGTACTGTTTCTGCCTCGTGTAAAGGGATACATATTGCATATTCTGTGCTGTATAGCCTTCTTATCTGATCAGATAAGTAAGCAGGGAAAGCTGCAGCCCTAAAACGTTTGCCTATGTTCCTCTGAGAAAGGGCTATGGTCAGCAACCAGAAGCAAGGGCAGCTAGCCACCAGTGCAAAAAGCAGCCACAAAACCTGCGTGGCAAGCCAAGGACTTCAGTGCTGACACTGCTGCCTCTCTGTTCCAAGCTGTACTGCCCACTTGTTTCCAATTGCTAAGGGGGATGAAGAAAGAAGCGTTATGTTGCCTCTGTCATCACACTCAAACCAGAACACCCTGGGCTGCATCAGAGAAAAGGCATCAAGGGCAATGGGGATGGGCGGTGGGTGGGATACAGAATGGGAAGCTCTCTTGCAGCTCCCTTCTTCCAGGCTGACACCTAAGCTGGGTGGCGTAGACTGCCAACACATGTAGCGGAAGGAAACGGCCTTTTAGGACTTCTGGTTTTGGAAAATGACTTACAGGCCGGGGATGTTGTTTTTTTTTTTAAATGAAGCCCTCCCGTAAAAGCTTCTAGGAGGGGTAATTTGCCTTTTTCTTTTTCCCCGGGGGTGGTGCTGGGGAGAAGAGAACAAGGCATCTGATGGGACAAGAGAGGGGCCAAACTTGGCCTACTTCAGGTTTAAGCGAATACCTATCACATTTAAAAGTGTGTTAAGAATATGCTGGCCACATAGTCAAATATTTTCGGGAGCCATGATCATCTATGAAGCACAGACAGCACAGAGCTGTCTGTTTAAGGGACATTTCACATATCATTCTCTGTGCATTATGTGTGAAACGCTCTTTAAACATGGCCCTCTAATGCAAACTACTATCCCTTTTCTATTCTGTGCTGGCTCGTGGCGTAGAGGTTTAAACTGCTGCACTGCAGCCAAAACTGTGCTCAGGACTTGGGATTCAATCCCAGGTAGCTGGCTCAAGGTTCACTCAGCCTTCCATCCTTCTGAGATCAGTAAAGTGAGTACCCAGCTTGCTGGAGAAGGGGGCAATGTGTAGCTTGCATAATTAAATTGTAATCTGCTTGGAGAGTACTTTAAGTGCTATGGGATAGTTATATAAGCGGCAAGGTGCAAGGTCTCTTTAAAGTTGTGCCACAACGCTCACACGAAGCAAGGAAGAGAGGAAAGGTATGCATGAAGAGTTGTGCAGAAGTTCCCTGTAGCCCCAGGGTGGCTCTTGGTAGAGCTACAGAGCTGGCACATGGTGCTCCTAATCTATACAACACAGGCAGAAGGGTGAAGGCGGCTGAGAGTCAGACAGCCTAAAAGGAGGCACTTCATTTTGGAGAAAATAGCAAAAAAGGCTTGTCTTGGCTTTCTTATTCAATTGTTCACTTCAGTAGTTTGAGAAAAGAAGTGAACGTACCTGCATAGCAAGGCTCTTAACGCAGCAATCAGAAGACAGAAAACAAAACAAGTTTGAACAGAAACATAAGCCGGGCCGCAAATTAAACTTGGAGCCTGAACAGAAGAGTTGCTTCTTAAACTGCTAAGCACTTTTTTGACATGGGCGCTAGCCAAAAAAAAAATCGCCCCACTTCTGTTAAGACAAATAATTTGCTCAATTACTCAAGTCAGCCAAAGATCACACGCAGCAAAAAGTCCTTTGCCAGCCCCTACGGAAAACAAGTACTCTTAAGGTACCCCTTCTAGAGATTTCAGAGAGATAAAGACCTCCAGCCGCAATCCTGACAGTCTTCACCGAAGCACTTCTCTTACCAGGATCCAAAGGATTATTAAATGGATTAGCAAAGTGAATTCTTCCCAGTGCTGTGAATTTCATTCTGAAGTGTCAAACGAACATAAAATCAAACTACTCAAATGTATTCCAGCAGGGAGAACACTGCTATGTACTTCTGATGTGAAGACACTGGAAGGATTGGTTCCAACACCTCAGATCCTGAAACCACACAGCCAAAATATTATTTATGAATGGGCAACCTCTTCTCTCAACATTATTATTAAAAAAAATTTTTGGCTACATTCAAGTTGCTGTATATCTTGGGAAAAAGTTCTGCCCACTCTATTAAAAACATGTTAATATCCTGGTTCCAAACTTTACTACAAGGCTCCCGGGATGGTTTCTATGCTAATAAGCCAGCATGGACAGCGGCTATACGAGGTCTGAAATTGTCTATGAATTTGGGCTCAATTTTAATTTATTACCCTTGAGGGGCATGACTTGCAAGTTTCCATTTGCTGCGGGTGATCCAAGATTAGGATATTAAAAGTTTAAGCATCTAATCTACACTTAGTGAAATGTTAAACTGATACCAACTCCGTATTGGTACATTTCTTACAAGAAAGCTAAGGTTAACTTCAAGCAAAAAAAAGAGGCTTTACCACCATAAGCATATTTATAGATTGAGATAGCAACAGTAATTGATATTGGCCAGTTCTACACTATTATGATTACTGGGGCAAGGAATCTGGAAAATACTTTCAAAAAAAGTCTGCAAATACATTTCATCTGTAAGACACTCCCATCTCTATTCTGCCCAATAATTTATCCTTTGAATTAGAGCAGTTATACTACAGATATACACGGTGTAGTTCTATGCATGTTTACTTAGAACAAAATCCCAGTGGACAGGTATTTAATGAAACTTACTCCCTAGTAAATGTGCTTAAGGCTGCCACCCACACCTGTTATACGTGGATGGAGCTTGCTTCCAAGTGGAATCCAGTTACAACATCAGATGCCTTCTGGAAAAAGTTACAATGCAGATCCCACACATTTAATTTTAAAAAATGCATTTACTAAACACCTGATGCGTAGGCCTCTTTCTTATTTCAGGTAACAAATTGTTAGCTTGAGTTAAACGTTAATCATACAAGGTTAGGAACCAAACAAATTCTTCTATTCTTCAGGGCTAGCTAAGTTTTTTTTCATGCATGCTTTCAGCGAAGAAGGAGACGAGAAGAGAAGAGACGGTCCGGATTTCCCCCCTACCCACCCACCTTGCACAGTCTACGCGATCCGCTGTTTTACGAAAACTGACCGTAGGCCACGTGCGGTGCCCACTTCTGCTCAGGGGATGCAAAGCATGCAGTAAGAAAAGAACCTTACTAGTCCTGTACGACTCGGCTTGCTGCTTACGGATGAGGCCACAGAACTCAAGGAGCTGAGAGAAGAGGCACTTGGGCTCCGTTTCAAGCTCAAAGGTGTCGGGATCGCTTTCCTGACGGTCGTTTTGGCTTTTGCTGGCGTCGTCGACGGGAAGCCGATCTTGGTGACTTTATGGACGGGGGCAAACAGGCCGTACTTGGGCTGGCACTGGAAGTACCTGGGAGGGCAAAGGAGTGCATCCGGAAAGCTAACGTCATTCCCGCAGCTAAAGACATTCCCTCCTTACACACCATTCAATGACCTGCGACACAAGCAGAACTACTATTGAGTCAGTACCTTTATGGTCTTACACAGTCGTGCCCCGCTTAACAATTACGCCGCATTACGACGAATCTGCTTTACGACAATTTTTTGTGATCGCAAATATCTATCCATCCATCCATCCATCCTATAGGTTGTACAAACTATCAACACACATGGCTGCTGCGTGTTGAAATGCTCAGCAAGTGCGGAAGCAAATGATCATCATCCCAATGTACTCAGAATTTCTCAGGGCATTCTATAAATGGTTTATAGGGCTTATTCTTCCCTCTCCCATAACTCAAAGGTACATCCTTCTTTAAAATCAGAAAACATGGCAGGTTTAAATGAATCTTCTGAGCTGCACGCAGGAGGCGAGTTATCGTATGGTTTGAGAAACAGTTTTCGAAGGGTAAGTCACAAGCAAGTCAGGAAAAATTCAGATGAAAATGTATATTCCAGAAAGGGACATGTCTAAATCTTCTTTCAGGACATGGGACCCACAATACAGTGGAGATCTAGAATGGCTTCATCGCGGAAGAAGACAGGAAGCCCTATTAAACTGCTATAAAGCATACTGTTTCTCCATTATTATCTACACCTTGGAAACTGGGGCAGGTATCATTTCCTATTGATTTGGCAGTTGAGGTTACAGACTGGCTCTGATTTGACACACCTCTTCGAAGGCATGAAAGCATCATGAGGACCTAATACTTAGTTGACTTCCTGGGTGTGAACTCACCTTGTTCCAGCCACTGCCCCATCGTTCTTTCCCAGGGGTTCATCTAATTCAACGCCACACCACTCTCCCTTAGCAAAGTCAGTTTCTCCCAGGAAGCGGACTACACCGGCTTTAGTACCCCCAACCTAGTTTAAGGAGAAAGAGGGAATGAAAACACTTATTGAATGGAAAGGAAACAGCACAAGGCAGACATACAAGAACTAAATTAGAAGCAAAATTACTTTAGGCTTGCAAGAACGGCAGCCCTCACTGAGATCTTACCCAAAAAGTAACTACTCAGGAAGTCTGTTGCATTCCACAAACTGAGCTATTTTAGGCATTGCTTAAGCAAACCAAATAAACAAACAAATAGCCTGTCACACTTGCTAACAAACATACTAGGCAGGAAACATACCCTTTTGCCTAGAGTGAAAAGTGTAAAAACAAACCACCCACGGTAGCAAAGAAAATGAGTAATACAGAAAGCCTGTAAGATAGTTTTACATGAGCGTACGAATGATTATTCTTAATCTGTGGATATTCAAGGCTAGCTGCCATGAGGCTTTTTATGTTCACAGCATCAACCATAATTCATGAGCGTACGAATGATTATTCTTAATCTATGGATATTCAAGGCCAGCTGCCAGGAGTTTTTTTTACGTTCGCAGCATCAACCATAATCGGAATTTGATTGAGGTAAAATATACAGAATAACTTGAAACTTGTTTTCATGTATTTACTGAAAACAGGAAGCACCTCTTTGCTAAATGTTCCTCACAACATTATTACTGCTGAGGAAATGATCTTGTACTTATGTCAATCATTGACTTAAGAACATCAGCAAGCCAAGATGATATTCTAAAGAAAGTTTAGTAAAGTTATGCTTTTCTTTCGGATGAGCATTTAAACACCTAGTTTTCTCCAGACTGGTGCCATTTCATATGTTTTGACCTACAATTGCCATCATCCCTCGACCATGGATCACTCTGACTAAGGTTGCTAAGAGTTACAGTAAAAAAAAAAAATCTTAGAAAGGAAGTTGGGAAAGGCTAGAACCTCAACAGTAAACTGACTTACAATCCTGAAATTGACTTACAATCCTGATTGTGGAGGTGGAACCTGTCTCAACACGAGAGGGCTACAGAAATTGCACCTATACCTTCATGATAACATGTTCACAAAGCTTGCAAAACCAGTGATGCTACTTTTCTCCCTGAAAGCCTGATCTGTTAGCCTTATTTCCAAAACCTCAACATCACTTCCATTAAATGCAGAAACTTGAAGAGCCAAGCACGTACTCCGCCCTGAAAGTAATTAACATTCTGCACAATCGGAATCCAAACCATGAGCCAAAGAAAACAGAGGTCTGTAACCTATATGCATTTTGTGCGGTTTATTGTGCTTTTCCCCCACTGTTTTTTTTTTCAATTTTCATTCTATTAGTAACTGGAAGAGGAAAGGGAATTTATGAGCACAGAAACGTCACCACTTAACACTGGAAGTCTTATCCAGATTCCCAAGTATTTATTACTATAAAGAGTGAAAACATTCCTTAAAAACCAAAACAACATCAAAGGTGGGATTTTCTGGAGGTTGACAAGCAGTAACAAGTTATATGTTACACATCAACACGTCTGCCTTTTTAAATATTTTAAATGTCCTAAATGTTTTTATGCAAATATTTTTTATACTTTGAGTGAATGTTTATTTGTATCTTTTTTTTGTTGTTTCCTGTTCTGTTACACTGTATTTTAATTATGTGGTTTGTGTAGGTTGGAAACTGCCCAGCGTGGCTTTTAGCCAGATGGATGGTATAAAAATGAAATCAATCAATCAATAAATCAGGTTTTTTTGTGGGTTTTTAAGTCTTTTTTTGGGGGGGCCAGATGGATGGTATAAAAATGAAATAAATCAATCAATAAATCATTCTCTCTTTTTTTGCTAAGCTCTTACAGAACCTCAGCATATTCACAGTTCTGGGGCTGTTTCCATTTGCCAATGGCTGGTAGAGAGGTCCTCTTTTCTTTTAATCTTTATGCAGCAATGGAATGGGCAGAAGAGAGAAGACGGTGAAGCGTTCCCCTCTGGCACATGGTTTAATTCGGTCCTTTGGAAACCCTAAGTATACTCAGTACAAGGCAGAATCTGACAGTGTTGTTTCTTCCTCTTCTTAGACTACGTCCCCCATTAAGCCCACAAGCCAGTTTAATTCGGTCCTTTGGAAACCCTAAGTACTGTATACTCGGTACAAGGCAGAATCTGACAGCATTGTTTCTTCCTCTTCTTAGACTACGTCCCCCATAAAGCCCACAAGCCAGTATAGCCACAGGCTTTGCTCGTTGTGCAACTATGGGACCTGTAGTTGAAAAAAAGGAACATGAAACAAGCTCTGAGGCAGACAGTCCAGCCAGGGACCTCCTCTGAAACCAGATCGCTGTCCTAGACAAACGTTTAAAAGGCAGTGCCAAATGCAGAGTTCAAACGCATTTAACTTCGCAACCCACAAGTTTTAACTGGAGTTTTTAAAAATCCAGCCATTCATCTCAAGCAATTTTTTCCCCTCTCTGAAGCACAAAATTTTTATAGGGTTATAACCTGGCCCTTGGAATAAAAAGGACACCAGAAAAAGTCACACAAGTGGATTTGAAAACACTTCGAATTAAGCATAATGGCAAAATGGAAGAGAGGAGGCCAACCTATGTCGAACCAGCTCTGAGAATCAGGCTGGCTTCGGGCCTTTTGCTAGGTAAGAGAAAAAGCCTTTCCAAACCTTAAATAACAGACCCTTGGTGCATCTGGCCCTATACTGCTGACACTGATGAGCAGCAAAAGGTCCCCAGAGTTCGAGGCAGAATTCTTTCCCACCTTTATCTGGGGACACAGGGAATTGAACCTGGGGCCTTCCGCCCTACCCCTTAGCTACTGCACCTTATTCTTAAACAAAAGAACAAACGGGGGCTATACAGTGATACTTTTGAATCAGGTGAAGTTTCCTGTCTGAACCATTGTTTCTCAAAAGTTTACGAACATTCATGATCTAAACTTTGTTATTTTAGAAATACAATCAGATCTAAATGACTTTAATCGCCGGTGGCCATGCCACGTTGATTTACTTAAAGACGGGCCGTATAGCTCAGAGCGATAGGTCGGGGTTTCCTCCTCTCACCTGTTTTCCTAAAAAGTTAACTTGACAAATGTGCCCAAAACCAAGGGCAATGTTAGAATAATGCCGTTAAAATAGCTGCACTAGTGACCTTCAGTCTTATGAAGAGAGACTGCTGAAAAATTGAAGAGCAGAGGGGGTCTGCCAAATCTTTTTTTAGCAGAGTATGACAACTCCACACAATTCAGGAAGGATGATGTAAAATAGTAATGAGCCAAAGCAGTTGATCTGCAGATCACTGAAACTTTTTTCCCCCATGTTGGGGAAGGGCAGTATAAAGAGAGAAAAAGAGAAAGCACAGTTCCGTACTCTGTTGGCTTTTTCAAATCATGAGCCCAGATAACTCCGTGATTAAATATCCGTTGTCAAATTCAAAGAAGGAACCCATTTGTTCCCATTGTGGAGTTTAGGGAGATGTTTATCTCCCTTCTTACAAGCAAACACATAAAACGCTCCCTGATGAGAGCAAATGGCATCAACGTGTCCAGCTCTAGACACGGCCATCTTTTAAATTCTACTGCAGCAGAACATAGCACTGAATACAACCAACACAGCATCCGCTTCCCTTTAATAAAAGAAAGGAAACCAACAACGGACAGCATTCTGTATACACAGACGTGCTACAGATTAAAAAACAAAAACAAAACCCACACTCTAGGTTGTGTGCTGAGAGGGATAGACCACTATCTTTGTGTGTTTATCCCTGGATTTATTCCCTCAATGCACGAACAGCATTGTAGTATAGTAGACAAAATGCTCAGCATGGATCCAAATCCATATTAAACCCACCAAATGCAGAGATGACCTGTCAAAAACAAGAGGGAGGAACCACTGGAATAGTTCACAGAAGGAAACTGACAGAGAAATGACTCCCTCGCCATTCCATAATTGCAAGCAAATCTGGTTTGCAACATTTTGTGAACATCTGGCCAGATGCTGCTGTTGCAGCTATGTAATTCATCTACTGTATAGGAGTAGGAGACATTTGTCAAGTGTATTGAAATCGTGCAGGACACAGTTCTGAACCCTACCAGGGATAATAACCCTGTTTGGCAATTCAACAACTTTAACCAAATCCATCCAGCCAGAAGTGAAGTTAACTGTTCATTTACCACCATCCTCTGCCACTGCAATGTGAAACATATTATGTTTCTGCTGTAGGACTAAGAGATGAGCAATGACAACATAAGAAGTGATCAGATGTGGAAACACAGTGGTTGCAGTCCCCTAGAGCAGTCCTTGACTTGCAATTTCACTTGCTTTCTTGCTCCCTTATATTTCAGTCTTATCTCTATCATCTCATTTACCTTAGATCTGCAAAGACAACATTTAAATGTATGTATGTAAGAACACATAAGAATGTTTAGTTTCATTTGTACCCAAACTATCCTGGAAACTGAATGCCTGTAAAAAGATATATGCTTGCTTTCTCACTCTTTGAGGCTGACATGAAATCTTTTGCTTTGTACTTACACCAACCATCCTGTGTGGCAGTCTGTTCAGTTCTTTTTTTTTTTAAAGTTCATTTGTCAAATTATAATTTCATTCATCACTTGACAGTTTGGGCCTTTGGCTTCAACCGGCAGCCACCAAAACCGTAACCTAACACCTCAACTTGAAAACTAACTGTATTTTGCATTTCTAGGAAAGAACAGCACGGCTACGGTTTGATTCCATCATTCTCTTTTTGGATTCGTAACTCTCTGTACGGAAATGAAATATGTGAATAAAACAGTCCCCTGATTTCCTGTGGACCACAAAAGCTTCAAGGCACCTCTGAACAAGATAAAAGCTTTGTGTTCTGCTGAGGTTGAAGGTGAGGGAACATCATAATATCAGCAGCCCTGTTCCCTTCCAAAGGTCTGAGGTGCATCTGATACAATGCCCTGAAAGGCAAACGATTCAGGTTCCTTTGCTTGATTGCTTGCTTTTATCAAGAAATCAGATGCCCACCTGTTTCTAAGACACCGGATGCAGGAGCAGAACTATCCTGGCCAATCCAGGGCTGCTCATCTTCCAGGAGAATACTGCTTAGCTGGGAACATCACTTGCCCTGAAGTAACACTGCCGCTTACAATATTCATGGCGCCTTTTACATGCAAAGCCTCAAGGGACACGACTTTCCCTGTTGCCTTTTTAGAAAGTGACAAGCATAAACCGAAGGGAGATGTCTTCCCCTCTTTGTAGATACGGATCCTCTAAGAGAGCCGCTACAGCACACAGTGTCCGATGTGAGTACCCGAGGTAGGGATGGGGGTTATGTAACCTCCAGACGGTGATCTGCAATTCCTATCAGCCACAGGCTGGTCACTCTATGAGTTGTAGACCAGCAACAGCTGGCCAAGGTGAAGTTGCTCCTTGCTCCTTTAATGCAAAGTCCTCGCAATAAAACCGACAAACAGAGTGGTTCTCACCTGTTCCTAATGGGAAGTGAATTTAAAGGATAGCCCATAGGGCTCCCCATTCCATGTTCTCTGTACTGGGAGACAAATGGTGCTGGAGACATTCAAGGTAAAATTGGACAACTATCTGTCAGGTCTGGTTTGATTTGGATTCCTGCATTAAGCCAGGGGTTGGCCCCCTTCCAACTCCGTGGTTCTAAGAAAACTAAGTTAGGGGCTATTTACTTGTGAGCAATAGATATTAAGAAGTAGGAAAAGTATATCAAATGTCATTCAGGAGCTTTGTATTTCCATACACCAAGAGCCGAGAAAGCAGAAGGGTTTAGTGTAAAGCTTTAACTACCAATGAGCAAACCTTTAGTTAACCATTTTCTGAAAAAAAAAAAACAAATACAAAAGCTGGGAAGCCACCCAATCGCAGTGCTGCGTTACTTGTGAGCAATAGATATTAAGAAGTAGGAAAAGTATATCAAATGTCATTCAGGAGCTTTGTATTTCCATACACCAAGAGCCGAGAAAGCAGAAGGGTTTAGTGTAAAGCTTTAACTACCAATGAGCAAACCTTTAGTTAACCATTTTCTGAAAAAAAACATACAAAGCTGGGAAGCCACCCAATCGCGGTGCTGCAGGCAAAGAAGTGCATCACTGGGAAGACAATGTGACCGACTAGGGAGGCCCACACAGCTAAGAGATGGCCCCATCTTAACTAGACTGACGGTTGGAAGCTGATCTGCATGAAAATGTCTGAAGACTGTTCACAGGTCCTAGGCCAGCCTTACAGACCATTTTTCTAAATTTACCCTCTTCTTTGGCCCACATACGCAAGACTGGCGCATCTATTAATAATCATGTGCTATCAAGTCCATTCTGACTTGTGGTAACCCCCCCTTTTTTTTTTAGAGTTTTCCAGGCAGAAAATACTCAGAAGTGGTTGACCCTTCCCTTCTTCCTCTGGGAGGTGCCCGGGGACTAACAGTGCCGCTGGCCCAAGGCCACCCAGGCTGGCTCTTCTACTCAAAGGAGGCCCAGTGGGAGAATCAAACTCCCAACCTCTGGCTCTAAACCACTGAACTATCCAGACCTCTGAGGCACACCTAGCAAGCCAGAGATCTAAAACAAACAATATGAAAACACTAACACAGACCACCTGGTGAGCTTCCACTGGACTGTCTGTAAAGCAACAGGGCATTTGCAAATGGGACTACACCATCTACGGACAAAACTTTATTTTCTGCATGGTGTACGGATGCTGCCAAGCACGACATCCTCCCACCAAATTCTTTCCTTGTTCCTGGTGACCTACACTTAGCTAATGCTGTGATGTCATCACACCGCAGACATCCTGACCAGCAGATGATGATAACCTATCACAGGCCATGGACCAGGGAGAACATGATAACCAAGTCACAAATGACAGGGCGATTTCTGTTGCTGACAACTCAGGCAGAAAATGCTGCGCACCAGCTTCTCTCTAGCAGGTCTTTGAGGTTAAGCTATGGCCCAGAGCAGGAAAACAGCCAGGCCTGTGGAGGGTGACAACTAAAATGGGGTTACTTAATCTGTCCAAATAAGTAACAATAAGTACCACAAAAAATAATAATAATTTAAAAAGAGCCATGTCCCTGCTGTCAGGGTGCATAAGATAACGAGCGCCTCTCTTCAAACTGAACCAGCCTGATGGCATTTAAGCTGCCTGAGAGAAGAACATTCAGCCTCCTAACAGCCAGGGTCCTGTCTGGCGACTGTCAAGGCCTATTGGCCTTAATTGCCCTCAAGTCTGAAAAGCAAAATACTTCCAGAAGGTCTGGGTCACCGAATATGGAATGAGAGTTGAAGGCTTCATCGTATTGGTGAATGGATTATTCAGCTTTCTACTGGTGGGTCTCTCTCCACAGGCCTTTGGTCCTTCTAACTTCAGTTTAACCAAACAGATTCTGTGGGCTTGACTAAAGGCCCACAACAAGTTAGACACCGAATCCTCTTTCACTCCTCCTTCTCAAGTGCACAATGTGATATGCCTAATCCGAGAAAAGAGCAGAAGATGCAAAAGGGCTGGGCGTGCATTATGAAAGTGATTCCCAAACTCTTCTGCTAGAAATACATTGAGTCAGCCACGAAAGGTCCCCATAAGCCCAAGGTATCCATCCACAAATGAGTTTCTTTTTTGAAGATCTGCATGATTATTCCTTTGAATCAGCCTCTTCTGGAGGCGCTCCTGATCCTACCAGGTCTGTACTGGATGCGACTGGATCATGCAATCTTTCCTCCTCTAGAGAATAGCAGAATAACCTGCCCCTAGAGAAATCTGGCTGCTGCCTACCTCCACCAGTCAAGTTCTGCCTTCCCTCCTTCCTGTCAAAATGTGTGTCCTGATTAGGGATTCATGCACACGGCGACAGTATATATTTCTGGAGAGTGGTATAACTTTGGGGGAATATGCTTCACCATTTTTAATTCAGCAAAAACCGTTCATCAGCTCTCATACTGTGATACTGGGCAGTGAACACAGAATTTTATTACTGTTATTAATCTCACAAATGTTATGGGCCACTCCTCGCTATAAATACAGTAAGAAAAGCAAAGAGAATAAAACACACTGCAGCACAACAATTAAATGTATACATTAAACAGCTATTAAAACGGGCACCACTCTTCTAAATTGAAAGGCTGAGAAGATAACAAAGATACAGAATGGAATGTAAAGGAAGACAACAGCACCAGAGAAGCCTCCATGAGGCGAGAAACCCACAGCTCGGCTGCTGCCACCACTGAAGACAACAGCACCAGAGAAGCCTCCATGGGGCGAGAACCCCACAGCTCGGCTGCCACTACCGAGAAGGCCCTCTGCTTGGCCATTTTCATCCAGGTTCACATGGAAGTAAGCTTGATCTGATGCCATTTGAAGTAATGCTTATACCTGACTGTTTACAGTATATATTACTAGTTAGAGCAGTGGTTCTCAATCCCGAGATGTTCTTAGACTGCAACTCCCAGAAGCCTTCACCACTAGCTGAATTGGCTAGGATTTCTGGGAGTTGTAGTCCAAATAATACCACTGAGTTCAGAGTTTTGTTTTTTTTTTTCTGGGAGTTGTAGTCCAATAATACCTGGCAACCACTGAGTTAAGATTTTTTTTAAAAAAAAATAAAGGATGATCTTACCAAAACTCTGTCCCCCATTTTCAGTTCTCTTTCTCCTTTCTTTAGAGAACCAGCTTCAGAAAGGTTCGATATGGATTCGCTTGCTGTTTTCGACAGATTGCTAACTTGAGAAGCAGGGTGCTCCTTGGCCGCAGGAGGAGAGGTCTTGTGAGGAATACCTGTGGGGGGCAGGGGGGCCGCTGTAGGAGGCGAAGACACAAGGCTAGCAGCTGACACAGAGGTTGGGGAAGTCGCCCGAGAAGCGTACGAAGCCTGCGTACCGTTGGCTTCATCCTCGGCTAGTACTTTCCGCGTTAGCTTCGAGGGCCTCGTAAAGATTCCCTTTAAGGGTTCGCACTGGAAATACCGAACACCAGCCACGGAGCCATCGTTCTTGCCAATGGGCTCGTCCAAAACAATCCCCGCCCACTGTCCTGGAGCGAACTGTGTTTCTCCCAGGAACTGGATAAAGCCAGGCTTGTTCCCATTGACCCAAACTCGCTCCCCAATTCTGAAGTCATCCACAAACTCATCCTGAGCTTCTGAGACGGGTGCAGCCGAGGTCTTCTCGCTGGCGGCTGTCTTCTCCGATGGAGCTGGAACAAAACATAGGACAGAGGGAAGCAAACATTGATTCTGTAGTTACACATGGGTCAAACAGGAGAGCCAACGTCTGCTTTTCTTACTGTGGAGCAGGAAACAAGATTTTCCCTGGCATGAGCTTTTGTGGCATGCTCGGTAGTCAGAAGATTCTGAGCATTATCCAAAAGAGTAGTTTTTGAAGCTCTCTCTCTCTGAATCTCTGTCTGTCTGTGTACATGAACACATATAACTGACCTCCTTTCCTCCCAACTTTTTTCTGCTCTATCCTTAGCAGCTATTAAGTCTTAAGCCTGCATGGGAGAAGGGGGAAGAGACTTCTATAGTAAGGCGATAAAACTCTTCCTTACCAGTGGCAGCAGAAGCAGCAGCTGTTTTCAGTAACACATTTCCTGGTTTGCTGATCTTCGTCGGAGCTTTGAGTCCACTTGGTTTTAACATACTCATCTTCTCATTCACTGTTGCTTTTTCTGTCCCCTCTGTCTGCAGTAACTATCTTTTCTCAAACATGGATGCAGTGTGAGGTTTCAATGCTGCTTGCTGTTGGGTTAAACCTGTATATATATTTAAGAAAAATGAGCAATTAAAAAAAAAAGACACAGAGAAAAATAAATATACTTTTTGATCCTCAAAGGGGCTTGTAAAGAAACATTTGCACCTAATCCCTACGCCCTCGTTAATAACAAAGGGAAATTCTCAGAGCGATTGCCGTTGCTACACTCTGGAAACCTTATTTGTTATTAAAAAATATCTTGATGCTTTCGGACTGATATCCAGAATGTTTGCGACGTTACAAAAGCAGAATTGCTGTTTTCACACAGAGCTTTCCCCAAAGGCCATGACTGGAAAGGGAAGCAGAAGTCTTCACAACATCACAACGGAAAAGATACCTGAAGCACTCAGACAATCCTAGGTGTTTGTCAAGTATTGCAACCTGCCGGGTCGCAGATCATAGAGCCTGCTGAAGATGAGGAGGGGAGAGGGGGAAACAGAAGAGGAGAGGAGGAATCGGCATATGGCACCTACAGAATCAACACTTTCAAGATCTGAACGTTAAAAACCCTCAAGACGTCCCTTGACAGCTAATGAACAGACGCCCACCTCTGCAACACTGGAATTCATGGCCGAAGATCGCGAGACTTATTAGCCCCTTATATAGTTCCCCCATATGGTGCCCCAGCTCCGCTCTTTTGGAAAAAGTGAGAGGGAAGCCCCTCCCCACTCTTCAGTTGCTAGGAAAAGAGAACAGCGTTGATTTAGAAGCCTGTTATAGGCTTTCCAGAGCGACAAGCGTCTTTTTCCTCTAAAGCAATTTCAATCAAGTGTTCCTCCCTTGGCTACGAAGGCCGACTCTGCTTTAATCGGAAAGGCTGGATTATTTTTAACTTACAATGTGCTGACTGGTGATTTAAACGCAACGTTGTCTTTTTGCAAACATGCCGCTTCAGCCAAAAGGTACTTGAAAAGAGACCCGACAGGGACAATCGCGCACCGGCGGCGCTTGTGCGAGGGGAGAGGGGAGTTCTGAAATGCATCAAAACGGCAACTTGTTGGCCTGACTCCTTTCAGAACTTGACACACGAGTTACGGAACGCAGATCCTGGGCCTCTGTTTACACAGCCTCCTGGCAGTGGTGCAAGACTCTACGCAGAGAGCAATTAGATCATCCTGCAGAACTGCAAAAAGCACCCTAGCTTGACACAGAAGCCAATCCCAAGAAAAAGACAGAACATTCTGCTACAGAGGAACAGAGAAGTGAGTTTGGGACATCTTTTTCCTTCTTGTTGTTCCCAAGCTGACAACTGTGTGAGTCTTACTTAGAGTACACTTTCCTGTCTTTCTTTACGGGAGAAATAAAAGCAAGCCACTTCATTCAGGATTTGGTACATACTACTTTTCCCATTAAATCACGATCGCAATAGAACCAATATGAAATTCAGCTGCTGAATACACACACAGTCCCTGTGAAAGGCTAAAAGCAGACACATATTTCTCCGGTGTGAGCTGGTCTCTGGTATTTCATAGGCACTTAAAAGCCACCATTCATTTAGGCTAATGTCATTGGTGTAAATCCCCCCCAAGGCTGAAACACCCCTGAAAACTCTTCAAATGATTATTCCAGCAGATTAACCACAAGAAATGGTTATGGAGGGAGGCGAGGGGGAAGGAAACTGGCAGGCATGCAAACATTAAAAGCCGAGTCTGCTAGGAAATCAACAAGGGGCCACAACGATCAAACTGAAAGTATTTTTAAAAATAAGCCACAAGCCAAACAGAAGGGCAAGGGCGGGCAGAGGCCTCCAGGAGTAAAAACAAACCAGATTTACCGTACTCAAGCTTGGCTAAAGAACATAAGTAGCATTAGAACTGCTAACAGATGTGATTGGCAGTATATGGCCATCAAGTAAATGGCAGGACTAAGGAGAAAATGTCATGTTATAGCTCAGGTTCTCTTTCAGATCTTGTTCAGAGTGTTCCAACTTCTCTCTCTCTCTCTCTGCTTATTTTCCTAATTCCAACTGTTCTGCAGTTTACAGAATTATTTTAAACAAATTCAGGTGTTTAGAGGAACACTTTGGAGGCCGGGATAATTCTTTGATCTAAATGTCATTTAAGATACAAACCAGAGGTTTTACTGCTGCTTAGGCTGGTGTGCCAACACCAAACCACCTCGGTTGGGCACAGACAAGCAAAAGGGATCCATGCTGTGGTAACATAAAAATTAATATACTATAAGGAATTCTGACACCATTGTATCAGGTGACAAGACCAATGTCTTTCTCTGCAGCCTCCCTTCTCCATTTTATTCTGAAATGCACAGATAAACAAGGACTTTAATTGTCATCTTATAACTGCAAAGCTTGAAGCAACTCTATGGATCATTGAGTTCAGCCTTTTTTCAAAACCAAGCTTCTATCTTTGTCCCCTTCTCCTCCTCCTTTGCTCTTGCTAAACATCACCACTGCATGCAACGTTTTTAATCTTCCAACTAGCCACCTGCTCTGGGAGGTAAATGTTTCCTTCACTTTTTCAGCTTCACAGAACGATGGAATTTATACATCTTGGTTTCAGTGACCAAAATGCATCAAACAAAGGTCTTGAACATTGATTCTGAACATTACAGAACAGCCTGTAATTAGGGATATACTGTAGGTAGACCCAATCCTTTGTAGAATGAATAATACCCTGATGCCGTGGCCATGGTAAGAAATATTTTTGTTTAATGCCTTCTTTTGTCACCTTAACCTCGCAAGGAATTTCCTCCAACGCCAGTAAGGGACTAAAGACTTCTCGAGTGCCCGCATCCACCCTTCCTGCATTCTTAACGCTTTTGCTTATTTGTTCCAGCTTAAGAATGCATCAAAAGCAATGACAAACCTAGACAGCATCTTAAAAAGCAGAGACATCACCTTGCTCACATCACCTTGCCGACAAAGGTCAGCACAGTCAAAGCTATGGTTTTTCCAGTAGCGATGTATGGAAGGGAGAGCTGGACCATAAAGAAGACTGACCGCTGAAGAATTGATGCTTTTAATTTGTGGTGCTAGAGGAGACTCTTGAGAGTCCCCTGGACTGCAAGGAGAACAAACCTATGCATTCTGAAGGAAATCAACCCTGAGTGCTGCTCACTGGAAGGACAGATCCTGAAGCTGAGGCTCCAGTACTTTGGACATCTCGTGAGAAGACTCCCTAGAAAAGACCCTGATGCTAGGAAAGTGTGAAGGCAAGAGGAGATGGGGAAGACAGGGGATGAGATGGCTGGACAGTGTCATCGAAACTACCAGCATGAATTTGACCCAACTCTGGGAGGCCGTGGAAGACAGGAGGGCCTGGCGTGCTCTGGTCCATGGAGTCACAAAGAGTTGGACATGACTTAATGACTAAACAACAAAAAAAGAGTGAAATCTGTTCAGTGTTTTGTGTCACCTTGCCTTTTCAAAGAGGCCATGAAATTAGTAAAATGTAACACAGCTAGTCAATGAACTCCTAAGCTTTCAACCACAGGGAATCCATTTAAAGAATATATTCAGAATAAAGAGATTTCACTGAAAGCAGGGAAATAAAACAGGTAGAACCATTATGAAGGAAATATAGGCAGTCAGGGCTAGTTTTGGGGAAGAGGAACTAGGCACCAAGAACACTGTCTAGATGAGGCAAGAAGGGAGCGTCAAGAAAACCGTGCAAACGAAGATCCTTGCCTCTTTTTCACAGCCCCCCAGAGCTAAAACAGCTTTCCCTCTCTCTGAAAGCTGGCCTAAATAAGTCCTGTTTAATGCCAAAGAACACTAAAAAGGCAAAACATGGACCCTGATGTTTGCAGCAGGCAGGAGAGGGAGCAGAAAGCAGCACGGGGGGGGGGGCTCACGGCCCCTGCCTTCCCCACGACATCAAGTTGCACCTGATTTCCATTTCAATTACAACAATTATTTATAAATTCTCATCTACAAATATAAACCACAGGGGCAAATTTAATGCCAACCTTTCTCTCTTTCTTTCCCTTTTTTCATTGGCAAAGGAGAAACAGCCATCATACACTCTACTGAAAAGTTACCAGACTTATAAGCCTTCTATATTAAGACAGTGTTTCTTGGAGGCAACATGGAACACTCTAAGGCTAAGCTGATTTGAAACAACAACAACTCTGTTTAAAAGCTGGAGATCTGGTGGCCTACCAGATTTTACAACATTTACCTACCCAAACCGGGGATCTATCTTCTCTCCTTCCAGCAACAGTTGATCACAACCCTAATTCCCTGTAGAATTTCTGGGGAATCAGAAACTCCGAGTGGCTTGTGAAAGCTTCAAGAGGTGCAGCCTGAGATTCCCTCAGCTTGTGCTCTTTAATTAGCAGTCCCGGAATGCGCCGCCGTTGAGCCTCCCAGGTGGTGGGCTCTCTCACCTCCTCCTCCTCCTCCCTTTTGTATTATGACCTCATCGGCTCTGACCTCATAGCCGAGCATTCAGGAATGCCTGTAAAGAACGCCTTTTGGAATGCCCCTGCAAACAAAGCTCGCTAGAGAGAGATGGGAGTGGGTGTTCAGGCAACAACGCTAGCTTTCTTTCCGCACTCCTTGGAGGAAGTGGAGACCTAATCCCTTGCAAACTCAGCAGTCACAACAATATGAAATATGCCAATATATGGCTTGGGTCATTCTGCAAGGCACTGAGATGGTCAAGAAGTAGGATAAGAGAAGCAAGTGTAACAGGGGAAGGGTAGACATAAATTAAGTAAAACATATCCTAGGCTGGATTTTTGCTTTTAGTAAAGAACTAGTGGCCCTGAATCCCTCAAATGCACAAGAACCTCTTTTTAGCTCATTTTGTCCTCTAGGAGTCCTATATGGTGACACTTTGCTTTTGCAGGGGAAACCCATGATTTAAATAATTTTTTAAAAAAGATAGTGCTCTAGCAGACAAGAAGCTTAGATTTCTTGGCTTGGGTGCTCATTCATATAGCAATACTGTTCTCTGCAGTCAGGGGTTATATATCTGCTTTGTCATTTGTTATTTTAGCAGGATGCTTCAAGCCGAGCCACCCACAACATCCTCTCCC